GGGGAGGGGGATGATTAGTGAATATGGAAGGGAGGGGGAGGGGGGGAGAGGAAGAGAGGGAGAGAGAGAGAGAAAGAGAAGGGGAGATCCAACCAGGAGCACCCAATATCGCTACACAGACGGGCTCGAAGATTTCTGCGCCGGTAACGGGAGAGATGGCGGGGATTTGGCCGACTGTCGTATAGGTAGGTATGTATTATTAGTACAGTAAGGCAGTGAGTGAGTGAGTGATTGATGCATAATAGTAGAAAAGAAAAAAAGAGGAAAAAAAGAAAGAGTCACTCACCAGGAATAACCAACTCAGGTACACCTCCCACAAAAGAAATGTGCTCGGGAGAGAAGTGGAAGCCTTGCAAGCGATAACGTTTCTTTTCGAGATTTCTGATGAGAATGGTTGATGAGAATCCTGATGCTGTTTCGTAATATAATGGATGGATGACACTAGGAGAGAATGAAGAAGGGAAAAAGAAACAAAAAAGAAAAAAGAAGAAGAAACCTACTCATCCTCCACATCTCGATATCTCACTTCAGGCGAACCCGCTGGAAGAATCATGATTGTTCTACGTCGTCGTTGATGTTGTTGTTGTTCATCATCATCATCATCATCATCATCATCAAAAACATGCTCGCGAAGAAATTCTCGAAACTTTGTACGTTTCGCACAAGCAATTTCATATTCGTTTTCTTTGGAGAGTTTCTCGCCTAGACTCCTTTTTTTTTTCACTCTCTTTGTGTCAGTGCCTGCTCTCTATAAGTGTGTTGCTGCTTACGCGATGGAGAGAGAGATGGAGAGAGATGGGAAGAGATGGAGAGAGATGGAGAGAAGAGATGGACAAACAAACCACTTGAAGCGAATCATCGGATTGGCATAGGGTTCACGACCGTGAGCGCGCTGAAAGTCCTGTCGAAAGGGAATTCGATTGTGGTAAGAGTCGTAGAGTTGGATGTATGCGAGGACCTGCGTGAGTATAACATTAGCAGAGATTTCTCCTTTTTTTCTTTTCATTTTTCATTGTTCTTTTGGTACTGTGGTCAAAGCACGGTGGGGATTCCTCACTTTGTCCAAGTGCGTCTCGAGGGAACGCGCACAGTCGTCTGGTGCACGAAGTTTCCATTCCTCGTGCAAGTCATAGGCGGTCCGAGTCACGGAGAGATGCTTCTCCATATCGTCTATGAAAGCGTTCATGATCTGGCGTTTGGGAGCGGGCCAAGCGTCAAAGTACTCTGTCGGGCAGAGGAGTCGAATGGGAGACTTGAGGGGAGAAAGCAAAGTTAGCGCTTTACAGATTAAGGGGCGGTGGGGATACTACTACGTCTGAGCTCATATGGTGGTCCTCATACCATACGGGAGCAAAGAGCCGCAGTTCAGTGATGGAGCGCGCGAAAGGACCGATCGTGTCCAGCAAGCTTGACAACGTGGTTAGCAGACGAGTAAATGAGAGTCTCATCATCGTCATCTTCTGACATACGAAGACACGGGAAGGATGCCGGTCATATCGGTCGTGCCGTGCGTGGGTCGAATGCCAAAGACGCCTTGTAACGCCGCGGGACCTACGATACTTCCCAGAGCTGCGTGTGGAATCCATCAGTATATATATATGCTCGTAGTTGAGGATGTACGCAGCAGCACTCACTGTCTGTTCCCAGGGCAAAGTCAAGCCAGTCGTAGCCTGCTGCAGCGACCGCACTGCCCGAACTGCTACAGTCAGGCTCCATGTAGCCATCACCGCGAGGGTTAAAGGGACACAAAAAGTCCACCCAGTCGTGCGCGTACTCTCCCGAGGCGAATTGAGCCGTTTTCGTCTTTCCGACAATGACTGCTCCGGCGTCGATGAGGCGCTGCACTACAGGGGCAGTGGAATCTGCTGCGCCGTAGAAGGCACTGTAGTCTCGACTGGATGCGCTGGTGGGGACTCCTCGAAGGTCGAAGATGTCTTTGACTCCAATCCTCTTCCCACTCAGCGGTTTCTCGTCTGACGGCTGATCGAAGTAGTGTCGAGAGGGGAGAGGGATGAACTCTTTGGATACTTCGCAGAATCTGGCGAACGCGCTCAGCATCTAGTATCGCGAGCGAGCGAGCGACTGTGATGGAAGCTTACGAATCGTGATCTCCGCTATCAGGCAAAACACCCATCATGAACGCTTCGTACGGGTCCTCTTGTAGCTTGTAGACAAAATGGAGATGAGAACTGCGGGCATAGTATGGACCGCTCCTCAAGGGGACTGCCATCTCCACAGCATAGATATCGCTCCCGTTGATAACGAAATCGATTTCTTCAGTGACTCCTGCGAGCAGAATCGTCTTGGTAAACTCGGGACATATCACGTCGTCTCCAGCGAGCAACTGTTGCAATCTTGCCTCGACAGACTCGCGGTCGACGGGGTGAGATTCATCATGATCATGATCATCGTCGTCGTCGTCTTGAAAGGAGAGAACTACTACGGGAACGCCTTGATGCAGAGCAGACAAGCGGGAGGTGTATTCATTCTGCAACTGAAACCGCACCGAAGGAGTCTTGCTGGCAATATATGATGATTGATGTAGTCGAAACCACTCCATCATGTTGTTGATCAGATCTGCTTCTCGTCGCGTCTTACACAAGTCAGCGGCGGGGAAGTGGTGTTGGTGCAGTGTGGTGCGTTGGCTCAAAGTCGGCTCAAAGGTCGTCCAGCATAATCCGGCTCAATGTTAGCTCGCAGATGTCGTGGCGTGCTCTAGTTTTATGATTGACCATGGGATATGTGATGATATTTTAGCCTGCACAAACGAAGTTCATTATTCATTATTCATTATTCATTTGTCTGACTCTGCTATTTCATTTGTATATCAAAAGGGGCAGAAAAAGGAGATGATCTGTTGCTTCTTCCACAGTGAAGAACTTTCCTATTGCAACGACGATAAAAGGCTCAGTCTTCCAGCTTGGCAAGATGGTTTCTTGGGATGCTTTTTGATTCGTTCACACTGTGGAGCCCCCCGTTTGCAATAGGTTCGAATAGGTAAATGAGCGTGTAATGGATGATGGAATCGACAGCAGCTCGCTCAACTTCACTTCTACTCCTCTTTCTTTCTGTACCTCTAACACTAGTTTATACACTAACACACAACCGCAAAAATGGCCAGTCTGACACTCAACTCGACCATATCTCTCCAATCCGGCACTCGCCTTCCCTCACTCGGCTTTGGAGTCTGGGACAGTCCGAGCCACAAGACGGTACAGTCCTGTCTCTCGGCACTGGAAGCCGGCTATCGACACATTGATACGGCGCAAGTCTACGGAAATGAAGTCGAGGTCGGAGAGGCCGTTCGCCAGTCCCAACTGGCCCGAAAGGACGTCTACCTCACGAGCAAGATCCTGTCACCGGCCGAGGATGCGGAATCCACGTACCAGAAATGTCTCCAGAGCGTTCAGAAGATTGCCGGAGACGATGGCTATCTGGATTTGCTCTTGATTCACAATGTCAGTTCTGGTGCGGCGGGCGTCAAGCTGATGTGGCAAGCCATGGAGAGGCTGTTCCAGGAGGGCAAGCTGCGAGCCATTGGGATGAGTAACACGGGTATAGGAATGATGGAAGCAATGAAGGCCTATGCCACGGTCTGGCCACCGCATGTGAACCAACTCGAGGTAAGACACTTCGTTCTTCTGCGGGAACACACATGACTGATCTGGTTATAGCTCCATCCTTGGTGTCAGCAGCGTGAGGTAGTCGAATACTGCCACAAGAACGGCATTGCCGTGGAAGCATACTGTCCGCTAGTACGCAACCAAAAGGCCAACGATGAGGATCTGAAGGCTATTGCGGATAAACACGGAAAATCTACACCACAGGTTCTGGTGCGATACTGTCTGCAGAAGAATTGGGTTCCTCTGCCCAAGAGCGATACTCCTTCGCGAATCAAGCAGAATGCAGACATTTACGACTTTGCCTTGAGTGACGAGGACATGGCCACGCTGGACAAGAAGGATCAAGGTGCCAAAGGAGCTCTTGTGCAGATTGCGGATAATGAGAGTACGAAGTAGAAGAGTGATCCAGATTCTGCCTTGGATTTGGCACATATATATTTATTCTAGAGGCTCGGAACAGTTGCCACCAGGAGCCGTACAAAGGTCGAGTACTCATGATGGAACTGTTGGCTGCTGTTTCTGCCATGTATACAGCCTGGAACAGTAAGTCCACTATGAGCCTAGCTGGAAAACTCGAGGCTGGTATAGATTAATGATGGAACATGAAGCCTCAGCCAGGAAATAGGGAAGAAAAATTAATTCGGTACAAAGACAAGTACCTGATAAAATCACAAGTTCAGCACGAAAACGCTCCATCCTTTCCGCATACTCCACGTCGCTCGCCAATCGATCAATCTCGTGGAGACTCGGAACATCATTCATTCATTCATTCCATGGAAGTCAACCCGCCCTTACTTTACGAACTCTTTGACTACGAACATCATCGAGGAGCATACAGATGACCCTATTCCGTCTCTTTTCCTCCTCCCTTCTCCAAGCTTCCCACTTCTTCGCAAATAGCATAGCCCGAGTCGCGCAACGCCCGCAACAGCCTTCGATAAGACGTCTCCGTATCCTGACTCGTATCGATCTGTGCAAGAAAGCGTGTCAGTGAAAAACAAATCGAGAAAACAAAAAACAAAAAGGTCAAGAACCCCTTCTCAACACATCCCTCTCCCCTAAAAACTCACCCTAATCAAAATCCCCCTCTTCTCAAATCCCTCCACCACATCTCCATTCAACCTCTCAAACTCCTCAAACCGCCTCTCAAAAATTCTCACATCAACATCCCGACCCGGTAATCCCCTTGATAAATACCTTTTCCGAGCGATTTCCCCCGGACAGTCAAAGAAGAGAACTAAATCCGGTTGAAGAATTTCCAATCCTTCTGCTTTCTCATCATCATCACTCATACCGGTGAGTTTGATTTGGGAAATATCTCTCGGGAAGCCATCGAGGAGGAGGATTTTTTCTTTTCTTTGGTTTTCTTTTTCGTTATCTTTCCCTTCCACTTTCTCTCGCAATGAAAATTCTTTTTCTTGTAACCCTTCTTTTAAAATCGGGAGCAAATCTTTCAGTGAAAGTAATTCGCTCCTTTGGATTTGTTCTCTTACGTGAGGTTTGAGAAGAGGTTTTTGCTGTTGCTGCTGCTGCTGCTGTTGATGTTGTTGCTGGTGGGTTGACTGGAGAAGAAGCTGGCGAAGATGGTCTCCGAGAGAAAAGTGGGAAAAAATAGAGGGGAATTCGGTGGAGAGGAGGGTTAGGAGGGTGCCTTTGCCGGAGCCGGGGGCGCCTTTTTGCGGTTGGGAGGAGAGGGGTTAGAGAAATGGGGAAAAAGAAAGGCGAAAGGGAGTGTTACTTACCGATGACTGAGATGAGCATTGGATTGGGTGGGTGGGTGCAGAGGTGTTGGGGAGGTTGTTGGTGATTTTGGAGTATAAGACTTTCAAGAAGAGAGAGACTCTCTTGAACCTTTTCTAACAACCCAACAGAATAGACAGACAAGGAAACTGCCTCCTACTATTGCCTGGTCTCCTCACGACTCTTCCAGAACAGAAATTCTCCTTTATGACCCCTTATGTTTGTCAACTTGTTTGCTATAGACTTTGTCTTAGAAAAAACAAAAGAAGAAAAGGAAACAATATAAGACCTCCATGATCAACCTCCTTACGACAATTTTCTCTACAACACCAACCTCCGACTTGGACTTCGCAGTCCAACATGTTCATTTACTCTCTTCCTGCCCTCACAATCGTCGCCGTCCTGCTAACATGGTATTTCCTCGCCTCTCTCCAACGAAGCCTCCTCCCATCACCACCATGGAAGAACAACAACACCCTCACCAAGAACAACCTCCCCCAAAAAGAAGGAAGTAAAAATCCTGCAAACGACATCCCCATTTCCGTCAACTACCATTTCACTCGACAATGCAACATGTCCTGCGGGTTTTGCTTCCACACAGCCACGACTTCACACATGGTATCCTTGGAGGATGCTTTGAAGGGGATTCGACTGTTGAAAGATGCGGGAATGCGGAAGATCAATTTTGCTGGAGGAGAACCGTTTTTGTATCCGAAGATTTTGGGAAAAATGGTGGATTTTTGTAAGGAGGTGAGTTTTCTCTTTCGTTTTCTTTTTTCTTTTTTCTTTTTCATTTTCAAGAGTGGAACGAATGGGAAGAAAAAATGAAAGATATACTGACACTTCTTTCCAGATCGGGATCGAATCCGTCTCCATCGTCAGCAACGGCAGTAAAATCACCTCAGCCTTCCTCCAACAGCACGGCAAAAACATCGACATCCTCGCCATATCGTGCGATTCCTTCCACGAAGCCACCAACCTCCTGATCGGACGCGGAACAGGCCACAACGTGACACAACTGCACCGGATCAAATCCTGGTGTGACGTGTCCGGCATAAAATTCAAGCTCAACACAGTAATTTGCAAATTGAATTGGCAAGAAAATATGAATGAACACATTTCCCGCTTGCAGCCGGCTCGATGGAAATGTTTTCAAGTCTTGATTGTGGCGGGAGAGAATGATTCCGAGGAGAGATTGAGAGATGGGAGGAAATATATGATTTCCAAGGAGCAGTTTGAGAGTTTTATTGAGAAACATGGGAGGCAGGAATCGTTGATTCCGGAGCCGAATCATCTTATGGCTAAGTCGTATTTGATTTTGGATGAGTATATGCGCTTTCTTGATCGGACGGGACGTCAGCCATCCAAGTCGATTTTGGAAGTGGGAGTTCGGCCGGCTTTGGAGAGTGTGTTTTGGGACGTGGAGAGTTTTCATGAGCGTGGGGGTTTGTATGACTGGCAGGCGCATCAGAAAGGCTCGAGTTGTGTTGATGAGGAAAAGTCCAAAGAGTTGGAGTGGTAGAGGATTTTGAGTGGTTTGACTTCCTGATTCTGGGTTTGTATCGTAGAAACTTCTCTTGCATGACTTGCATGTCCACAGACAGAATGAGAGAAAAAGAAAACAAAAAATCAACGTCGTCTCTCAAAGTACGCAGTCAGCTTTCCCTTGGGCACGCCACTCCGAAATGCCCAATGATATCGCTGCATGAACTCTTGAATTTGCCGGTCCATATCTTGCGTGAGATTACGCTTCCACAGCTCAACATCACAGACGACAGAAGAATCCTGTTGCCGCGGCACTGCAACTCTGCGCTCCAGTTCGACTTCGCCGACTTCATGTCCCAAGTCCACCATCGAGTCCAGAACAATCTTGAATTTCTCATCTGCCAACCAAGTCTTGCGCTGCGTAGTCAAAGTTGCCAACACTCCTAACCCAAAGTCATACGCTGCCGACTCGTGGTGACCTGTCATTTGTGCCACACAGTGCGCGATCGCCGGGGGATCCGTCAGTTCCTCGAATGAGGAGTTGACGAAGTCGCCACCTTTGCGGATCTTCGCCTCCCAGGCTGCATCTCTGCCGGCGATTTGTCTTTTGCGGACCCAGAGACCGCTCTGCGAGAGCTGGTTGTGTTTGTCGTAGTACGTGTCTTGAAACTTCTGTTCGCCCAGGAATTGTAGTTTGTGAAAGCATGGCACGCCGGCATTTGCGATCAAGTGTGGTACTGCCAGTCCGCAGAACTTGCGCTCCACCTCGAGTAGTATGTTGCGCATGATGAGTCTTGTCGTGGAGATTTCGAGGTCGAAGGGGCAGTGCACTGGAGACAGGGGCGGTATCCGAATGTTCAGTATGAAGTTCAGCTTGTTGGCAGACGCAATACAAGCACGAGTGGTAGTAAGCGGTTGTTCGATTATAGCATGTTGAACACGCACTAGAGACGTGCTGGTGTCTCCATGACGACGGCCTCTCAAAGCTCATAATGCTGCGGCCCCTGATCAACAACGACGACGTCTTTCAACTCAATGTTTGGCCTGATATATGGCTGTACTTTCGAGCGATGCAACGTGCGCTGCTCATATGCATACGCGTATCCAATCAGAGTCTCTTCGCTCCATTTTTCTCCCAAGAAAGACAGCCCAAAGGGAATGTTCGGACCGCTCGCGACCAGATTGCCGAATCCATTCATCGTCACATTCCAGTCGTACGGATAGAAGCCCATGGGCACCGTCACAACCGGACTACCAACCAAGGCTGGTATCGAAGGGCTCAGTTGGGTGGGCAGCAGGACCGCAGTGGTGTTGGTACGGTTGAGTGCACCAAGAATGCCACCTTCACCGCCATAGTACAAGTTCTTTTGGTACGCTTCCCAGAAGCGCGGATCGGTGTTGTTCCAGGTCTGATTGAGCAGAAAAGTGTCCCAGATCCCAGTGTCCCTTTCCGGCCAATCCTCGATCGAATGTGTCTGGGTCCAGTTGCGCTCATCCGCAAGGCTGGTGATGTTGTGAGGGTTGTAGCTGAGCTGGGAGAGATATTGGGCGAGACCGACTTCAAAATCAGCACTGAGAACAGTATCGCCGACGCTGTCGTTCTGCCACGCAGCGAACCCAGTGAAGTTCGCAGTCACGATCGTGGCACCGGCGGCCTCAATCTGTTGGACGGCTTCCATAAAGGCATCCAGAACGGGCTTGTCGGTGTATCGACCCCAGATGTCCAGGACATTCCAGGCCACACCGATTCTCGCTCCCTCGAAAGAGCTGGTTTGACACGCGGCAACGTAGTCGGGCATCGTCTCGAAAGGGTATGCCGAAGAGTAGTTGTCTTTGGGATCTGGGCCTGCGATTGCTTGAAGAACATGTGCAGCATCTTTGACAGTGCGGGCCATGGGTCCCACGGTATCTTGATGCTCGCTGATGGGAATGACCAGGTATCTGCTTGTCAGTCCGACCGTCGGCTTGATTCCCACGAGATTGTTCACATCGCTGGGGCTCAGAATGCTGCCACTCGTTTCACTACCGAGACTTGCCAGTGCCAGGCCAACGGAGCTCGCTACTCCACTGCCGCTGGAGCTACCACTCGGATCTTGTTGAGGGTAGTATGCAGCATATGTCTGGCCTCCGTGGGCACTCCATCCATTACTGGTGTTATCTGATCGATAGTTGGCCCACTGCGATAAGTTGGTCTTCCCGAGTATGACTGCGCCTGCTTTGCGGAGTTTCGCTGCCATTGTGGAGTCTTGCGGTACCTTGGCTCCCAGTAGAGACCAGGAGCCGGCAGTATTGTTCATTTGATCTGCTGTGGCAATGTTGTTCTTGATGAGAATGGGTACACCGTGGAGGGGACCCAGGACTGTGCCATTCTTGCGTTGAGCATCCAGGGAGCTTGCAATAGCCAGAGCATCAGGATTGAGTTCGGTCACCATGTGTAGAGTGCTGTTCACCTCCAGAATACGAGCAGTGTAGGCTCGGACCAGGTCGACGCTGGTGAACATTTCTTTCTCCATCCCCATGACGAGATCATCCAGTTCGACGTCAAGCAGTGACGGGAAAGTAGCAAGATTGCTCGTACTCGGGGTCCACTGCGAACAGCATGTCTGTAGGCCGCCCAGCAGGACTATGGCCTTGACCTGGAACTTTGTCATGTTTCTGTACTTGGAATCTCAGTTGATCTTTGAGCATCCTACTACCTACTCCCACTGCTGCGAGGCATTCGCGACTCTTATACCACAGTGTACCTGTATGATAAGATGTCGGCTATAGCGAGTATGCCGGCTACAAGGGATCTCCATACTCCCACCTATCACTGTCTCCGAGTCGGTGAGTCTGTGTAGACGAGGCCATGAATACATGATGTCGTTACAAAGTAAGCGATGTGGCGAATACTGTACCAGCTTCCTGTTTGGGCCAAGCTCGATAGATCATGGTCCTCCCTGCGGTAGTTGAGCAAAAGTCCAGTCCTTACCTCCTATCTCCCTCCCTCGGAGTTGTTCGTAGCCAAGCCATATCCGTACCCGGACAATCCGCTTCCTAGGAACGTAGACTTGAACTGTGAATCGAAACTGCATCTATGCCATGGTGGATGGCCTATCTGTCGGGCACTGTAGTATCTTCTGCAATCTTCTGCCCGTCTCACATGTCAGTAACAAATGATGCACATATATGCTGTACCTGCTTGAGCTCTGATGTAGAGTGGTGCAACAAGTCTTGGCATAGAATCTAGATCTCCTAGTCACGTGCATGCGATGCTCAACGCGAACGCGAGGCCGTCGCGTCTCCCAAGTCTCATCCCCTCATCTTCTCTCCCTCTCCACCCATTGAAGTCCATGTAGTCTGCCACCACGACACCATTTCTCACCACGCGCACACACACACACATAATGGAACCCAGCAAAGTTTCCACCACCGCCGCACTCCATCGCTCCAACAGCACCTCTCAGGCCTCGGAAATCTCCCACACTGCCCAGGAGTACATTGCCTCGCAGCTCGCCCTGGAGGAAGACGCGCGCGAAGCACTCCCATACCAATTCGACACATGCACGAAGCTCCTGGGGCCTCTACGACAACAGGTCTACGCATGCTTGACATGCTCACCGCCACCCGCGTCTCCTCATCAACAATACACCCCCGCGGGCGTGTGCTACAGCTGCAGTATTAGCTGTCATGGCGAGCACCACCTCGTCGAGCTCTTCCTTAAACGCGACTTTGAGTGCGACTGTGGAACAACAAGGCTGAGCACCTCTGGAACCCCATGCAGCCTCAGAACGAATGGGGAGACGAGACAAAAGGGAGGCGTGACGGGCGAACAAGCGCGACCCGCCAACAAGTACAACCAAAACTTCGAAGGCAAGTTTTGCGGGTGCGGAGAGGAATATGACCCGGAGCAGGAGAAGGGGACCATGTTCCAGTGTCTGGGCCTTGGCCATGTGGAAGACGGGGGCTGCGGCGAAGACTGGTGGCATCCAGAATGTCTGATGGGGCTGCCACGAGTCAAGCCTGAGCAGCGCAAAGAGACGAAATCCGAGACTAGCGGCGCGCTGGAGACTGTCAAAGAAGAGGGCGAAGATGGTGCAGCAGGGCCTGACGTACACAGTGCGATCGAAACACAGCCTGTGCTAGACGAGATACCGCTACCCGCAGGCTTTCCTGCTGAAGACGACTTTGATCATTTGATCTGCTACAAGTGTGCTGACGCATATCCCTGGATCAAGCAGTATGCAGGCACATCTGGGTTTCTACCTGCACTGCCAGCGAGTACTCCAGCCCCTGCCGCGAATGGCCACGTTGAGATCACAGTACCGTCGGTGCCAACGGAGACCGCGGAGAGCAAAAAGCGCAGAGCTGAAGACGATGCCGAAGACTCACAACAGAGCAATAAGAAGCCAAAGTCTGACGTCGAACCACGTCCAGCTGCGGAGGCTGCCACGGAAGTGAACACCACCGCCGATACAGAAGTGCATGGTACGCCACAGCCCAAGCACGCCAACTTACCATCTGCAACATCAACTTCAATATCACTCTTCCTGAAAGAGGACTTTCGCGAACACCTTTGCCGCTGCGCAGAGTGCTTTCCTCGTCTAGCCCAACACTCTCAACTCCTCGAAGAAGAAGAAACATACGAGCCCCCCGTCTCCGAGCCCGACCACCACAACGAAAATGCCTCCCTAGGCGGTCGCAGTATCCACTCGGGCGGATCTCTCCTCGATCGAGGCGAGGCAGCACTCTCCTCCATGGACCGCGTCAGAGCGATCGAAGGCGTCATGGCATACAACCACGTCCGCGACAAAGTCAAAGCATTCCTCCAACCCTTTGCCGAAAGTGGACAGGCCGTCGGTGCTGAAGACATTAAATCCTACTTTGCCAAGCTGAGAGGCGATGAATCTGCTCAACGAGAGGCTGCGGCTGGTGCTGCTGCTGCGGGGTCGACTTCAGGAGATGGGAGGAAGGAACAAGATGGCTACTAGGTACATAGCTTGGATGAGTCCTTTCTTGGTCTTTTACGACTTGTGATCATTTGGGGAAAGGAAGGAAGGTATTTGTATAGGTAAGTCACCATCACACAGGTCTCAGCACTGTCTTGCCTATGCCAGAGAGGGCGTGTTGTACCCACCTACCTCTGTAGGTGCTAGTTATTTGGAGTATGTACATGTACTTATGTACAAACTAATGAAGATGCCCGCTCTTCTGTACCATGTATGTCGACTCGACTCGTTGTGCTTCCCCATATATAAATGCCTACCTAGGTACCTTACAGCTATAATCTATCATCTATCCTGACTGGCTCTACCCAAAAGGGGAGAAAAAGGAACTCGACGGGCTCGTATGATAACTACAACTTCATATTCGTTGATCGAGGTAGAGTTGAAAACAGACAAAGCAATGCATACAAAATACATGATACCTGAGGTATGTTATTGGATGTATCTACTACCTCCTGGCAGTTTGGAGTCGTAGTCGCTCGGGATCCAACCTAGCTAGATACTTTTTGGCTCTTTATTGGATCCGTAAGGTAGTGAAACAAGAATGCTATAGCATAGAGGTACCTCTCTCTGGCTCTGCCTTGGTCACTTTTCAACTTTTACTCCTCCGTCTTCATGTCCTCCGTCTTGATCTCCTCCGTCTTGATCTCCTCCGTCTTGATATCCTCCGTCTTCATGTCCTCCGTCTTGATCTCCTCCGTCTTCATGTCCTCCGTCTTCATGTCCTCCGTCTTCATGGAAATCCTCCCCATCGATGCCTCTCCATTCTCATCCATCCCCTCCTGATCCTCTGCCTCCCCTCCCTCAACCTTCATCACATTCTCCGGCGCATTATCCACATGCGCAAAATCATACTCTTTGAATGCCTTGATATAAAACTGCGCATCAGCCGCTTCTTCCTCAACACTCTGCACCACATCTCTCCAATGCGCACGATTTTCCAATCCGAGTAATTTGGCCAAAACACGTCGACCAAATTGCAAATCGAATCGAAAACTGCCATCGTCGAGAGGCAGGAGAATTTCTTTTTCACCACCCGACTCAGACCAGATGATGGCTCGGAAGAAATTACCTTCACGGACTTGGGCTTTTTCGGCGGGGGTTTTGGCGAATTTGGGATAGTGGAAATTCTCGGCTTCGACATCAAAGGCGGCTTCGATGCGGCCGTCGTTGCACATTGCGGCGGGGACGGGGAGGAATTGCCAGTGCAAGTGCACGCCTCCACTTCTGCTGATTTCCCAGGTCACGGCGCCGAATTCGGCTTCTCCGTCGGCGCCTTGGGCCGATTTGGCGCTGATCATGCTGTGGAGTGCGTCGCGGTATCGTTGCATTTCGTGGAGTGTGGCTTCGCGGTCTCCGTCGGGGAAAGCGCTGATGGTCGGGTGGTGGATCAAGGGGATGATGAGCATGTGGTAGGGATATCCGAGGCTTGCGAATGTCTTGTGGGTGGGGAGAGGGCCTTTAGCGATGGTCGTGTAGGCGTTCTCGCCGATCGAGGTGATCATGTGCTGCTGTTGCTCGACACCGGGCTTTCCCAGACAGAAGTAGCATTCCTGTGGCTCTTGGTGCTGTTGGTACCGATTGCGTCTACCACCCCTGCCCCGTGAGCTCTTGAATGGGTGGCCTCCGTGGTCATCATACCGATTTCCACCACCGTTCGAGAAGCGAAAGCCATTCTGTCTGGGAGAGTCATCCCCCAGAGTGCGCTTTGCTGATCGCACAAACGGCGTCGCAGTGGTGCCCTCGGGTAACTTTGGAGGAGGAGGAGCTGAGGGTTCAAAATTGTAGGCCGCAATCCACTTCTCCGCGCCTGTCCCGCTGGACTTCACCGTTCCATAGGAGCCGACACTGACGAAACGAGTAATCGGACGAGGATCCTCGGCAATGTGAAAGAATGGCTCCCGCTCGAAGAAGCGCGCAGAAGTCGAGAAGTGATAGCGCGGCTTAAGCTTTGTAACAAGCTGGCCGAGTCCTCGGATGCCCGGTGGTGATCGTCCTTCGTACTGGTTTTTCGATCCAACGCGTACGTCCGCGGGCCAATCGCTCGTAATAAGGATATCGCAGTCTTTGAAGTTCTCAGCTTCCTCGAGGTCTTTGTCGTCGTAGCTAGATATATAGTTAGCGTCTCGACCCGAAATTTCACTATAAGACTTGGATAAAGAGCCCCTAGATATAAATGATCTCGAGAGCGAGAGATCCTTTAGTACTTGAACTTACGTCGCAGTATAGTCGTCTACATCCTCAGGACGCTGCTCAATGTGGTCGCACGACTTGTCGACGTAATTTCCGCCTATGGTAACCAGCTTGAAGCCCTCTGTAGTCTTGATAGAGGCCTTGCGACCGAGCACGCTGAGGTTGGGGCATAACTCGCCATCGTTGCTTCGAAGTTTCTCAAGCACCGCGGGAGGAAATGATCGAGTGCCGACAGTAAAGTAAGTCGGCAGAGGCACTTCAATCTTTCCATCGAGTAGCTGCTCCAGTTGTGCTTTGTCTTCGTCGGTGCTCAACGCAGGCTCTGCGAACAGATTGCCGGCGATGATCGCAAAGGCGAAGTTCTGCTTCTTCTGCATCGTGGCGAGCTTCTGTTCGAAGACAGCTGCGAGCTTTCCATTGACATCTCCGATGATGGCGCTGCGAAGTCCATTAGCCGTTGCTGTGATGCGATCATGGTGAAGACCCATGTGGTCGTCGAGAGTAGCGTCGACGTCCATGTTGTGGTCCATTTGAAGTGGATGTTGGATGAGGAAATGTTGAAGAAAAGATGGAAACTAACATCTTCGAGGCCATGGCTTTATCAGCGGCAGCCGCCGCGCGGCAGTGAGTGAAGTGAATGAAAGTCTAGCATGTGACAGCACGCTGCATGGCTGGCAGGTGGAGGCGAAGTGAAGGCAATGAAGTGAGGCCAAACTGCCACGGCCGAATTTTGAGTGACACGTTTCTCGCTCCTTGATGTATGGGCGAGATACGAGGTGAAGGCAAAGTTGGTCTCTTTAATGGATTCAATATGTGGTCTGCCTGATGATGGGAGTAGCAGACCAAGGGCATATACCACTGGGAGGTAGAGGTAGTTTGCCTTCACTTTGGTGTTTTCTGATTGGAGCTAGACGCGTTCTGGGCAACTAGGGTGGGCCGCAAATAAGGTTCACGGCAGCGGGAGATCGACATCGCTTCGGACAAGCTCTCTGAACTTTTTTGGATCGCACAGCCTTTGAGAACTGAGATCCTCCTCCTCTGCATTTACAACACACACGCACATGTAAATCATCATGTCTTCCATGTCGCGAGGGAGGGTATCGCAGGCCCCTAAAGCCAGCAAAGTCGTCAAGCCGAAACAGAACTCGAAGCGATCGACGCAGCACAACCGCAACTATCGATGGAAGTCCTTCAACGAGCGCATCTCGAACCTGAAAATCGACCCGATACGACGAAAACGATTCGTGGAGCAGGAGGAGAAGGCGGTAGAAGCGACACATACCTTCTTCGGAGAGGCGTTATCAGGATGGAGGGACACCAACTTGTCGGCGACATTCAGCGCATTCGCCAAAGACGCCGCACCGCTGTGCGACAACCTGCCCATGGTCTTACACAACGAAGACAAGATCGCGGATTTGCTGATGGAGTACATTGAGAAGGGAGATGCCTTGGCCATGGATCCGCTGCTGAATCTGCTGTCGACGCTAGCGCAAGATCTCGGCGTGCGATTCGAGAGACACTTTCAACGAGCAGTGGCAACTGTTCTGGCTGTCGCGTCGAAGCACGAAGACCTGCCGGTCATCGAGGCAAGCTTCAATTCCCTCGCATGGCTATTCAAGTACCTCCAGAAGCTTCTGGTGCCGGACTTGCGGCCCTTGTACGATCTTCTGGCGCCGTACATCGGGCAAGTGAAGCAGAAGCCTTTTGTCGTGCGATACGCTGCTCAAGCATTCTCATTTCTTGTTCGGAAAGCCGCGATTGTCTACGAACGGGACACCAAGCCCTTAAACACCATCATAGAACACGTCTTGCGCAATTGCGTAGACACCGCCTACGAGCCCTCTGCAGGTCTGCACCAGCAAGGTATCATGGCTTTACTGAGTGAGGCAATACAAGGCGTCCAGCAGGCGCTCGTAGCTGGTGGCTCTGCGATCTTGCAGAGTACCTTCCAATATGCTGAACGCCTCGCCCAGGATGATCTTGCGTGTGTGGAGCACATCGTCTGCGGAGTCCTGACAGATTTCATCCACTTCAGCAATCAGGAAGGCTTCAAGCCTGTCTTTGAGACGATACTTGAACATATCAGTCGCAGCGTAGGTAACACCAGCGCAAAAAGCATTCGATTCAATAGTTCATTACTCTTCACGGTCGTCTCTGTGCGAAAAGGATCTAGAGTCACTGACTGGAAAGCTGTGTCGCAAACGAGCAAGGCTCTTGTTGTCGCTTGCGAGCAGCTGGATGCGCTTGAGGATCCAGTTGCAGAAGCAGTGCTGGGCCTGTATGCCGTCGTTCTGCAGACTGCAAACACTGGCGCCGTCCAGGCGATGGTCCAGACGCTAGACGGCCTTCGCAGCGGCACATGGGCGCCTCGTTTTGTGCGACTATGCGACATGGTGCTCAGGCTGGGCCCAGAGCGCTTCAATGAAATGCTACTTCCACACCTCCAGAGATTCGTAATTGAGAGACCCAGTCTGGATGATGCGAGTCTGCTCATGCTCATTCCTCGCATTGGAAGATACAAGCCGGATTTCACACTCAAGTGCTCAAAATCAGCTATCACAGACCTCCTGGCTCGTATCGAGGCCATAGTCACGAATCAGGAAGACACTCTTGCGCATGCCAATCTGCTCCTAGCCGCATTACCTTACCTTGCTATCGATAGCAACAGCAGCGAGAAGCTGTGTGACATACTACTCATACTGGTGGAATCTGTCTTGAAGAGCGAAGAGTTGATGTCCCAAGATACGAGATGCTTCATCATCGGCTCGGTATTACAGCAGCTCTTGAAGATGCTGCCCGAGACGAACAGCGCGGCAGGTCTTTGGGTCATGATGAGCCAAGCCAGTGCCGAATTTGCGTCTTTACCAGCTTTCTGGTCCAACGTGCTGCAATTTGTGAAGCGATATAAGCCTACCGCTCTCACAGGCGAACATTTCACTGCCCTCGAAGACACTGCTATTTCTGCTCTTTCCATGGCATCTCACTCCATCAGGCAGGACGCTTTGGACTTGCTGCAAGAGCTTTACCGTCTGCGTAAACTTGAAGAGCCAGCTGTTCTTGCTACTGCGATTACAATCGAATCCATTCCTATCTCGCTAGAGACAGCTAGATCGATTTCCATGAACATCCGGAGACTTCCACCGCAGTACACAGGCTTGACTAATGGGGATGTGATGCAACGAGCTATACCCACATATCTATTCGGCTTACTTCACCTTTACCTTGCGCAGGCATGGGACGATGCAAGTGATGCGATTGCAGCTATTTGTCAGTCAAAGGCTGGCGAAGAGATGGTCGTCAATCTGGCGCAGAAGTGGATAGATAGCAAGTCAGATGACCGTCCAGTGCCTCAGACCCCAATACTGGTTGATGTCGAGACAGATGGATTCAAGGTCTCCTCCAATTTCGAATGTCCAAATCTTGCGAAACTCTACGCCATCCGCAAGCAGGTCTTTGACGAAGACTATAGCGGCTTACCCTCGCCCAGAGATCGACTTGTGCTTGATCAGCAGAGAGTATCGTTGATATCGACAGCGGCCCGAACTCAGGCTCTGAAGGTTCTGAACAAAATCCCACAGATTGCAGAGAAACGCTCACGTTTGCTCGTGCCGATTCTGCTGAGATGGGCAGGATCACAGAGTGATGAGGCAGAAGATACCGTAGCCACAGATCGTTGGGCACGAAAAGATCAGAAAGCACTTCTCGGCCTCTTCGCAAAATTCAACAATCCCAGGGTACTGTACAAGGCGGACACTGTGTTTGATGCATTGCTTGCTCTTTGTGCGAATGGAGACGTGGAGATACAAAAGTCTGCTCTGCAAGCCGTACTGTCGTGGAAAGAAAAGTCCGTCACACGCTACGAAGAGCATCTCAACAATCTGCTGGATGAAAACAGATTTCGCGAAGAACTGTCGGTTTTTCTCCATGATACCGCAGACACTGAGGATGGGAAAGAAGGCATTCGGGCAGAAGACCACTCACATCTTATGCCTGTCCTTTTACGCCTACTATATGGCAGATCCGTTGCTGGAGGGAGAGAAGGTCAAGCTGGCCGCCGAAAAGCCATTTTCGTGGCGCTTTCGCGGTTCGGTGAGGCAGTCCTAGGCCAGTTCTTAGATATCGCTTTCAGGCCCATCGCTGATGCAGACCTTGATTCGGATAATGGGGATATACCGCAGACGACTGCGCCCCTGCGACAACAGCTTGGTTTTGTCAACATGATGAATGACATGCTTCAAGTCCTAGGAGACAGCCTGGAGAGTTTTGCCCCGAAGCTCGTCAGAAGTATCCTGGCATGCACTGTCAGCGCTGCTCACAAGATGGAGCAAGATACCAGCGACGTAGCACTGGCACGCTCAATTCGTCAGACTGGTATTCAATGCCTCGTTAAAGTCTTCTCTAGCATGACAGAATTTGACACACAAGGTTGTGGAAAGACCATCACGCAGGAGCTGATTCTGCCACGCCTTGACGCCTTTGCTGCCGAGACTGCACAATCGGTCTCGGGCACTTTACGCCTCTTCTCTGCTTGGAGCGAACGCAGTTCGACATCGAACCTGTTCACTGGGCCTGGCAGTACAATCTTGCAGCGCGTGGCAGACCTACTTGAGGGACAACACACCAAGAGCGAAGTTCAGATATTCGTGCTTCAAGATATCCTTGACCATCTCGTGACAATTGACATTGAGCAGTCTGTGCTTCAGCCTCACGTGTCAAGCTTCGTCAAGGCCATCGGCTTGGTGATCGAGCAGCAACCGTCGAAGGAAGTGCTTGATGCATGCGTACACTCCTTTTCTCAACTTGCCGGGCGAATTACCTCAGAATCAGAAGCTGCTCATGTCACTAAAACTTGCACAGAGCTGTTGAAGAAGCCAAACAGGCAAGTCTCTCCCTCGACCAAGTCTGGGCTGCTACAAACTATACTCCCGCTCATTGAAAATTTTGGCATCGACGCAAAAGACAACCTGTACGATGCAATTTGCGTGCTTTACTCCCGTCTTAGCCATGCAGACAGCCGCGTGCTACTCTCCAAGGTTCTCGCTGCACTTGTGCAAGGTAACTCAGCACTCCTGGACGTAGCCCGAGCTTGCGAAGACATGAATGCAAGAGGTACACGCTTGAATGAACCGGATTTCAAGCGCCGCGATGAAGCATTCAACAAGATCAAGAGCTCTTGCCATACCTTCACTGTCGAGCAATGGCTTCCCTTGGTACACAACTTGCTATACTATATTCGTGATGCCGAAGATCGTGTCAACCGCACAGACTCGTCATATTGCCTCCAGCTTTTTGTGACTGCCGCTTCGAAGCACTCGAGCGAAGCGCAGTGGATGACGCTACTCGAACACGCCGTGCTTTCGGGTATCGAACGCGGTATGCATGAGAAGTCGGAACTGGTTCGTTCTGAATACTGTCAAGTTCTCAATCATATTATCGAGAACTTTCCAGATTGGCAGAGGATAAATAGCCTGCGGATCCGCGGCCATGAGGATGAGGAGAATTCGTTCTTCTTGAATGTGCTTCACATTCAACTTCGTCGGCGTATGGCCGCTGTGCAAGTACTGGAGCGAGAGGCGGCGAATGTTGGCTCGAATAATGCTTCGCGTATTCTTTTGCCTCTGCTTGAGCATTTCGTCTTCGATGCTGCTGATGGCGAGGCTGGACTGAATCTTGCGAACCAGACTAGGAAGACTATTGGTGCGCTGGGTAAGGCTCTCAACAAGAATGCCTTCCGGGCCACGTTCCAGCGGTATGCAGGGTAAGTACTTCCTCGTGCTTGAGCAGACCAGATGAGATGTAAAGTGACGGCTGCTAACTTGTAATGCGTTCTGCAGGTATCTCAAAAACAAGGAAAAAGATGAGCACGAAACGGTTGAAAAGCGCGTCCTGCAGCTCTTGAGAGAGTTGGTCGACGGACTTCATTCTTTGCCAGTCGAGCAGAGGCCCATCACAGATGCTGTGATCAAGGAACAGCTTGCACCACTTCTGGAATACTTGTAAGTCACCCACTCCTTTCTTGATCACGCACAGTTCTTGGCCGAATTGGGAGAAAAGCACGTTCGATTTGCCAGGCAGAGAGGATGCAGAACACTTGCTTACTGACCTTGGCTTTAGACATCAGAAGGACGAATCTACAGTGGACCGCCGCATATCAATCGCAGTAACCATTGTCAAGCTAATGTCTGGACTGCCAACCGACGACTTTACATCTCGCTTGCCCGGCGTGCTTACCGACATTTGCCATGTTCTGCGTAGCAGAAGTCAAGAGGCTCGCGATCAGACAAGGAGGGCTCTGGCGCAGATTCTCGAATTCATCGGCCCAACATACTTTGGCTTCGTCCTGAAAGAGCTCAAGGGATCTCTCAAGCGTGGCTACCAGCTCCACGTGTTGTCATTCACAGTTCACTCACTCCTCGTGGGTAGCCTTGAAAGCCTCAGTCCAGGAGACCTCGACGAGTGTCTTCCACATCTCATGGATGTCATCATGGACGACATTTTCGGTGTGACTGGGCAGGAGAAAGATGCCGAAGAGTACAAGAGTGGCATGAAGGAGATCAAGAGCAGTAAGAGCTACGATACCATGGAGCTCTTGGCACGGGTGACGCCTGTGCGTCGACTGGGAGCACTGGTTCGACCGATTCGCAACATGCTCTCGGAAATGCTGGACAACAAGTCCATCAAGAAAATCGACGACTTGCTCTTGCGTCTTCGCAAAGGACTGGATCAGAACCCCGAAGCAGACAGTCGGGACATGCTCAGCTTCTGCTGGGAGATTGTAAATCAGGTCTATGCAGAGGACAATGCTGCCCATGCGCCCAAGGTAGAGCTTGACGAACGTCGCAAGCGTTATGAGATTCAACCTGAGCCGGAGAAGAAGAAAGTTGGACCGAAAGGAAGCACGACGTCCTACAGATTCAAGCTCATCTCTTTTGCTCTCAATCTGCTCCGAAAAGTGGTTCGTCGTCACGAGGATCTGCAAACGGTCACGAATATGGCTGGATTTCTGCCGATGGCTGGCGATGCTCTCGTGCAAGGTCAAGAGGAGGTCAAGCTCTCAGCGGTTCGACTGCTATCCACCATCATGCGTGTGCCCATGAAACAGCTGGAGGAGAACGCTCCGGTCTATGTCAAAGAGGCCGTCGCCATGATCAAAGGTGCTTCGAGCAGCACAACGGATGCCTCGCAGGCTGCACTGGAACTCGTGACATCAGTCCTGCGCGAGAAGCGGTCAATGCCAGTCAAAGAGAAAGACATTGCCCTCTTACTCAAGCGAATCAAGATCGATATTGATGAGCCAGATCGGCAAGGTGTCATTTACAGATTCTTGTATGCCGTCCTTGGACGCAAGATCGTTATCACTGAAGTTTACGAGGTGATGGACGAGGTCGGCAGAGCTATGGTGACGAACCCTGACTTCTCCATCAGGCAGAGCGCGAGGAAAGCCTACCTGCAATTTGTCATGGACTTCCCGCAGGGCAAAGATCGTTGGCAGAAGCATACTGCTTTCCTGATCACTAATCTCAAGTATAAGCATGCCGCCGGACGACAGAGCATCATGGAGTTCTTGAATTCTATGCTGAATAAGATTGGGGAGGACGTGCTGAACGAGCGCGCACCTGAGATCTTCTGGACTTTGGTGCCACTGCTGGTGGGAGATCCAGATGTCAAGTGTCGAGAGATGGCGGCAGCGCTCATTGGCGTGCTGTTTGAGCGCGCCGAGGACGAGAAGCTGATGGCACAATTTCTCGCCACCATGGAGACCTGGTTGAACAAGGACAAGCCACTCCTGAAAGCTGGTGCCCTGCAGTGCTGGGCAGTGTTGCTTGAAAAGCGGCAATTACCTCAGAAACAGCTCACTAGTCTGCGTGGCAAAGTGGAAGCCATCTTGGCTGACCAAGAGGAAGAGATCAATCAACCTCAGGTGGTGTTGGACGCCCTGCGAGCGTTTGCTGTGCTGGTCAAGCGTTTCCCCGATGCCGTTGGCCTTGCCGAAGCTTCTGGGGACACATGGCACGCAATCCAGCGGCTACCAGCTACAGAGGACACCAGAATACAGCTCGCCATCGCCGAACTGCTCGGCGCATACTTCACAAACTTCGCGAGCACAAGCTCCAAAACTGCGGACGGTCTCGCAGGTCTACCACTTCGGGGATCCGGTGGGCTTGAACTCGGCGCAGAAGACATGCGGCGATTATGCCTCGTGTCATTGCGAGCACTGCGCGCCGTCTCGCTCAGTACAGATGAAATTCTCACGGCCCAGATCGTGCGCAATATCTCCGATCTAGGTCGGTTTTTCGCCGCCAACGAAATGCCCTGGAACAACAACGCCGTGCAAAGCACAGATGTGTCCGTATCCGAATCAGAAGAAGCGGAAGAAGAACAAGAAGGCGACGAAGAACAGTCCATTGCACGCACATCCGAAACCGCCATCTCCCACCTTCTCCGCCGCCTCTCCTCCATGCTCATGGCCGACAAATTCTCCATCATCGCCCGCACCTCGGCCCTCTCAACTCTCTCCAGAATCCTCAAAACCCTCTCTTCTCCCAAACTTCCCCCCAACTCTCTCCAACCCATCCTGCGCCCTCTCTACGCATTAACCGACCCCAGCGTCCCCAAACCCCCCGGGGAGCTGCACAAAGCGCTATCCGACACAGCGTCAGAAGTCTTGGATTTCTTGCGCCAGAAACTCGGGTCCGAAATGTTTCTGGCGGCGTTGGCGGTCACGAGGAGTGAGGCGAAATTGCGACGCGAGGAGAGACGGTCGAAGAGGAGGATTGAAGCGGTGAGTGAGCCGGAGCGATGGCAGAAGAGTAAGCAGAGGAAGTATGAGGGGAAGAAGTTGAAGTTGAAAGAAAAGGGGCATGAGGCGAGGAGTGCGAGGAGAGGGTGGTAAAAGAGGTACCTACTGTAGGGTAAGGTAGGTAAGGTAGGGTAGACAGAGTGATGCGTGCACGTGTACTTGATACCCTTTGCAGCAGTATGAACAAAAAAGGTATATTATATACATGTACAGGTACATGTTAATAAAATGCTTCAGGTGAAGTAAGAACTTTATTCTTCTTCTTCTTCTTCTTCTATATGCATTGCCCTTTCCCCCTCCCCCACATCTATGTCCTGTAGTCCCTACACCTTTTTCCATGCAGAACTTCTTCTCATGCTATACAAGAAAGGAATTGAGAAGAAAAAGAAAATTCCCACACGCTGCTGTCGCTATAAACCGTCGATCTATATCCTCTTTGCATCCAGCACTTGGAAGCCAAGGTGTTGTTCTTGTTCTTAATGTCGATGTTGTTGTTGTTGTTATTGTTGTTATTGTTCCCCTTTCCCGTGGGCTCTTATCGAAAAATCGCCTCGTCTGTAGATAATTCCCCTTTAAAAAAAAGCAATAGCAAAAGGTAGCGCATGATTCAGATGTTCACAAACACCCATTCACTACGGCCCTTGCCACATAATTTCGCACGACTTGTGTCTCTTCTTGAACTGTGCAATGCGATCCTGTATCCAGCCACAATTCCAATGCTCCTCTTCTCGTTCATCACTCTGCCCGAAGCGAATATCTTTCCCCAAGTGACATCTGCCCGGCGTGTACATCCATTGAATACATTCGCCCTCTCCCTCGCGCATACAGGCTTCCGCGCAGAGTTCTTCGGATTGGATGGCACGTTGTTGGTAGTCTTCCAAGAGGTAGAAATCCGGATCCTCGTCAGTGGCGAGCGCGGGAGCGACGAATTTCTTGTCTTTGGAGAGATTATTCCAGCTTGTGCGGTTCACGGAGACGTGTTGGGCGAGGAAGCGTTCGAAGACGTCTCTGTAGAGGTAGGGTTTGTTCCAGCCGTGTTCGTGCGCCCAGTCGAGTTGGAATTGCCAGTATGAGTCTACTTGGATGGGGTTGACGTGGTGCCAGGTGAGAGGGGGCGTACACCAGTGGTGGTCGGTGAAGTCGACGGTACTGATCGTCTCGCCCTGGATGAGTGGCCAGGCGTGGGTGAGAGGAATGTCTACGGCGTGGAATGCGCGAGCGATAATCTCATCTCCGCAGCAGGATTTGGCGATTTCCTCCTCCCATTGCTGATCATACACCTCTTTACCTGCGTTGTAGCGCGCTGCCTCGAGGACGTCTGCTGCTTTCCTCGACACGACAATGCCACTGCCTCCATGACCGAATTCCGTCTGGCCGATCACATTCTGTGCGCCCAGATAGTATGGCTGCTTCGGATCCATAGTCTGGAGCCAAAGGAGTAAATTCAGCCACGACAAGCTCGTATCTGCCTCCATCATCACGAACCAGTCGATGTCGTCGCTGGCCGTCTCAAAGACTTGATGGAACATGGGCATGAACTTCCACTTGTCCAAGTTCCAGCCATTGTCGCCTTGCAGCTTGCTCATATCCTGGCCTTCGCGCTGCCACTTTTCAATGTCTCTATACAGCTTAAAGTCCTCATGCTCTTGCCGGATCTTTTTGCTGACGGGCGCGATCGCATCGTAGATGGGGACGTCGGCGAAGCTCTGGTTCAGATCGGAGAAGACCATGAAATTGGGCACACACTTGAAAGTGGTGATGAAGTGCGCGGGCAGCTTCTGATACAGCTCTGTCGCTCCCGTCTTCAGCATGACCATGACCCTGTCGGCGCCAGGTAGGTGCATGCACTCGGCATCGGATCCTGCTGCTGATGCTGCTGCTGGTGCTGTTGTTGTCGCTGGAGATGGAGTCGGCGTCGGTGTCGGTGATGGCGCATGTGCTCCAGGAGGGGGTGCAGGCCCAGCGTCGTCATGATCTACTTCTTGTTGTACTGGCGCTATGTGCTCGGTGGTGTACTCCCTTGCAGTAGGCAGCCATGTGTCGCTCAAGAGAAAGATGGTGACGACCACAATGAAGATCACAGCTACACGGGCTAGCGCGAAGCCACGGGGACCGCCCAACGCCGCACTCATTCTTGCTGGTCTATTGTAATGTAGTCTGAGGAGGTGGAAGGGAGGGGAGAAAGGTAGAGGCCCGAGAGGGCATGCGACAAAAGGGGCGGCGGTGTCAAGCAGCGAGCAGCAAGCAGGGAGCAGCAAGCAGATGTAAACCAAATATGCACCTCCTCTTCCCTAGTCTATTTGGATGTACCTCTAACCGCAGTGAAGAGTCGACCGATGGCACGTACCGTCGGCGACACGCGCCCACCACTTGCTCGTATTGCCTCCTACGGTGTCGGTGCCGGTGGTCTCACTACCTCTTAGTTTCAGCCGCCAACTGCACGGTGGAGGGAGAAGAAGAATAAATCAATTTTCGAAGGTAGAGAGTAAAGACAAGGGAGGATTTGGAGACTCGAGGACAAGACGAGACAGTCGGCGGATATTCTCAAGGGTTAGCAGATATTCTTGAGGGAGAAGCTCCCTTCGGATATGAACCTTGTTGAGTCCAAGTCCCCAGTGTCCATCCACCTGGTCTCTCGAGTGTCCCTATCTCGAGTGGGTGTGATTCAAGTTAATACTCCCGTCTTCTGACCACTCAGCACTCCTTCGCTTGCCCTGTACAACGCTGTGAACACAGTCATCTTCATACATGAATGTGACGAACGTGCAGCTGGTCTACATTAGTCTCGTCCGCTCGAACCCCTTGTCGGCATTTGAAAATCTAAAACCGGACGCTTGCAGAGGCTTGTCTCGGAACGACTGCTACAGCCTACAGCCTACCTACAGGTAATCAGAAAATCTCGCTTTCTCCTTCGTGACGACGAGAGGTATATCCGTGTTGCCAACGCCAGAGATGCGTTTTCATCTTCATAGCCCTGTACAGCTCGCGACCAGCGTCGACACCTCTTTCAAATCCGAGAACCATTCTCGTGGAACCCACTGAGAGCAGCGACCATACCAGAAAACAAGACATGGCGTCAACGTCTATCAGGGACTGTCCGGCAGCTCAAAGTCAAAACTCAAAAACACGACGATCTACATGTCCAGAACGCCATTGCAACTTCACCTGCATATCGTACACATCACTCTGTCATTCATAGCAATGGAATCTGGGACATAAGGCTTGTGGGCCAGCACACGGGAACATGGGGTCCACCACAGCAACAATGCCCACTCGGCGTACTGGTCTGGTCGTTGCGATGGCCTTGGCCGCAATGCTTCTCATATTCGCCACCTTGGCCACTTTCTCTGGGCCCTCGCTGGGATTCCCAGCTTCGTCTTCACTTGTCCACAAAGGGGCTAGTTCAGGCTCACTACTCGCCTCGCTGGCACTGCGAAAGGTGCTGAAAGATGCAAGTCCCATCTTCGGTGACCCTTCGACCCTCCTAGGGGCGGAAAACACATCGGAACCAAAAACGGCAACATGGATGAAAGCCTACCACGACGAGACAAAGATTGTACATATGAACTTGCCTGGGACTCATGACGCCGCGACGTGGAACTACAGCCATTCTACTCAAGACTCCTTGGAATATATCAACGGACTCGCCAACATCTCTGCCCAAGATCCTGCAAACTATAAATGTCAGTCGAAGTCGCTGATTCAGATGCTCAATGCTGGGATTCGGGTCTTTGATCTCCGATACGCATTTGATGTGACGAGGACGAATCTGGTCTTCTGGCACGGCAACGCTCTCCAATCCGAGACAGCCACAGTCGAAGACGTGCTCTACGCATTCTACCTCTGGCTAGACCAGCACCCTAGCGAGGCGCTCTTCCTGTCCTTCCAACACGAAAATGGCGCAAATGATGCTCAGACACAGCTGGCACTATACCAAGTTCTTACTTCCCCGTCTGCACAGTCGTACATTGTACAAGCTCGAGGCCAATTAGATACTCTTGGCCACGCTCGAGGCAAGATCACACTCCTCAAACGCTTCGACCTAGACTTACTCCCAGACACCTACGAAGACAGTATACCAGGCCTGCACTTCTCCCCGCTCAAATGGACGGACGATGGCGACAACATCGAATTGGTCTACAATTCGACTTCTGGCTCAACAGCATACATTGAGGACTACTACCACCCTTCCACTCCGAGTGATTCGACAGCAGCAGAGAATATACAGTGGAAACTGAACGCCACCGAGGCACATCTCAATCGCGCCGCTTCCAATCTTCACACAGACAGCCTGTTCTGGGGATTCGCATCTAGTACCAAAACGAATAACGAACCACCTCTGACTCCACAGATTCTGGCGCTGGGGAACGGGACGTTGACGCCGCAAGGTGGTGTGAACCAGCAGCTGGTGTCTGTGTTGCAGGGTATGAGCGGTAAGAGGTTGGGGATCATGATGTTTGATTTCTTCGAAGAACCCCAGGGGTTCCTGGAACTGTTTCTGAGCCTCTTGAGACCAGACGAGGCGAGGAACTATGGACTATGATTGTACAGTATAGATTGGTAGTATCATGTACTCGTCTCATTGTCGGCTTCACTGCATGTCTGGCTGTTCTCTTTGAGGTGAAGTAGGCGGGCCCAAATCCGTCTCGTCGTATCTCTCGTCAGGATATATGAGGATGTACTGCAGTGCCGGGTTTTCAGGTAGGTACCGTCTATCACGTACCGAAGCTCTGCTCGCCGGCAGTTATGCGTAGGTTTGAGATTGATTTAGAGCCGGGCGGTTGAGGCTAAACTCATACGGTGGTACCTCCCGCTGCGTTCCTGGCTCGTAGGGCTCACCACTACGCGCACAGAAGGCATGTGTGTATACGATGACCAGATGAACGTAGACGTATATGAGGCGGGAGTTGTTGTCGTCCTCGTCAACGATGATTCCCTTCTGTGACGGCGTGGCAGCTGTGTTCACTCTCCAAGCCAAACGGCGGTCGGTTGAAAGCGCGGGAGGTGTGTGGTACAGTGGTACTAAAAGGAGAAGCAGGGGAAGGGGTTTGGCGCTATTCAGGGCGATCGACGCTAAGGTATGTACCACGCTCGTCCCCTCGAATCCATCATGTCGCCGGTGGATGGTGCGCAATGATGATAACGAAGCCAATATTCCGTGCATTACCTGATTCGACCATTCGAAGCATGGCCAGCGAATTAGCGTACGGCAGCACACATGGAGGCGTGGCGTATCCCTCTCTGAACCATTATTATCCTCACGCTGCAGCAGTTGGTGGCTCTGCTGCTGCTTCTGCTGCTTCTGCTGCCGCCGCTCCCGCGAACAGCGCACAACAAGCTTTCAGCCCTGGGACGACGAACCATTACAATCCGCATCAGCACCAGCAGCAGCAGCAGCATGGCCATGGAGCAGCAGGCGTGTCATCCGGCGGGAGCATGGAGCACCACCACCAGCACCAGCAGCAGCCGCAGCATGTTGGCAATGGTGAGTACAAGTCGCGTCTGTCTCCTTCACTGTCGTCGCTACCTACCTTTCTTCACCTGCTACTCGACCCACTGTCCCTACCCTCAAATCTCTGCACCGGCTGTTTGCTTCACCTTCCCTCCCTTCAGCCTCCTTGCCAAGCACTGGCGCTCCAGTAGAGGACGTCAGCGTTCTAACGACCGAATGACCATGCAGGCTTCCACTTCACCTCTGGGCCGCCTCCCTCGAGATTGGCGCACCAGTTCCACCACCAGCAGCCGTCCGTGAGGAACAGCACGTCTCCACAGCCTGGGGCAGCACATCAGCCAACACCGCCGAAACAGTACCCCATGGCCGCTCCGCCTCTGCCCAATACCCCGAACAGCGTCAGCAATAGTAATACGGGGGCCTCGCCTGGCTCACCGCGGTCGCCGGGGACGGAGACTCGGGAGCAACAACGCACCGCTCTCCTGTTCGACATCAACAACGAGCTCTTGAAAGAAGTCAACAATCTCCAACTCGCTGGCAAGGGCGGCGCGATGAGCCCGCAGCAAGTCCAACAGGCACGAAGTGAAGGCAAGTCAGATCACATGGCCTCGGAAGAATACATTCAAAGCCTCAGAAGGCTGCAAGCGAACCTGGCATACCTGATGGCGAAGGCGCAGCCTGATGCCGCAGCACAGCAACAGCAGCAGCAATCACAACAATCAGGCAAGCCTGCTCCCGGGCCTGCGCATATGACCGCCCCGCCGCATATGCCACAATTGGAGGACAGCTATCGGACCTTGCGAGATCTGTTTCCGGGCTGGCAGGGGCTGGATCACCGGTCATCCTCTTCCATGTCGGGACCTCCTCCAGCTTCTTCGCCGAGCGCGAATTATCAAAATGGGTTGGGGACTTCAGCACCATCTTTGTCATGATCCCGACGCAAGGCAGCCTGTCCAGGCCAGATACAGTTCAAAAGCCACGAGAGGAGTAGGTTCATGTACTTTGTGGGATATGATCGGGTGTGAGGCATACGGGACAGGGGAGTTTGTTTCACCATTGCATGGGGAGTAGTAGGGAGAACTAGAAAAAAAAATCGGAGCTTACTATGGAAAGAGAGTTTTTTCCCCCCGAGAGCAATGTATCAGGGGTTCTGGTTACTACATGTCGGATAGGTATGTATATGTATCATTATACGCCCGGTTTGATCCAGGCTCAAGACACGGACCGTATAGATGTTTGCTGCAGACAGTCAATTACAGGTAGCATGCAAAACTTCACTTATTCTTTTGTTTTTTTTTAAACAAAAAAAAAGAAAAAATATGATTCGCTGCCCGTTAATGCGCTAAGGCTTGGCAGATTTTTACCATGATATATACAGGAGGTACCTATACAAAAGAGCTCCTCTCTGATATCAATTTTTTTCTTTTCCGGGTTACGACGTAGGATATCTGGGCTCAGTGCCTGTAAAGATCTGAGAAAAAGAGAATAGAGAAACCAAAAAGAAAGGAGGCTCCTCTCTGATATCGAAAGACATTTCGTTCGGGTAACGATAGAGGATATCTGGGCTTAGTAGGAAGAAGGGAAAACAGAGAACGGGAAAAGATACTAGGTAAGGGACTCCTCTCTGATATTGAGAGATATTTTTTCTAGGACACGATAGAGGATCTCTAGGCTCGGTATGATTCTGAAGATAGGAAAAACAGGAGAAATGGATACTAGGTAAGGGGCTCCTCTCTGATCTCGAAAGACATTTTTTCTAGGACACGATAGAGGATATCTGGGCTCGGTATGATTCTGAAGATGTGGAAAACAGAAAAACAGAAAAACAGAAAAACAGCAAAAAGGGAAAAAGGGAAAAAGAAAAGAGCCTCCCTCTCTGATCTCTAAAGACATTTCGTTCGGGTAACGATAGAGGATCTTTGGGCTCAGTATCATTCTGAAGATGTGAAAAACAGAAAAAAAAAAGAAAAAAGGGAAAAGGGAAATAGAAAAAACAGAAAAAAAAGGAAAAAGGGAAACAGAAAAGGACCTCCTCTCTGATCTCGAAAGACATTTCTTTCGGGTTACGATGTAGGATATCTGGGCTCGGTATAATTCTGAAAATGGGAAAAACAGAAAAAAAAAAAACAGAAAAGGGAAAGGAGAAAAAGAAAAAGACCTCCTCTCTGATCTCGAAAGACATTTTTTCTAGGATACGATGTAGGATATCTGGGCTTAGTAGGACGATGTAAAAAAGGGAAACAGAGACAATAGATACTAGGTAAGGCTCCTCTCTGATATTAAGACACTTTTCTGACGGTTTACGATGTAGGATATCTTGGCTCAGTAGGAAGAAGGAAAAACAGAAAAACAGAAAAAAAGGAAAAAGGGAAAAAGAAAAGTCCCTCTCTGATCTCGAAAGACATTTCTTTCGGGTTACGATGTAGGATATCTGGGCTCGGTATGATTCTGAAGATGGGAAAAACAGAAAAAAGAGAAAAAAAAAGGAAAAAGAGAAAAAGAAAAGGGCCTCCTCTCTGATATCGAAAGACATTTCTTTCGGGTAACGATAGAGGATATCTGGGCTCAGTAGGAAGAAGGAAAAACAGAAAAACAGAAAAAAAGGAAAAAGGGAAAAAGAAAAGGGCTCCTCTCCGATATTAAGGACCTTTTCTGACAGGTTACGATATAGGATATCCTGGCTCAGTGGGACGATATGAAAACAGAAAAAAGGGGTCAAAGCAGGAATTTTTCATTTCATTTTTCATCGTTATTTCACATCGCTCTGCCATTGGCTTCTTTTACTTCAGGTATGAAGGATCAAATTTGATATCACAGCCAGCGATCAACTTGCTGAGGTGCTCAGAAAAATACTGCTCTTCCGACTTCTCCGGCGCGTTCTTGTTCTCATCTTTTGCCAGCTGAGCCAGCTTCGCCAACCCAGCGCGAACGAGCTGCTCGGCGTCCTCACTCCAATTGGAAAACTCTGGGCAATGGACAGAGTCCTTTGTGTCATTGGACAGCAGAGGGAGAGAAGCGGCTGAAAAAGGAATGAAGTCAGTCAAGCGGTTCGGTATAGCAGCGATTCAACAGGACAAAGAGGGGAAAAGGGAAGGGTTGTAAGACTTACCACCGTCTGAATAATTTGTGCTGACAGTCGACAGCGAAGAGATGTTGCGAAGCCTGGCTTCAATGTGATTGATATGCAGCTGGACGAATTGCTGCGAAACGTCGCCCGCTTCTGTGTTTGCGCGAGTGACTGGGTGACCCTCAGGGTTATTGATAGGTGCGCTGGACATGGACGCGGTCTCAGCGCTGGCGACAGCGGTGTTGAAGCTGGTCGGGAACGTGAAGGTAGTAACGTTCTTGAGGCTGGTAGCTGTTACAGGCTGCGTCAGTATCACTGTAAGAGGCCGAAGGGAGGGAAAGGAGAAGTGAAAGCTTACCGCCGCCAGTAGAGTTGGTTTCGTTGGACATGGTGGTGCTATACTTGTGGTCGTCGATGTTCTTGGTAGGTTGCGTAAAGAAGAAAGGAAGAGAGAAGAAGAGAAGCGGATAGTCGTAAGTGCTATTAAGGCCTTGTGACGCAAAAAGCGCGCTAACGATATAGGGTCTATGTGAATCGCGTATTTGTTTAAAGAAGGAGCGTCCGGGTCTAGGTACTAGAGTCGGAGGTCGAGGACTTCTAGTCGAGATATTTATTAGAACAGACGCCATTCGACCTCTATACTAGACGCAAAGAGTACTAACCTAGAAGGGAGAGATCCTTAGAGTAATATCGAGGCCTAGGACGAGTATGTAGAGTAGTTCTAGGTCCAGATATCTAGGTAGCGAGTTGCTATTAGGCAGGTAGAAAAGGACGCGACGCGTCCAACATAGCTTAAATAGGAAGCCTCGTAGGTTCACTATCTTCCTTATTGAGGTCGAGAATACAGACTCGAATCGTATAGAGCCTTTTACCTAGGAAGCGTCCTCGATTGACAAACACCTTCGTCCCCTTACCTAGGGAGTATCCTCGATTGACAGACACCTTCGTCCCCTTCAGCGACGACCAACTCTTGCTGGAATCTAGCCCCTGACCTCCCGATTATGGCGCCTGTCGCTGCGGCATGCTCAATAACCTGCTGCTCGAGTACGAGCACACCCAGAGACTGATCTGGGATCTAAGCGCGGTCTGAGAGCGACGAGCGCGGCACTCTCGCGTCCTTCCGGCGTGGCTTTCCCAAGTTTCCTACCTACAGGGACCTCACTGACACCTGGGCGCAGCAAGCGGGCAAACGGAGGTGAACCATCGATGGCAACCGAACAAACTACAGTACCATCTTGGCAAAACAGAGGAACAGCAGGGATTGATGCCACCGTGGGGATAACGCCTCGCACGTCCGCGCAGTGGGCGCGTTGGACCATATAATGGGCACACCTTGGAAGGGCTGGAGCTTGCGAAGAGTCCAACAGAGCGCAGTCTCCAGATGGACCCTTTTGGGCACCATAATGCCTAGGACGTCCAACTGGCCAAAGCGAAGGTTGTCACAATCATTCAATCGCGCCTGGTCTAGGGGCGAGCGCTTGTGGGAAGGTATCATGGCACAACTTCTCCCTGCCCATAGCGGTCCTCCGGGATCTGTGTAACAGCTTACGACGAGCATACACTTTGTCGTGCAAAAGAGATGGATCGCCTATACGAAAGCTCGGTTCGACGTCGTGCAGACGGTATAGTATTTGCAGAGTGCTCCAATTCCTTACAGCAATGGTATGAGCTCTGGTAAGGTATCCTCTCGTAATGCGGTACCCATATCGAACACACCAGGAGTTTGTCGTCTTGTCAAGGCTCGAGATTTGCTGGCATCTTGCGAGATCGAAGCTCCAGATCTGATGATGGCGTCCGGAATACAGACGTAGACGACGGCAGATCATGCATCCTGACTGCGTTTGCTTCGATGGCTGACTGAGGCTGCTCATGCTGGCTTGCTTTGCCCACCCGACTTTGCCTCAGCCACGGGACCAGGTTGTAGTAACCGCCGGCGGCAAAGATGCCAGTCCATAAAGCCAGCTCCACTCCATAGATAGCTAGAGCCAGGACATCCAGGTGCTTTTCAAAGAGGACAGAGATAATGGAAGCCAGGTCCCCTAGAGCATCAATTCCGACAAAGATAAAGGATATACCACGAACTGTACGATGTACATAGATATCCCAGTAATGTCTCAAGACCCCCAACGCCAACAACAGCGCAGCAAGTACAGCCATCAACGTCACAGGCCAGTCCACTCCTCCTTCCACCCCATGTCGGAGGGCGAACACCAGTCCCAGCTCAACACTTGCCATCAAAGCCGCAACTGGGACCACAACGCCTACGGCTTTCCACAGAGACCACTTGTTCTCGTAGTAGTAGCATTGAATCCAAGTCACAAGACTCAGTACAGTCAGGATTTGCGGTTGGACCTGCAGAGCAACATTAAGGTCCCGTACGATATTGTAGATCCCCAGGGGAACTCCTGCCCATGCCCAGAGCATCATCATCGTGGGCTGGAGACCTATGGCATTGTGACGTCTATAGTTGAGCCAGATTTGAGGGAGGAGTTGGATGGACCAGAATACCGCCCCCAGGATCCCGAAGGAGGTGGATAGGGCTGGACTGTCCATTATGAAGGGATCATAGGCGATGCGTGCGTTTGTCGAGCAGACAAACATATGAGAGAGTAGAGACAAGAGACAAACACTGCCCTGCGGGAGGCATATATAATCACAAATGGCTGGAACTGACCATGGCCAGGCAGGACCTGATAGATCCGGTCTGTTGTCCCTATATGCTATATACCAAGCACGAAATGAAGTCCTCTCGGAGGCCCGGAGGGCTCAGGGCACGTGCGAAGGGATACCGTCCGCGGAGTCTGGTTCACTTGAGTCCTAGTGTCAGTCATCAGACCCTACTTCGCTACGGTAGCCAATCAAGAGCAAGATCCGACACCTTCACACGCTCCCGTCTTCCGTGGTCTAGCGAAATCTTGGCACAGTGCCTGCGCATACTTGTCTAGAACGACTTGAATGGAACGACATTGACGATATATTCCACCACGACCGCCACTTTTCAGACTTCTACTGATACACTACACCTTCGACCATGGCCGAAACTGCCACTAAAGCGGCCCCTGCGGCCGCGACGCCCGTGACGAAGCCAGAGCGACCCGACGAGGAGGTATACAAAAAGAATCTCGCACAAGCCGAGAAGGAATTGAAGGTTGAGGAGGAACGCCTGGTACGTGAACATGAGACAACTTCCAGCGACCCCCCGGTTTCAGCGCCGCAGTCAAACATCACTGTGTCGACTTCGACGGCGATGTGACAATAGTGCGGCGTGGGTTATATGGCGGAGCATCGTGGAATGGCAGCCGGAGTGGCAGTGAGCTCCACAGCAATGCTTGCGAGATCGCATACATGCATCCGCGCCGACAGGGACTACGGGCACCTGCATCATGTCTGACTTCGACTTTGCACAAGTACAGGTGGACATGCAGGCGCCCGCTAGCTGATTTGCATCCGGTCCGGGTATACGATGCTAACAACTCAATAGAAGCAGATCAAGGCCAAGCTCGACAATGCAAAGCCGAACAACAAGGACTCTCCCTCGGGCAAGCGCCAGGCTGAGCTCCGCGCCGAATTGAAGACCATCCGTGACAGCCAGCAAAGTAGCAAGAGCGGGAGGTCACAGGTCTTGGATCAGATGAAGCGTCTCGATGAGAAGCTCAAGGCGCGAATCCAAGAGTCCAAGGAGAAGCGTGGCAAGAACAAATTCCAAAGCGCCGACGATGTGCAACAGGAAATTGATCGCCTACGTGCGCAGGTCGACACCGGCAGTATGAAGATCGTCGAGGAGAGGAAGGTCCTCGAGGAGATTGGCAAATTGAACCTGACGAAGAAGTCGTTTGGCGAGCTCAACGATATACAAAAGTCCATTGATCAGGTGAAGGCAGAAATTGCGGAACTCAAGAAGCAGCTTGATGACCCAGCTTCCCGTGCACTGTCGGACCGTTACACTCAAATCACGACTGAGCTGGACAAGATCAAGGCCGAGCAGGACGACGCGTACAAGAACTTGAACGCTCTGCGCGACGAAAGAACCAAGATTCACGAGCAGCAGCAGAAGAAATACGCCGCTGTCAAGGAGCTCAAAGACCAATACTACACGCAACGCCGCGCCGCTGTCGAGTACGAGCGTGAGGCTAAGCGCATCCGCGAGGAGAAGAGACGAGCCGAGAATGATGCATACCACCGCGGCAAGAGACAAGAAGCAGCAAAGTCCAAGCTCGAGGATGCAAGTGCGCCTGCCTACGATGATGAGATTCGCACTACCCGCTCGCTGCTCGCTCGCTTCGGGTCTGCTGTTGATACGCAACAAGTCACTGGACCTGGTCAATTTGCCGCTACTGATTTCCGCAAGGTCGACGACGCCGGCATCAAAGGGACTGCTCTGAAGAAGAAGGGTGAAGAAGAAGAGGCGTATTTCGTTGGTGGCGGCGGAAAGAAGAAGAAGGGCAGAAAAGGCGCAGCCAATGGTACTGCTTCACCTGCTCCTGAAACCACCAGCAAGTTCAATCTCGATCTCGGTACCATCTCTGCACTGGCGAAGGTTAATGTCGACCCACCAATGTCGCAAGCCGACGTGCCATCCGTCGTTGAGACACTCAAGGAGAAACTCGAGTTCTGGAAGAAGGACCAGGATCGTAAGACGAAGGAGAACATCGCCAACGCCCAAAAGGAAATCGACAGACTCGAGGCTGAATCTACCGAAGCAAAGCCTGCTACTTCCGAGAAGCAAGTCAACGGATCCGCTTCGACAACTGCTGGTGCCGAGAATGGTGTCCCTGAGGTGACTGATGGCGTGAAAACCGCCACGATCGAAGAGAAGACGACCGCATAGATCGAGCATCATTACTACCACTATCACCAGCAAAAGCGAGCGTTTTGTTTTTGGCATCTCCGACTTTCCCGCTTTTTGCTTGGGAGCATTGTATACGGCAGGCAGCGGAACTCTTGAGTACAACAATCGCTGGCTGTTTGGGGAGCAAAGGAAAGCGGGAAGCAACGGAATATTTCTTGTAGCGATATTGCAGATCTTCGAAACAGAATGATGACCCTATCTTGATTGGTGTGAAAATTTGAGAATACCCTTTTTTCCCCGACTCTTTTGATTCTTGACGCTCGTGGTGAAATGAGATGCACAGTATCAATTTCAGATATACACGTACCTACCTTATCTTGACAGTTTTTAACATCTACAATGGAAGCCATATGAAGCATAGCGATGTTATGGAATTTCCCACTCTTTTCCCACCTCACTCACTTGAACCACTCAATCCCACTCTTTTCACAAAGCCTTGACACCTTGAAAAAACGGATTCGCCAATAACTTCGCATCCCCTCGCACCAAGTCCTTCATCCTCTGCACCTGTGCCTCGGAATCCAAATTTTCCGCTTCGACTTGCTCTTTCCATTTGTGTAACATTGCCTTGAGTAATCGACTACCTTCTTCGACGTCTTCTTGTTTTGTTGATGCCGTCGCAGTAGCAGCCGCATGTGAAAGATTTGATCCTGAGGTTTCGCGATCCTGATCGGTTTTATTACTTTGACCACCACTACCACTACCACTGCCAGAGAAATCTTCGAGTTCTTCAGCTTTGCGTTTCGCCATGTTGACGACTTTTTGAGGAAAGCGGACGAGTTCTGCGACGTGGATTCCGAAGGATTGATCGGAGATTCCGGGGACGACTTTGTAGAGTAATGTGACTTCGCGGCGGCGATGATTGTTGTTGCCACTATTCGTCATGTGGACGTCTTCTCCTCCTTCCTCATTCCCATTCTCGATATGCGCTACGACGTGCAGGTTTTGGACTTGGGGATGTGTGTCGACCAGAGCGGTGAGTTCGTGGAAATGGGTGGCGAACATGGTATATGCGCCAATTTCGGTGATGATGTGTTCGCTAATGGCCCAGGCGAGACCGAAGCCGTCGTAGGTGCTGGTACCTCGCCCGAGTTCATCGATGATGACGAGGGATTCTTTCGTGGCGGTTTTGAGGATGTTGGAGGTTTCGAGCATTTCGGCCATAAAGGTACTGACGCCTTTGAGTTGGCTGTCGCTGGCTCCGACACGGGCGAGAATGCAGTCGAACAGGGTGAGTTCGGCTTCGGAGCAAGGCACAAAACAGCCTATCTGTGCCATGAGGGCAATGACACCGATTTGGCGGATGTAGGTCGATTTGCCGCCCATGTTGGGGCCAGTGATGATGAGGAATTCCGAGGATTCGCGGGTCAGAGAGACGTCGTTGGTGATGAATTGGATATCATCTTGCATCTCCATGCACGGGTGTCGAGCTTCCTTGAGAATGGTGCTGCCAGTGCCGCGAGGGTGCATCTTCGGTCGGACGTAGGCTGTGGGTGCGTGAACGGAGACGTGGGCGAAGCTGACAATCACATCGAGATGAGCCAGGACACCGGCGAGTTGCTCGATGACTGGACTGTAAGAAGCTGCTACATTGACGACCTCCTGGACAAGTCCGCTTTGTGTTCTGTTATAGTTCTCCGATAGCTGGTCAAACTCGCGTCGCATCTCTGAGAGCCTGGGTGTGGTGAAGTACGTGCCGTTCTTCTGAGTTGCAATCTCTGGGTACTGTTTCTTGCCGCGAATGACGGCAGCTTCTGCTCGTGTCAAACGGAAGCACCAGCCATGCACTCGGTGGTTTTCCAGAAGCAGCTTTTTCTCGGTGTCCATTCCTAGGTCGTCTCCAGCACGTCGGTGCTCTTTGTCAATATCATATCGGAGCTTGTCGAGCTTCTTTCGAATGACACGGAGCGTATCATCAAATTCGGGCTTGATAATGAACTCGTGGTTGTCGAGTGCTTCCAGGTCGACTGTGGTCTCCACCATTTCTTGAAGTTTGACAAAGCTGTCAGAATGATCTCGCAGCTTGTTTGTATAGACAGCATCAAGAGCATCCTTGTATGTTTCGTCCATGACTCCTTCAAAGGTGCCAATGAAGTCAGGCAGGCGAATAGCCACTTGGTAAGCTCGGACAACATCTTCCAGGTTGGCCTTCTTCCGCTGAAATTTCTTTGCCAGTCGGTACAGGTCGGGTATTGATCGAAGGTGGTCTTCCTGCAATGTTTGTCTCAATTCGGTGTCATTCACAAAAGCCTCTACCAGCTGTTGTCGTTTCTCGATCTCCTCCAAACTCATCAGAGGCTGCTTCAACCACTGTGCGAGCAACCGACTGCCAACGGGTGTCTTGCAGTGATTGAGTAGGCCGTAGAGACTCATGGTCTTGGAGCCATCCCTGGGTCCTGGCATCAGATTCAGTGCTTTCAGCGCTGATGAGTCCAGTTTCATGTATTGGCTCAGATCGTGCTGGTACAGCTGGTACTGGCCAAAATTGCTAGGATCTGACATGATTCCAAGATATTTGATCAGTGCCGCAGCTGAGCCCATCGCTAGCTTGAGGTCCGTCTGAGGCAAGGTACCTCCTGCCTTCTCGTCTCGCAGTATTCGGGTCAGATCTTGCTCAATGTCTTGCTTTCCAAAGTCGCCAGCCGGCCGCTCTGCTATTGCGCAGTTGCAGTTGTCGGCTATTGTCTTCAGCTTGTGCAATTCCGCATCCTTCTTCGTAGTGTCGACCTGAATCAAGCATTCCTTCACGCCGAGCTGGATGATCAGCGACTCAAAGTTGGAGTATATGTCATTGTCCACAAACTCGCTGATTCCAAGCTCTCGAACACTGGCATCGGCGAAGCAGACACCCACGTTGCGTGCCTCGTTTGCTTTGGCCGATACTTTGACCGACAGTATGATGGGCGCAGAGTCGACGTGCCCACCGAGGTCATCCTCAATATCCTGCAGGTTTCCGGGCGATGCTTGCTTCGTCACTGCCCATTGCCCACGACCAGATGACTCGAGCACTTCTATTCGTCTCCCCAAACGAAAGATGGCTTCTCGAAGGAACGTCCGAAAGACAGTAATGGTCATGGTGACGGATGGCAGTCCGGGACTTCTCCCCAGCGTCTTGAGCACTGCAGAGGTCTTGTACTGCACTCGAGCGATGAATTCGGCATCGTCGCCATGTGCCGAGAGATATTCTCCCCGGTCGAATATCCGGACCGTGTCTGTCGGCTTGTTGATCTCGAGTTGGTGGAAATTCTTGACGAAACCGGCCTCATCGTCCACCTTCAGCTCAGGCCTGGAGCCCATGGTGGCGGCGGCGGTCCGGGTGTGGTTTTGGTATGTTTGATATGTCGACGTGGTATAGTATCCAGAGTGGGAAGTCAGGAGAAAGGCCGGCGAAGTTCGTGATGAAGTGTCCGACGATTGATGAAAGACGCGTTAAGGCATCACCGCGCACGCGATACTGGTCGCCACTTTTGTGCATGAGCGTACTGGGACGCGTCGTGGTTATTTCGTGTTTCACGCGTAAATTGATTCTAGCTGACCCTGCAAGCGCCTCGACTCTACTCTCTGCCTCTCACTCACACTCTCTGCCTACACCACACACCATGAGGTAGATATCCTCAAAACAACACCATCTCCGCGCAGTATACTGACCTTCTTCAGCTCACCACTGCGACCCAACATGTCTTCTGCGAATCGAGGCCGCCCTGCGCCTGGTGGGCGCAAACGTGGTAGAGATGCCGAGGACGACATGCCTTCGTCTGGCGCAGCACCACCTTCGAGTCGTCAGTCGCTTGCTGTTCTCAGGAAGTATGCCGAACTGACCCTCTGTAGCTCCCGCATCTTCTCCACCAGTGTTTCCCGGCGGCGACGACGACATCGAGGAGGATGACAATCTTGACCCGGAGGAGGATCTCATTCAGGACATCGACGATGCGGACGAGATGGCAGAAGACGATGCTGGCATCGATCTGTTTGGCGACAACTTCGATCGCGACTACGACCGCAATGACAATGACACTTATCGCGGAGCAGACATTGACGATGAAGAGGAGTACGAGCAAATGGATGCCGCATCCAGGAGAGCGCTTGAAGCCCGCCTTAATCGTCGTGATCGAGAACTTGCACGACAACGCAGACTGCCCGGCGCTTTCTTGCCAGACGAGGAGGAGGATGTGATGGACCTCACACGCCAGCCACGGCGACGACGACATCGGTTTGACGAAGACCCCGATGACATGGACATGCACGACGATATCATGGCAGAAGAGCTTTCATTGGAAGCACTTGCAGATGTAAAGGCGGCGAGCTTGACGGACTGGGTGTCACTCCCCGCTGTTCACAAAACTGTTGCACGCGAGTTCAAATCCTTTCTGACCGAATATACGGATACTGCTGGCACTTCCGTATATGGCGTGCGTATTCGAACACTGGGAGAAGTCAACGCCGAGTCATTAGAAGTCGACTGGGATCATCTCTCGCAGTCGAAGCCAACCTTGGCCTACTTCTTGGTCAATGTGCCTGCTTCTATCCTGCCCATCTTCGATGCGGTGGCCCTCGAAGTCGCTCTGTATCACTACCCGGACTACGAGAGAATCCATTCGGAGCTGCACGTCCGCATTACGAATCTGCCCGTCTCCTACACTCTTCGTCAACTGCGTCAAAGCCATCTCAATTGTCTCCTTCGCGTGAGTGGCGTGGTCACGCGCAGAACGGGCGTTTTCCCACAACTGAAGTACGTCAAGTTCGACTGCACCAAGTGCGGCATCACCCTTGGACCGTTTCCTCAGGACAGCAATGCGGAAGTCAAACTTTCCTTTTGTCAGAATTGCCAATCTCGAGGACCCTTCACGCTCAATAGTGAAAAGACGGTGTATCGGAATTACCAGAAACTTACATTGCAGGAGTCTCCTGGAACGGTGCCTGCAGGTCGTCTGCCACGACACCGAGAAGTTATCCTGCTGTGGGACTTGATCGATTCTGCCAAGCCAGGAGAGGAGGTCGAGATCACGGGTGTGTACCGAAACAACTATGATGCGCAGCTTAACAACAAGAATGGTTTTCCAGTGTTCGCAACGATACTGGAAGCCAATCATGTAGTGAAAACGCACGATCAGCTTGCTGGGTTCAGGTTGACAGAAGATGACGAGCGCAAAATCCGACAACTGAGCAAAGATCCGAAGATTGTGGAGAAGATTGTACAGTCTATTGCGCCGTCCATATACGGCCATGACGATATCAAGACTGCTGTCGCCCTGTCTCTGTTTGGTGGCGTGTCCAAAGTGGCACAGGGAAAGCACGCGATCCGTGGTGATATCAACCTGCTTCTGCTGGGAGATCCTGGAACTGCCAAATCGCAAGTGCTCAAGTATATTGAGAGCACAGCACATCGGGCAGTCTTTGCCACTGGTCAGGGTGCTTCGGCAGTCGGTCTCACTGCAAGCGTGCGGAGAGATCCACTTACAGCAGAGTGGACACTGGAAGGCGGCGCGCTCGTCCTTGCTGATAGAGGCACTTGTCTGATTGATGAGTTTGACAAGATGAACGATCAAGACCGAACGAGTATCCACGAAGCCATGGAACAACAGACCATCTCGATATCCAAAGCCGGTATTGTGACAACATTACAGGCTCGATGTGCAGTCATTGCAGCAGCCAATCCTATTGGTGGTCGTTACAACGGCACGGTCCCATTCAGCCAGAACGTGGAACTGACAGAACCGATTTTATCCCGATTTGACATCCTGTGCGTTGTGCGAGACACTGTTGACCCTGCAGAGGACGAGCGATTGGCTCAATTCGTGGTCAACAGCCATGGCCGAGCACATCCTGTGATGAGCTCAGCTCTCGGCTCACAAACGCAGACCGATGCACCGCAGAGCATGGAAGTTGATGGTGAGGAGACCACGGCTGGGCCAAAGACCGTCATACCACAAGAGTTACTTCGCAAGTACATTCTCTACGCACGTGAACACTGCCGGCCCAAGCTTTACCAGATCGATCAGGACAAGATTGCTCGGTTATTCGCAGACATGAGGCGAGAATCACTGGCGACCGGTGCATACCCCATTACAGTAAGCACTAACTTCCATATGCACAGTACAACGGCATAGTGTACTAACCAGTGTTGCAGGTCCGTCATCTCGAATCCATCCTCCGCATCAGCGAATCCTTTGCCAAGATGCGACTTAGTGAATACTGCAATGCTCACGACATTGATCGTGCCATAGCTGTTGCCATTGACAGCTTCGTTGGCAGTCAGAAGGTGTCGTGTAAAAAGGCACTTGCACGCGCGTTCGCCAAATACACACTTAATCGTCCTGGCACGAACAGGAATTCAGGAGGAGGTGGTTCTCGAAGAGCGCCTCGGAGAGAGGATGTCGCTGCAAGTGCGTAATGTGCATTCGACGAGATGTAGTTTTTTTAATCGTTCAAGAAGATGGCGCCGGTGTTGTTGACATGAAGATACCTGAAAGAGCCAGGATTGTTCAGAGCGCATATGAAGATGAATGTCAATTATGTTCACCCCTTCCTCGCTTACTTGCTTACCCCAAGCTACCTACCTACCGTACCTACCTATATAAGCATGGCGCACCACACCCATCTCCAAGCTCCACATGTCGTGTACCCCGAAAAAAAAAACATGGCATCAAACGACCTCGTGCCCATCCATCCGCCCTCGAAACGCCTCCATGCTGACTCTTCACAGCCACCACATACATAGACTTGCCTACTCTATAACCTCTCGCCCTGTTCTCTCCAGCCCGAACCAACCTCGCAATACCCCTCCCACCATTCAAGAACGATGGTAATGAAGAAGAAAATGAAGTTCAACCACCAAGATTCTGAATTCAATAAATTATGGGCTGCAAGAATTTAGCTTATACGAATCCTGGAGGAGGAGGAGGAGGAGGATCAATACCGACAACAACAACAACAATACCAACTACTACTCCGACTTCACAACCCATCATCACCCCAACAATCACTCCTCCTTCTTCCTCTCCACTTCCCAGTACTAGCAACAACACCAACACCAACCCCAACACCGCCTCACCCCAACACTATCAAATCGGCCTCGGCGTCGGCTTGGGCATAGGGTTCATGTTTATATTTTCGTTGGTAGTTGTTGGGTGTTTTGCTTGGAGGAGGAGGAGGAGGGGACAAGAACATCAACAAGAACAAGAACGAAGAAGAAGAAGAAATAGGAGGATTAAAGGGAGGAAGAATGAGAAGAGACGGATTAATTATTAATTTATATACCTACCTTAGGTAGGTAGGACTAACGACCTTGGACTTGGAATGTGAACGTTTTAGCGATTCTAGGCTAGTATAGTCAGGTAGCGAGCTAGACTAGACTAGACTTGGGTCGCACAGTCTAATTGGCGCGATCTTTTGCGGTAGGGCGCGCTAAATCTACTACACGCGCGCCTACCTGCCTTCCTGCCTGTCTTCCTACCTGCCTGCCTGCCTACCTACCTACCTACCTACCTACCTACCTTCCTACCTACCTACCTACCTGCCTACCTGCCTACCTACCTACCTACCTGCCTACCTGCCTATCTGCCTATCTGTCCCTACGGGCCACCTTGCCTAAAATTTAGAAGAGAAGGACAAGAAGAAGAGAAGCTCAAGAACAAGGACAAGGATAGAGGAGGTGGAGGAGGAGGTGGTGGTGGAGGTGGAGATGGAGATGGAGATGGAGATGGAGATGGAGGAGGAGGTGGAGGAGGAGGTGGTGGAAGAGGTGGTGGAAGAGGAGGAGGAGGTGGTGGGGATGGAGATGGAGATGGAGATGGAGATGGAGATGGAGATGGAGATGGAGATGGAGATGGAGATGGACATATTTATTACTGATCTGTCCGCTCTGTCGAAATCACCAAGTTCACTGATTACTTCGGAAGAGATCACTGTCCCACCAAGTCTTCCAATCTCTCGCCAAAAGAGTGGCAGTACCTGAGTTCCCGTAAATGGAACCGCAACAGGCAGCCAGGCAGCAGAAGACGGTTACAAAACGACAATCGCTCGACATTCGCAGAATCGGCTACGAAGATGATGTTAGCAATCGACAGACAATACACCGTATGCTGCTGCGCTGACGCACCATCTTATTAGCATTTTGTACAACAACCGATATGGCCGTGACCGCTATGTTTGCACCCATATCCAATGAAGCCAGTGCAGTCAAACTCTTCGCAACTGCTGCTATCGCGGTACACCGCATAGCTGCAACCGCAAGTCTTGTATGCCGCCTCCGTTACGGTTGACAGGAGGGCTAGGAAGCATATCCATAGGTAGGACTTCATCGTAAAGAAAGTGTTTGCGAGAAGGTCGACGAGTAGGATAGCGGGGTTGAGGAGGAAGTATCTTAGGTATGTATTTCACAGTCCTGTTCCTTCGCTGGTAATTAAAGGCGACGACAGATTGTAGAGGGGGAGAGAAAGGCCTGCTTATTATTGGTTTCGGTGAGAGAGTACTCGTGTAAGGCGCAGTAGTCTTTATAATACGAGTACGAATTTTCGACCTTCATTCGACAGCAACGACGTCGACGAGCCGAGCTACAAACTTGACTGTGCAGGACCCCTGGCCGCGCATCAGAAGTGCTGACGCGGATTACGATGTAAGAGGTAGCTAATACGATTGATAGGTAAGTAGGTCAGATATGTAGATGAGCCAGAATTCCAAGTTATATGGCCTTAACCTAGATCTGGAGCTCCCTAGGTAGGTTAGGTATTGTACCTATCATATAGGTATTTGGTTGTACCCACTGGGTATTTAGTTGTACCCACTGGGTATTTGGTCGTACCCACTGGGTATTTGGTTGTACCCACTGGGTATTTGGTCGTACCCACTGGATAAGTTGGGTATTGCAAACATCAGCTAGTGGCGGAGATATCCGATTGGCTGGTGACCTGAAGACTAGCTTACCTAGGTACCTTACTAAGGTGACTGTATACAACAAGGGGTGTAGGATAGGGTGGAAACGATAGGGGTTGAGGGATGATGATGATGATGATGATAATGATGATAATGATGATGATGCAAGGGATGGAGTTGGGATGTTGTTGTAACCATCTAGCTAGGTTTGGAAGGGAAGTAGAGCAGAGCAGAGTATACGGGGTTAGTAATTGTGTAGTAGGCTAGGTATGTAGTTCAATTCAGGTATGAACAGAAAAGAGGGAGTAGGTATACAGGTAATCAAGATACCTAATAGAAAGAAAGACTTGAAAACAACAAGGGGGAAAACAGCTAAGATCATAATTCATTTCATTCATTCATTCATTTCAAATCTACCTATTTTTCCCCCGTTCTCTAACCAGACCCTTCCCCCCTTCCCCCCTCCCCCCTTCTCCCTCCCCTCTCAAATCCCATTCAACAAAACCTTCACCCCCTCCAAAACCTCCGTCCCCGTAGGTCGAATCTGCGCAGGAGGAAGCACAAACCCATTCGCTCCGGTATCGCGCAACTCAAAGGTATAAGCATAATCCGCACCAGCCACATCAAACGCATAATCCACACTACTCCCCGTCGTAGGATACAACGTAGCGCCACTAGGACCCGTCGTATACGCCGTCCCATACACGGCGCGAATCGCGGCCGCAGCACGATTCGCCAGAGCGACAATCGCCGAAGAAGTCGGAGGGAGAGAACTCGTGTATCCATAGGGAGAAAGAAGATAATTTCCATAGCTGTGAAAATCGATATATTGCGCAATATTTTGCTGCGAAGCTACGCCGCGGATTTGGCTGACGAGGGCGCGGTTTTCGGGAGAATCGCCCGAGGCACGGCCTTTGTAGGTTTGAGCGCAAGGGTCCGTGGAAGCGCCGTTGGGGTCTCCTGTCCATTGGTAGGGCCAGTTGCGATTGATATCTGTGCCGTAGCAGACGCGGCCGTTGACGGCGGGGCCGGGAGCGCGGTTTTTGCGCCACAGACGGTCGGCGGTTTGCGTGTACGCGAAACCGTCGGGGTTGACGATGGGGAGGATGTAGATGTCGAATTTGTCGAGGATGGCGGTGTAGACGGGGTCGTTGCGCTTGTAGCCTGCGACGATGGATGCTGCGAGGAATTCGACTGTCATGGTGCTGATCCATTCGCGGGCGTGCACGGTTCCGTGCCAGACGAGGGCGGATTTGGTCGTTCCGGTGTTGTTGCCGAAGAGCTTGACGCCAAAGATTTCGCGGTTCTCGTATGATTGACCAGCAGTGAATCGTTGAGAGTTTCGTGGGAATCCAGCGACCATGTCGCGCCAGTACTGGACGTGGTCTGCATACGAGTGATAGGCGTTGAACCACGTCGATTCTGGTCCTTGGGATCCCGCTTGTCGCTTCGAGACCGAAGACAGGCCTGCAGCTTCTTCTGCAATGACTGCTCCGAGGTCTGCGTGCATGACCGAGTAGTCCAAGCCCAGAGCTTCAAACTGCTCAATCTGGTCTCCAGCGATCGATATGTCAACATGATCTGCAGGTCTCACGTTCCACAGCTCATAGTCGAGAGCGGAGAGAGTGTCCAGGACACTGCTACCGTTGCCTGCAGTGGCGACGCGGTACACCCGGTAGCCATCGTAGTTAATGGCCTGTCGAGGCAGGACTGTTGCCAGAGCGAGCGGGACCAGGGACAGCAAGTGAAGCCCGAACATTGTTGCAACCAGGATGTCGTTGTGCCACGAGATGTGATAGAAAGCTTGGGAATCGAGCATGTACTTATGTTGCTTCTGTGGCCGTCACCGTTGCTGCATCTTGCGAGCCTGCTCACTCTCATCGCTATCGGATGTGACCGGCCGAGTGTCGTGCTGGTAGACCTATATGTCTTATCTCCTCCTCCATTTAGACATGATCGACTGAACGGGAAGCTGAAGGTGCTGGAAGCACATGCACCTATGCAGTTCGATATAGCCAATATCGGGCTCATGCTCTCCCTCTGCGGTAGTGGTCCGCACCTCCAGACCCTATTGGCGAATCAGCAACGACAGCTACCATTGTGCAGGTCGTGTAAAGTTTCGGAGGCGATGAAGTTGTGGTAGTCTGGCTTGGCACCAAGAAGTCTTGGACTTGGGCGAGTGCTTTTCTGGAAGGTGATGCATGCACCAAGCACGTCTGCAGAACCAATCAGATACTCCCCGCCAGATGGCATCATCTACCTGCCGTGTCTTGCATACTGTATATTTCCAATCAACAAAGTAGATATAAGCCTTTACAACACATTATCAGACTACGACTTGTCAGCTTCCTGGTTGAACTAGTTCGCAGGGCAAAGAAGGTCGTTGCAAGGCAATCGTTGCAAGGCAATAATGAGCATGCCGGACCATCTAGCGCGAGGTTGTCAACTTCTGATCAAATCACCTCTCGTTTCTTTGACCCTCGAGGATTCTATTTGCTGGTACTGCAGATGCATGTTATGCCTGCCGTATGGCTGACTACTCCTCTGAGGATGAATCACCCCAATCATTCCACAGAGTCCGTGGCCGGTGCTCCGTCAGTCTCCACGTTCCATCAAAGACGGTGGTGGCCTTGGGCAGCGGTTCTCCGTACAGAAATGGCGGAAAGTAGGTAGATCTTGATTCGACCTGTACTTCCAAAGTGACGCCCAATTTCAGCATCTCCTTCGCTGCGGACGAGATCCTACCCTTCATCGCAGCTGTGAAATCCTGCTCTCGGCCAACAATGCGCACAGTGGACAGAGCAGGAGGCACAGAGCAGGCTGGAGCACGCAGAAAAGGGATTGCGTCGAGTGCTGAGACTGATGCGGTAGGCCCGAGTGGTGCCCAGTAAATCTCGTCCGTCTGGAACACGAGTGTTTTGAGGCCCGAGGGACTCTGTGAACTCATAACGGCGCGCTCAAAGTTAGGGCACTGCCCGCACAAGGTGACAGACTCCAGGCTGCGGAATTCCGCGAAACCTGCATCTGTAGGTGAGTGCGGAGGCCTGATGAGCGACCTGTGCTGGTAGTATGAGGTGGCCACGTAGGTCAAGGCCTTTAGACTATCCTTTTGCTGACTGAGCGCTTGAAGAGTTAGCCCCGGGTCGTTCCGGAACAGGTAGTTGGCTGCAGGATTGAGTTGCTGATCGAAATGCGTCATGTTATGGCAGTTCTCGCCTACGCATTGTTAGCTCGGTCATGGCTGTGATCACAGACAAAAGCTGACCCAGGTACAGTGTCTCTAGTGCCTTTGGCAGGGACAATATGCCTATTAGACCTTGATGGGTGATGTTCGACTCCTCCAAGGTAAGGTGTTTCAAAGAAGTAAATGATCTGTCCCGAATGCTCTCCACCACGTCATCCTCGATGTTGACACACGAGAGCGTGAGCTTTTGGAGGGAGGGGAGGAGAAAGATAGACAGACATCGCCTGCCGATCGTCCAGTAAGGTGACTCCTTTCCATTAAGATGTAGAACGACTGGATTCTTGGTCAGCGCTGTATCAAGACTTCCCTTGATCCCTACAGTGATAATGGCGGCGCTGGAGAAGCGAGACAGTCCTCGCGTCTTTTGTCAGGGACTGACTTACGCTCTTGTAGCCTCTGTAGAGGCCTTCTCTCTACATCATTCACGCACACGGCGCTCTCGAAAGGCCGAAACAAGTTCCGGGCCATGTGCTCGTAACTGTCTTCGTCTTCGAATTCGCCAGTATTGCATTCAGGACTTTCCACCATCAGTCTTCTCAAGTTGAGAGCATTCTCTAACAGTACACCGAGATCATCGAAAGAAGGACTGGAGCGCGGGTGGCAAGGCACATCGAGGTGATGAATGGCCTTTGCTCGAGCTGGCCGGTTTCCCACGACGGAATGCAACATGTTTGTCATTTGGACAGCATCGCGGATGAGGGCAGATCGATAGAGCACGGGTTCAGTCAGTTCTTGAATCTTCCTACACGTGCAAGCGAGGTGCTTCAATGTCGTCCGGTTATCGACGTGCTCGATGATTTGTGCAATGAGTTCTGTCGGCAGCTCCAGTAAGGCGAAGCGGAAAGTGGCGTTCATGGCGGCCAGCTTGCGAGTGACTCTGCGAAAGACGCTCTTCAGACGCATGAGCGTTGGTTTCCGGGTGAATTGTTGACCACCACGGAAGTCCAGAGTGGGAGAGTGGGAGAGTGGCAGAGTGACGATGAAGGGAGGAAGTTGGATGTGTAAGTGAGGTAGATAATCTAGGAGGTACCTCCCCAGGTCATCTTATTGGCTTGGCGCCAAGACTGGTCCACTGTCGCCGCCTCCAACCTTCCCAAATGTCCCTCAACTTCCATTATTCTTCGAGAATCGGCTTCCATTCAGCGAAATGTCTTACCGACTGCGATTTGGCTACAGAATGGTATGAAAGAAAGAATTAGGTTGAGCGGAGTGAGGTGGATGAGGAGGAGGAGGCGACGTGGTTACAGTCTTGCGAGTGTTCAAGATATCTACGTACACTACACACTATCCATCATCCCATCCCCCGCCACTTATCATCTTGTTGACATAAAGTAACAGCCCATCGCATCATTCCAAACGCACACAGTCGCTGCAGACAACACAAGAGAGGAAAAAGAAAGCGCAACCAAGTATTCACTTCCAAATCTGCGAGCTATTTATCTATGCTCCATATACCCCTCAATTCGAAGCCTCACTCGTAGAAAAAAGCAAAGCAGACCTGTGTGTATTCAAGACATGAAGTCCCAAGGATACTGTATGTATGATTAGAAGACGGAGAAGAGAGAGGAAAAGAGAGAGGGGCAGGAATCTTGAAAAGGTGGCGGACGCGGGAGGTGAGATATTGCTATCTCTCAGGGTGGACAAGTAGGTATTTCTATGCGATAGCGTACAGTCTTCATCGTAGTAGTAGTTAGTAGTAGGCTTGAAGAGGGAGGGAGAGGGAAATCTGGAAAAGGAGATGGGTGGGTAGCAAATTTGTATGAGAAATGGGGGTGGAGATGCAACCAAAAAATCCAGAAATACAAAGTTTCAGTTAAAATAGTTCCATCATCATTATCGTTACCAGGTATGTGTGCTCTTGTTTCTCTTGTTGTTGTTGTTATTGTTGTTGTTATTGTTGTGTTTCGCTCCATCGCTTTGCAACGCGCGTTCTTCCTCCCTCTTTCATTCATTCTTTCTCTCTCTCTCAGAGGAAATGCATTAATCCTTTCGCGAAACCCCTTTCATGTGCCTTAATAATCCCCCTCTTCTTCTCACATACCCCAATTATTCACTCACTCCCCCACTTACACCTGCATCGCAGCCGGCAGTTTATCCGTCGGTGGAAAGCAACGATCTGGATAATCCGGATGATTGCCCCACCAATTTCTATCACGCAAATAGGAGTCGTCAGCAGTGTTAAGGGGATAACCTCTCTTTTTCTCTCTTTCTCTCGTGATCGGGACAACAAACAAAAAAAAACCCGACTCAACGTACGGAAAGTCAACCCGCGGCATATTAAACGCAAAAGCCATCACAAGCCCTTGAAAAGCCACCCCGCAGGCAAGAGCCATAGCAAGTAAATAGTTATAATTTGCCCACCAAACCGGATGACGGCGAAGAATATATCCCATACTAGGTAACCACCACCAGATCAACCCAAAAAACGTCAGTAAATGATTATTCTTTCTTTATATCGAGTGGTGATATGGGGAGAAAAAACTCACAAGACAAGAGAGGCAATAAAGCCCGAGAAAAAAGATGTCATGGGTGCAATGGGAATTTCACTGAATGACTGGAAGAAAATTGGTGCGTTGAGGTAGTATTCCGTTTCGAGGTTGGGCATCCAGCGTTGGAGATAGTAGGTGAGAACGACGACGAGGAAGCCGATTAGAGCTCCATAGTAGACGAAGTTGTATTCGGATCCTGTTTTGTTGCTTGGATGTCAGTATGTTTTTTTTTGCACATTGTAATTGCTGTGTGTATTGTTGTAGTAGTAGACAGAGAGAAAAAGCAATGAAAGGGGAAAGAAAAAACATACCAGAGCCAAACATTCTTCCCGGACCAATCACCCCCTATATCATTTGTTGCACAGCAGATTAGTAAAAAAAACATCATCAAGTACAATTAATGTAGGTATTGTTACTCAAGCAAGTTGTCCCAAACATACCCATAAAATAGAAGCCGAATACCAAGCTTTAGTTCCCAGCGCGTTCCAGCTCACAGAATGTTTGATTCCCTTCAACATGGCATGATCGATATTATCCAAAACGAGTCTTGTAACGCCATAATTGACCAGCGGGACAATCGCCGTGCCCCACATTTGGCCCCAGAACATGGGCCGTTCGGGGATTTTGAGGTAGTAGCCCAGTTTGAACATGCTCAGTAAGCTCAATGCTTGACCTATATATCACATCATGTGAGGAAAAGGGGAGAGGAGATTAGTATGGATTTGGCTTTGTTCTTCTTCTTTTTCTTCACTCACCGAGAATCGGATTGGCAAAAGCAAAGCAAGACATGACAGCCAAAGGTTTGCCATGAAAGATGAAGCCGGCGATCAAATCGGAAATCATCGTATCGCCAGGAGAAGTTCCCGCAATAGCGGTCAAAATACCTATTCGATAGCGTGTTCGCACGAGTCAATTTTTTCCAAAAAACAAAAACAAAAAACAAACGTGGCGATAGAATTGTATGGACAGGGGCTTAAAATCAAAAATACTCACCATTGGGATACGTCAACACCAGGGCCAAGATGAAAAATACTGCAAACCCCCACCACGGCAGTTGGAAACCGCCTTGGTAAAAGGTCAAGAGAGACATGCTGACCGAGAGGACGAGCACGACTGCATACCAGTATCGAGGCACCTTGGGGTATCTGCTCATGACCTGGAGGTAGGGATCGTTGTATTCGATGTAACGACCGGAGAGACTGGCGACTGCGATTTGCCAGGCACTGCTGCCGTAGTAGCACAACTGTGTTGGTGGATAAGATTATTAGTGGTCCACTCCATAACGCTACCAGCAGATTTTTTTTTGTTTGATTTTTTGCTTTTTCAAGCACTGCAGAAAAAAGGACATACCGCAAATGCGATTGTGGCCGAGATACTGGTCAAGCCCCAGAAGAAACGGAAGATATACGATGGAGCCCACTGTGATAAACACACGGTCAGAAGCGAGAATTTTTTTTTTTTCCACCCACAAGAGGAGTTTGTTTTTCGCGAGAACACTTACATGAGGAGCGCCACGTTCCGCGAGAGCAGTCTGATTCAATTGAAACTCCGGAGTCAGAATCGCACTGGCATTGTAGGGTTTTCCCGCAGCAGTGTAGACGCTGGTCGTCATGGCGCCGAATTTCTGCGCGTTGAAGGTGTTGGTGTAGTAGAGGATCGGATAGAGGATCCAGCAGGCGAAGATGATGGCGACGCCTTGCGTGACACTGACCCAGAGAGGGGATACCAACGGTTTTAGACTGGTTGGAAATATCCACGATTTTGATTAGCTCAATCTTCTTTCCTCGGCCTTGCCGTGCGATTTTATGGATTTGCTTTTTCTTTTTCCCTTGATCTCCCGTGGCAGATCAAGCTTCGAGGGAAGAGGGGATGCAGTACTCACAATCCGTTGATATAATTATAATCGAGTGAAAGGGTAAAGAAACCAAACCCATACGTTCCCGAACCGAGAACGAAAGCTTTAGGATTTCCATGGCCGAACCAACAAATGATGGGCAACGATGCCAGCACAGGAATAATGTACTGCGGAAACCACGTCCACACAAAAGTCGCCGTGAGCGCAATGGCGAAGAATTTCACTCCCTTCTTGGTGGTCGCACTGCTGCTGTGCATTGCCCGAAAGAGAGCAACTTTGGGGAGCGACATGGGATAATACATGGTCGGCGGTGTGACCAGATGCTCTCTCAGGAGACCTGCAATGCCATAGCCGATGAACATGGAGGTGGAGAGATACATGATGCCCTAGGAAGAAAAAAACCAACCCCGTGATTGTCAACAGCTGAGGTCCAAGTTCATAATAGGAGGTCACACAGTGCCCGGCCACTCACCCAGAAAGCATTAATTCTTCGACCATACCAGAGCTCAAGGCATGTCAACGCACCCAGAGCATAAGATACCGACGTCGCCTGACTATATGCGCAAGTCACCATAGCATGCTCTTTGATCCGGAACGGTCCTGCTCACGTTCAAATAGTGTCAGTCAGTCAGTCCATCCAGGAATTCCCCTTCACGGAAAAAAAACTCCCTTCTCTGTGCATTTCGTACCGGGATTCATGGTCCATCTGTACCCAAACGTATTAAAGACATGAGTGGGCAAGTATTTCGCCATTGCAATTCCGCAGCCCCATGAGAGTAATTGTACTGCCGATTCATCGAGGGATCCGCCAAAGGGCTTGAAGAAGAATACCGTTTGGACCGTACTGCCGATTATGGACTGTGCACGTACGGAAAGATGAGTTAGCCATGCATTAAGAGGTATACTCTTTTTTTCTGTTAAAGTAGATGTTTTGCTCACCCAAATGGTGGTTAAGACCCAGAATCGGAAGGTTAGAATTGGTTCTCTGCATCAATGATTTGATCAGCGTTGATGCTCGCTCATTTTTGATGGAATTTGGGATGGATTCTGTCATCACAGGCGAGGAAGCCACAGTGTTAGAGGAGTAGGAGCAGCATACTCAGGATCTGTTAAGAAAAAGACCACAAATTAGCGTCCTGAGATTTTTCCAGTAATTCATACATGCCCATGACATTAACGCAACCTGTTTTTCTCCTTTTTCTTCCTTTTTTTTCTTTTCTTTCCCTTTTCACCTTTCCAACTCTGCCTTCCCCTTCCCCTTCCTTTTCCCTTCCTTTTCCCTCTCCCACTCCCTTTTTCTCCCTCTCCCATTTTCTCCCACTCCCTTTTCCTCCCTTTCCTCCCTTTCTCCTTTCCTCCCTTTCCTCCCCTCCCTTTCTCCCCCTTTCCTCCCTCCATTTCCCCCCAAAACAAAAAACAAGCAAAAACCAAAAAAAAAGAAAAAACCTACCATCTTCCAAATCCACAGTCATAGCCACAAACCGATTCGGATAATCCCTCAACCTCGGATCCTGACACGGTTCCGTAAGTTTCTTGACTTGGGCATCAATTTCCGACGCATCGCACGACACCACATCTGCCGTGAGAACTTTTGTTTCGAGTTCAATGCCACTTCCTCCTGTAGACGTTCGTCGCGAATGATGATGGTGATGATGGTGATGGTGATGCGCCATTTTTTTCATGGCATAAGGAGGTGGGAGATTTTTTTTGGAGAGGGTGAGGGGGGTGGGGAGGAGATGATGATGATGATGAGAGAGTTTGAGGAGGGGGGACAAGGGGTGGCGAGGAGGGTGTGTTTGTTGTTGTTGGCACTGCTGGTACTGCTGGCACTCCGGCTGCTCCTGGTCCTGCTAGGCGGAAGAGGACGTGGGAGAAACACGTTCCATCAGTATAGAGATGTGTGAGGTATGTGAACGAGCGAGAGTGAGCGAGCGAGTGTGCAAGGTGAATAAAAAGTGTCGTGTTAAAAGTGTGGAGTCGACGAAAGGGAAAACAAAAACCAAAAAGTTCCAACTTGGGCCTTTATCGCGCGGTTGTTGGCTCTCAGCACACCACACAACGGTACACGGTACACGGTACACACCCCATCACCATTCCAGCATTCAGCATTCACAAATCAAGCTGCAGCCTTTTTCTTTAATGCTGGTTCGGGTCCAGGGCAGTCTCACCAGCTCTCCCCCTCAGGCCCGAGAACACGCTCTCTCAGCAAATCTCAGGCGTGGAGAACCTTGCCTTGTGATGTACTTGCCCCTGGTGAACTTTTGTTGAGATACTTCAGCATCGAGCCATGGGATTGGAGGACATGATGAGCTTGGACGGTGGAAACCACGTGTTTGCGTGTGTCTTGTGTGTGTGTGTGTGTGTATGTGGCTGGTGAGATTAGTTTGTTCATTCTACTGGGTGATTGATATTAGGTAGGTATATATATATCTTGCTGTGAGAAGATGGAAGAAATAAACTTACCATTAAGATGAAAAAAAAAGTCCCTTTGCGCATACATATATACACACCCCCTTTTCCGTTCCCCTCAAAGAATCCAATGCAGTCGGAGAACACACACGTCAACAAAAAATCCAATCCAAAAAGTACATACAATGTACCTGAGTAATAACCCATCATCATAAAATTACACTACACTACTAACCAAGTCCCAAATGTCCCAATACAATGGTTCCAAAGGAGAGAGAGTCCTCCTCGACGAAAAAACCCCCCCTGGACCTTGTACATTTGACCGACCCGAACCCTGTAGTTTTTTACCCCTGGATTTAGGGTATACACTTTATTTTGGGAACCCGCTTTTTCCAACAAAAGCCGAATTTCTCAAGACAAGAGTCTAGGCCATTCTTCTCTCTTTTTCTTTCTTGTCGAGTTGTCGTCGTCATATGAGAGGGTACGAGAAGTCGTTTATCCGACGACGACGACTACTATTTTCTCTTTCTCTCTTTCTCTCTCTTTTTCTCTCTTATACATGTTTCGAAAGGCTGGAATAGCGCTTACACAACAGTGTTACACACACACACACACACACACACACACACACATGCACAAGGGGGTATACTTTGTGACCTAACTGACCTACCTGTACCTACGTAAGATACTAGTGTAAAACTGTAGTGTTATCACAAAATCCTCTTCCCCATACCTCCATCACAGGCTGTCAGGCTCTAGGTATGCAGGTACCGGCAGCGGCCCCCCAAAGAGCAAAAAAACAAAATGCTTACATACCTTACTAGGCAGTCTAGGCTACCAGCTACTTAGTAGCCTGACGGCCCTTACGGCCCTTACGGCCCTTACAGTTGGCCCCCTTACACGTCCATCACAAAGCCTATTTCTACCAACCGGTCCGTTGGAACCTTCAAGTTTGCCATTTTGTTCCGAGAATTTTCTCTTACAAATAAGAAAACTTTTAAGAGCGCGAGTCGCCACAGAGGAGTTTGGGGTTGGATGTGAATTTCTTCTTTGCCGAGGATGTAGAGGACGCGATGCTCGAATGCTGTTTGTAGATTATGGAGATTGGAAGAGATTCCTCCTAGGGGGGGCGTGGTGGTGGTGGTGGAAGAAGTGGCTGTTGCAGAAGATTTTTCGGTGGTGGTGATGATGCGATGAGAGATATGATCATTATCGCTTGCTGATTCCTCATGATTTTTTCGATTCTGTTGTTGCAGAATAATATGGTCCGATACACGATGGTAAATGAGTGTGGCGAGATCAGGAGTCACGACCTCATCCATGTAGCCATATCTCGCAACCACACGGTAGCAATTCGGCAGGGAATCCAGCTGTCTGACGACATATCGCTCGCTAATGTCGATAGTAGGAGTTTCGAGAGGTCGTAGATGGAAAAAGACTGTGACTTCGGGCTTCGAGACGAGCTTGTTGATGAATTGGCTGAAAATCATCGGCGTCTTATCGCCTCCCTTGTCGAAGAAGATGCCGAATCCCTTGGTTACCGACAGCTTCTCGCCCCAGGGTTGCTCCAGCAGGGTATCAGCAAAGTTCGTCAGTCTCAAGCTGCCTTCGTCATCCTTGCGGACATAATGTGAGAGTGGATTGCGATCGTGTCGCTCTGCTCTCCATTGCTGTTCTTTGCCGAAGCGCCACAGGATGAAGATGCAAGCAAGAATCGCAGCGAGGGTAATGGTAAACCATGCGCCATCGGGAACCTTGGTGAGTGCAGAAGACAGAAATGCCCCATCCATGGCTGAAATCGCCAGCCATGGAAGGACGACCATCCACGGACGGAGGCGCCAGACCAGCAGCGCGGTCAGCGCAGTCATCTGCGTGTCAAAGAATGTCACAAACATGACACAGACACCGTAAGCCTGTCCGAGAGAGGTCGTGTCGCGAAAGACTGCTGTGATGGCGACTGTTCCGATACAGAGCAGGTAATTCACAAGTGGAACATAGAGCTGATTGTGATATGTCTTCGATGTGTGCACAACCTGAATCTGCGGAAAGTACGAGAGCTTGACGATTTGTGCCAGAAGCTGGAAAGTAGCCGTAATAATGGCCTGAGAGGCAACAATTGCCGCAAGGATGGCCAAGACCATACTGAGAATGAGGCAGCCGGGAGGAGCGGTGTTGAAGACAGGATACGCGTAGGCCTCCGGACGCACAGCCAGGTACGCCGCCTGGCCAATATAGGTCAGCAGCAGGCAGGGAAGACACCAGCACAGCCAGCTGATCTGGATCGCACGCATGCTAAAGGCGCCCAGGTCGGCGAAGAGAGCCTCCACTCCGGTAAAGGCGAGCAACACGCCTCCCAAAGATCGCCAGCCGTCTTCGCCATGGCGGATCAGATAATCAAAGGCCTCGCCTGGGTTGAATGCTTTGAACACTCCGGCGTCGAACATGACCAGGTTGTAGATTCCGAAGGATGCAAGCAGTCCGAGCCAAATGATGATAATGGGAGCGAACTAAGGAAAGTGTCAGCGATAGGTCTGCGAGAAGATATATGAAAGACCGAGCTCACCACAGAGCCTAGCTTCGATGTGCCAAAAGGCTGAACAACGAAGAGCATGACGAGGATACCACAAGTCGCACCAATGACTGTTCCTTGGCTGATATCAGGAACAATCACATTCAGCCCTTGAACGGCACCAAGAACAGACTGTGCGGGAGTGAGCACTCCATCGGACATGACCATGGAGACTGCAAAGACTCCCATCACCTTGAGCAGAGTCTTGAAAAATGCACTCGACTCAATCGTCTTGCGTACTTGTCGATTGGCCGGCCGCATCTCATTCGTCAGATACCGCTCCATCTTGATCATCGGCTCTTCTCGCGGGTCTCGATTGGTAATGTTGGCATACCGGGACAAGAGTGAGTAGCAGCTAAAGGTACCGCCTTCCCCTTCATTGTCCGCTCGAAGAATGATCAAAACATACTTCAGAGTGACCATCATCAAGAGAGACCAGATGATGAGTGACAACACCCCAATGACATCCTCGCGGGCCGGCGGGCTGGTAAACGTCGACGAGAAGACGTACAGTGGCGAAGTGCCAATATCGCCATAAATGACACCAACGCTTTGATATGCCAGGAAGAAGAGATGTCGTCCTTTGAAGATTTGCTTTCGGCGTACATCGCCATCATGTCGAATTCCAGCCTCGTCGTCGTGGTCTTGTGGAGGAGCTGTTGCTGTACCGGATGGCCGAAAAATCGATGGAGCTAGTGAGTTTCTTCTGGTCCCAGAGACGTTACGACTAAAAACCTGCACGACGTTAGTTTTTTGTCATTCATCGTGAGATGGGTGATCGGAGATGCAGCCGTACAATGCCATCCTGAGCATCCTTTCCAGTGGATATAGCCTCGTGCGAGCTGACGGGTTGCACGGAATCCTCGTCGAATTGTATAGCAGTGGGAGGAGACATGGTCGAGAACTTGGTCTGGAGCAATACAGACTCACAGCGGGTGAGGAAAAGCAAGTCGTCGTCGTATCGATCGTCTCAATTTTTGATCAATCGGTAATTGACCCGCTGCTACCCACGAACTGAAAAGATGTCCAAACAAGCGTTATCGCAGAAAGACCAAAGGCTTGACGGGCTTGGGAGCCATGAGGAGCATAGGATGCGCCATGGGTGGGACAATGGCAGGCCGGTGGGTAAACGATTGGTATAGGTACAACCAGAGAAGGTGGCGCGAACGCATGTGATGATGTTTTTGTTGATTAAATCGCTCATTGTTACTGTACTTCTTCTCCCGGCTCGGTCTTCTCGTCGGGGCTGTTGTGGTTGGTCTCAGATCAATATCGCTTAAAGCATTCCTTGTACATACAATTCGAGGAATGTGCTACTTGAAAACTGTCGCCGCATCTATCACATGTCTGGAAGACAGCCTCGGCACAAAAACTGCTTGTGCTTCTATACCAGGTAGGGCAGGGCTATCCTGGCCATGTTGTAACTCGCACAATCAGGCTGTAGACAGCGTTGCCAAAGCCTAAAGGTGGTTGTTGTTGCTACTGTTGTTGACAAACGGCACCTATGACAGCGGTATATCTGCTTTCGATGCTGTTCCCACGCTGTTGTATGTTCAATCTGGATGGAACTATCTAGGGAACATGTATCTATGGAATACAAACAGTGAGCTCGCTCTGCTACATCTAATGTATTTTTCTGTGGCCAGTTTCTCAGTGTCTATACATCTCACACTTATGCCAAAGCAATCTGCCCTGCGCTCATCCTCCTCATCCTGCTCCTCCTCTCCTCATGCCCTCTTTTCATCGCCACATCCTCATCCAATGTCGCCCTCTCCTCATCCCCCGCCTCCTCTTCCATATCGTCTTCATCTTCAAACCCAATTTCCGCCTTCTTGGCCTCTTCCAGTGCATTCGCTCTCAACTTTTCGTTTACAGTCCTTCTCCAGTCCCTCATCTTCACCACCCCTCTTTTCTTTCGATCCATTCCCCACAAAGCCTGCACTGCTCGACCCAACTTCCCATCAGCAGCATCACTCGCGTAATCCAAGATCCGATCCAACAAATCCAGCGTGCCATGATCAAACGAATACACCTCTCGATCCATTTCCTCCAACACGAGACTGATGGCTTCCATGTCGCGATATTGCCGCCAGAGGAGATGCATGTGTTGATTGTAGAGCTCGGTGGTAGCACCCAACGCGAATGCCAGAGGACCGAGTTTCTTCAATTCGGGAAGAACGACGAGGCCGAGGGAGTGTGTGGTGGGTAACTTGGAGGTTTGGAGATGCATATAATGTTGGAGTAAAGCTGGCAGAGCAGTAAAATTGCTTTTGAGGGCGATGCTGTCGGGAGTAGAACGCAGTCGGTCGAAGACTTGGTCGCGAAGGATTGTCCAGAGCTGAACATCTGAAGTGGCATTGTCCATGAGGCTTTTGATAGCGAGGGCTTGGGCGTCTTTGATCTCGAATTCGGAGACGGGTCTGACTGAAGAAGTCTTGTTGTCCTCGCGAGCGACTCGTCGACGCAATTCCTCTGCTTCTTCCGCGAGAGGTCGTAGCAATTCTGGAAATTGTACTGTTTCCTGCTGCTGCTGTTTCTGTGTTCCCGTCTTCATCTTTCCGTCCTTCTTGCTTGCGATGCCCTTCCGAAACAGCTCTTCGAACACCTGCATCTCTCGTGGAGTCATGGTGGTATTCCGCAGTCGCTCTGCAGGCGTGGTCGATCCCGTGTCGCCTTCGAAAGGTATACTGTGCAACTGCTTTGGCCTACGCATTGCATTCTGCATGCGCTGCGAAGTTGGCTCATCCTTGCTCCGCGCTGACCGACCTCTTCCCCTTCCCACACTCTTCGACGACCATTTGTGTCTGATATCCTGCAATCTCTGCTCTTCCGCTGCACCTTGTCCTGCTTTGTGTTCGAGATTGAGATGGTCGGCTGGATGTGCTGATGGGAACTCATCTGAATATGCGCGCAGGATGCTTCGAGTCTGGTACAGAAAGGGAAGGAAAGTAGCATGAGAAGGGCTTGCGATACCTAGACTTCGTGATGATGCTCTCTTGGTCAACATCTTCAATTGTCTACACGACATCGAGTCGCTGTGCCATCGATAGATGGAAGTAGAAGGCTCATGAATTCGACGCGATCAAAAGTCACGTGACATGAACATTACCAGATTACACTTCACTTTGGCCCGTCTACCCTCCCGTCTACCCTCGACAGCTCTCCTGTCGATCTCCTACCTCCTAGGAGGTAGACCTCGACCTCGCTCGCTGAGCAACAACACTGGTTTCAAAACAAAAAAAAAGGACTACACAACTTTCAACTCACAAACAAGCCCACCACGAAACCCACAAAAGATGCAATACCATTACCCACAAGCCTCTCTCCCCGGCCTCCCCGTCGAACTCCGCCTAATCATCCTCCAACACGCCCTTCTCCTCAACTCCCGCATCGAAATCCGCCATCAACAAAAGTGCACCTCCCATCCCATCAGTACCATGATCAGAAGAACTCTCCAAGCAACAATCTCTCCATCGTCCTCTTCACGCACCGCCTGGTCACTCCTGCAAATCAACTCTCAAATCCGGAATGAAGCCCTCCCGCTCTTTTTCGAACTCTGCAATTTCCACTTTTATGACACGTTGACCCGTTCTCTGCTTGCAAGTTTCTTGCAGACGATTGGGGGAGATGCGGTCATTGGTCGTATGAAGCATGTTTCTTTTCATACTAGAGGGAAATGTATCATGTTTGGTTTGGGGGATGCAGAAGAAGAAGAAGGGTACGTTTTAATTTTTTTTTCTTCTTATCATTATCTTTCCCTGTTTCTTCTGTTTATTGTTGATTCGAGTATCGGACTCGAAAAATAACAACAACAACAACACATTTCTATCCCTTTTCACTTTTCCCTACTCCTCCTCTACCAAAAACAAAACAAAAAGAAAATTCCACTAACCTCCCCTCCCCCCTTCTTCTCCTCCCCCAACAGCCCATCATCATCATCAACCCCCTACTCCAACGGCTGGACAACCAACTCCTATCCCTCCCGCTCCGAAGATTACTGTCTCCGAGACCTCACCATCAACCTTTCCCACCCCTCCTCCTCCTCCTCCTCATCCTCTTCCTCCTCTTCCTCCTCCTCTTCCTCCCCTCCACAACCCGACATCTTCAACAACATCTTCACCACCTCCCGCCTCTGGACGAACCACAACCCGTTAGCAAAACAATTATGCTCCAATGGGGCTTTTGCGTGTCGAGAACAGATGTGTGAGGCGTTTGAGAAGGCTGGGATTTTGGATTGGAGATGTGGCGAGGAGGAGGAGGTGAAGGGAAAGGAGAAGAAGATGATCATCATGAGCGAGGCGAAAATCTTGCAAGTGTGGGATGTGATGAGTAGAGATCATCATCATCATAATAGTTGTTGTGTATTTTGAGGAATTCTTTTGTGTTTTTTCTTTTTTGGGAAGATTTCGATCTTGATGACCGATGGGTGATGGGTGATGACACTGGTGATGAATGTTGATGATGACGCTGATAAAAATGTTGAATATAAAGAACATGAATCGTTCTTCATTCATCGATTGAGTAAAATGATCATCTAAAGGCACTGCCATGTACAAACTATACATCTTCTTCTCAAGCATACACATACCCGACACCCGCGCACACGAGCTGGCGGAACACTGTTCTGTCCCGTCATCAAGCAATGTCGTAAATCTTGGCTTCCACAATATCCATCTCTTGTACTGTTGTCGTTGCTGTATTTGTTGGTGGTGCTGCTGCTGCTGTTGCTGATGATGATGAGGTTGCAAGAACACCAAACGCCTTGCTATGATGCCCATGCTCGGCGAAAACACAAGACAACCGCTGTGAAAGCATCGAACGCTATACAAATGCTCTCCCACTCCTTCCGGTCCCACCACTACTGTTATCTCTCGGAATGTGTGCATCATAAAGATCATCATCATCATTATCATCGTCATAATCATCTCTCCGTCTTCTTCCACCACTGCTTCCCACATTGCCAGAGGGACTGGCACCAAGGGCATCCGGACTAGAACTGCGACCGCTCGGGATATGCCACTCATCACTATCGCTGCGTCGGATCGAAGAAGCATCCTGCTCTTCTGGCTCTTCAGTGTACACAGGCAAATTCTTATGGGAATCGCCATGGACGAGTCCGAGCCGTTCTTCCTCTGTCGTAGTAGCTGCTCGAGGATACTCTCGACTAGCGCTGCCTCGACTCTGAAAGGATAAGGCACCTCTACTAAGAGGCCTTATGCCTGCGTCCACCGAGCCCGCATCGGATCTGTTTCGCGAGAAGACATTCTGGAAGGAGAATTGTCGACTGGCACCACCAGTGTTGGGACGACTACCGTTACCGTGTGGAGGGGGCCGTGGAGGTGCGAGACTGCTAGATTGTGAGACTGCGCGGTCTCGTTCGCTTGCCTGGTCCGAGAAGTGAATATGTTGAGAACTGCTGGTCGCGCCCTTGTAGGCCGTGTCGTCCTCATCATCATCATCGTGGCCGTCGACTCGTTGTGGTTCACCAGGCATGCTGTATTCGTGCTTGCCCACACTGACGCTATCGAGAGGTACGGGGCTGTGTCCTCTCTGCTGACGTCTTTGTGTAAAGTTTCTGCCGATTCTGCCAAAGAATCCAGGATGGACCTCACTGTCAGGCTCGCTGATGTCGTCCGGTGGGAATTGGGACATGCCCAGTGGTGGATGCGGTGTCTTGGATCGTCTCACGGAGCCGCCTTGCGTAGAGACTGTCATTCGTCTTCGGAGGCCATCCCATTCCGCCACTTCATTCTCGCCAATGGGTTGCATGCGCTCTTCGTTGATCCTCTTCACCTCTTCTGCCTCTTTCTTCGTCCTCGTCCTACTAAGTGCTCGGATGATACCGGCTCCGCCACGTATAGTGTCTGCTCGAGGCTCGTACTCAGGCTCTTCGACTTCAGCTGCGGCCCTGATTTGGTCTAGGTCGCCGCTCAGCACTTTGCTATCCGGTATCTCTTTGGATGACTTGGCCAGTTGTAGTAGGACGACGCCGGAGCAGATGGTCAAGAAGCCCATGACAACATCAATGATCTGGTTGGTCGTGCCATGAAAACCACGAAACAGCACCGCTGATGTAATTATCGTCGAAGAGGTGAAGTAGACGTAGTATGTCGGCGTGACTAGCGCAGCGTTAAAGATGTTTAGTGCTTTCTGTGTGAATGTCAGCAGTAGTTGTCAACGAGCAGGATGAATAGAGCACCTACGTTCAAATATATTATCTCTGTCAGCAGTGTGCATATCACAAAAACTAATAGCACATAAGTGAACCACTTGTTGAACTGCTGCTCTCCCCCAATAGCTGCAATGATAGTAGCACCCAGGCCTTGAGTTGCCACCACACTCAGACCTCCAATCAAGCTGCATATGGTCAGGTAGACCATCATGCTCTTCTTGGCGTACTTGGGCGCCACCCACACAGCCACGACGATGCAGCCTACAATGATGACGCCGGCAAAGCTGAGGAAGCCAGGCGCAATCACGTAGTGCTGCATTTCCTGGATATTCGAGACGGCCGACTGCTCTGGTGCATTGAGCGTGATGGTGACAGATCCGACGATGCAGAGAAAGCATGCCACCCATCCCACAAAGCTGAGCCTCTCCTTCAAGATCCACCAGGACAGGATGGCGCACACCACGACGGAGATGGCGCCCAGTGGGGTCACCAAGATGGCATCGACGAAGGCATATGCGACGAAGTTGCAAATCTCTCCCACGATCATCAGTGTCATGCCCAACCACCACCAGGCGTTTTTGAGATATCCATAGCCCTCTCCCGCCTCTTCGCTGTATTTGACGTTCGCTGATAACAAGCCCTTCTTCTTGATCACAAAGGACGTGCCAATAAAGAGTCCCGAGGTGACGGCCAAGACGATGCCCACGATTTTATAGTAGCCGGGACGAGCAGTCGTGCCACTCGCTGCAGAAGAAGTGGAGGAGGGCGTGGCAGAGACGGTGCTCGTTGGGGTGTCGGTCGTTTCGGTGGCCTGGCGGAGCACCAGATCTGCGGCGTGGAAGAGGACATTGCCAGCGACGTCCATTGCAGTTGGAACAGACGAGTGATGTGGATTGTCCTGTCTTGTCAGGGCGATGCGCCAGCAGCCATAGGAAGGTCCTTTCAACCCGGGACTGTCCGATGAGGTGCTGCTCTACCCGAGTCTGGTGGAAGAGAGGGAGGTAATCCTGTTCTGGTCCCTCTGCGAGCAGAGCTGAGGGTGTCCCGAAGTGGTGTCCGGGTCGGAGCTGGATGTAGTAGGTACCTCAGCTCTTTCAGCAGCTCGACCTCTGCGGGAGTGTCGTGCCTGGTGGGTTCGGTCGCGATTACAAAACAAGGCGAAAGGCGGAAGGCGCTATGGCTAACGCTGTCGGGATATCAGAAACGAACGTCGAGAAAAGGGCGAGTCGGCAGGAAGGAGAAGGAGAAGGAGAAGGGGGAAAAGAAGGGAAGGAGAGTGTAGTTGGATAGATACAACATACGAGTCCAATGTTTACTCAACTTTACTGAGTGTGGATACCAGGTACTTACAGAGTCCGTCTAACATCCTGGACCTGGTCTGTTGATGCCCCACCGGCTATACTAGAATCGAACTAGCTCTTCCTACCCTCATGAGAAGCAGGACTAGCCGATCAAGTCTTGATTTGTGGCGCAGTTGTGTGAGGACGCGCCAGATTCTAGATCACATGATATGGCGCTAAAAGACGCGTCTTGGCAGAGCACGCCAACACCGTCGTCGAACACAGCCAAGACCTCCATACAATAGGTATACAGGTTGCAGGTAACGTCGAGCATGATTGGACTTTCACTTTGACCATCTGCTTCGGGCGACCCTCACCACCGCACTACCTACTCCCTCCCGTCTCCTACTGGCCAGTCTAGCATGCCACTCCTCACGAATGGAAACAGTCCTCCACCTGGGGCCGACGTCAATGTCTACAATGCCAGCTCCGTGCATGAAATCCGGTCCGCCCTGCAAGAACTATCGCAAAGAGAGGCCGCGGTGACTTCTCGTCTGGACAGCCTGCTCGCTTCCCAAAAGGACCTGAACCGCCAGCTCACTCGGCTCGACCTGGCGCGTGCTCATCTGGGATCCCAAGTAGTCGCCACGCGGAACATCAGTCATGGCATGCTCTCCAATGCTGCCTCGACTGCCCACCGAATATCAGGTGCTGTCAAAAAGCTCGACCAGGAGCAGGCTGCCGTGAAGTCCACCCTTGAAGTCGTGGAGCAGGTGGCCGAGCTCAAAGCATGTGTGCTGGGCGTACATGGCTCCATGGGTGCTCCTCAAGATTGGGAGACTGCTGCAGACTACTTGCATCGAGCCTTCAAGATCCCAGCTTCTGTCATTGATGGCGCCTTTGCAGAGGAGATTGTGCCCACTGCAGAAGTGCCGGATCCCCCTCGTGTCACTCTCAACGATGCCGCAGAGAGCCTGAAGGGCCTGTTTGTACGCGAATTCGAAAAGGCCGAAAGCGATGGAGACGGAGCACGAATCACCCGCTTCTTCAAACTATTCCCTCTCATTGGTCGTGGTGATGTGGGCTTAGAAGCATATGGGCGTTATGTCTGCGGCGGCATTGCCGCGCGAGCGAGGAGTAACATGAGCTCGACTCGTGCGCGAGATGGCATGTTCTACGCGCACGCCTTGACCAAGTTGTTCGAGCACATTGCTCAGATTGTGGAGGGCCATCAGCCGCTGGTAGAACGCCACTACGGACCCGGCAGCATGACCAAGGTTATCCAACGCATTCAAGTAGAAGCCGATCGACAAGGGGGCTTGGTGCTAGATAGCTGGTCGGAGGATCGTCGAGTGCATCGCAGACTTACTGAGATCAAGAGCTACCCCTTCAACTTCTTCGTGCAGAGTTTCCTGCCCGCGCAAAAGTCCACGTTGCCCACGAGGACTGCATCTCCTGCACCCGGTTCTGGTCGCAATAGTGAGGATGATAGTGTCGACATGAAGGAGATCGACGCACTGCTCAACGAAAGTGCCATTATGCTCAGTCGCTGGTCGTTGTACACTCGCTTCCTGGCCGGCAAAACGAGTGCAGAGGATCACAATCTCGACGACGACCTGCATCTGCCATCCTTCCTAACGCACAGTACATTGCAGAAGAAGGTGTCAGAACTGCTCATCGAACCATTCAATGCGATGGCGACCTTCTTCTTTCGGAGGTCCGTGGAGAAGTCTTTCCGGATTGATGAGCCTCCGTCGGACTTGACTCTCAACCCCAACAAGCCGCTTGGGTCCAGCCCGCCTTTCATCACTTCCGCTGTGGATGATATCATGTACATTGTCAACCAGGTGCTGCAACGTACACTTTCGACTTCACAGCTCCACATTGTACGGAACGTCGTTCCATCGGTGGGTCGCGTGTTGGCTACAGATTTCTTTGGCATGGAACAGCGAAAGATGCGGGACGAGAGCTATCCGAAAGCAGCCATACAAGGCGCACTCCCTCCTGAGAATCTCATCGTGTCCTTTCTCGTTCTGATCAACAACCTGGACGTCGCCACCGATTACGTCCGCAGGATCATCCGGACATGTCTCGGCGAAGCCTCTGCCGCTGCACGAGACAACAGCAACAACGAATCAGTCCTCATCGACACATTCCCCTTTGGCAACGAACATCAAGTAGCTGAGGCAACCCTACGAGCCATGGAGAAGAATTTCGCCGAAAAGACCGCAGTCCTCGTCAACGAAGCCATCGAAGTCATGCTCAAACAAGTAATGCGACCTCGCCTGCGCCCCGTATTCACCGAAACCTTCAAAAACATCGAATACGACGAAGAAACATCCTCCACCACCTCCACGACAACAACAACAACAGCAGCCACAGCCGCCGAAGACCCTTCTACATCCTCCGAAGACATCGTCGCCCAACGCTTCGAACGCGGCTGGCAAGCCTTCACTTTACCCATCAAACGCATCGCAACGCCCCAAATCTACGACAAACTCATCACAGCCACCATCGCCCATCTCGCTCGGACATTGGAAAAACGAATCTGGTCCTACTACGGCCGCGTCAATGAGCTAGGCGCTATTCGATTAGAGAGAGATATTGCCGCGATTGTCGCCATTGCCGTGCAAGGAGCCAAATATGAATTGCGAGATGCTTTTGCGCGATGTACGCAGATGACGTTGGTGATGAATATGGAAGATGATGAGTGGGAGGAGATTTCTCAGTTGGATGGGCCGCTGTTGGATCGGGAGACGGGCATGGAGTGGAAATTGGATGCGGATGAGAGGAAGAGGGTGAGGGCCATTGTGAAGGATCATCATGCTGCTTAGGTACCTACCTTGGGTAGGATAAGGTGCATAGTAAGTAGTAGTAGTAGCTAGTTAGTATCTAGATAAGGTAGTATTATATGATATTACTTCCTCATTATAGTATATGTGGTCATACCTGACGTTCCATGTTGTACACACCCAAAAGCGCAAAAAAGAAGCAGAGCGAGGCAGAAGAAGGACCTGGAAGAAAGCAAAAAGGGGGAAAGGGTCCAACCTATCGCATCTCCATCATCTTCTCCCCACCCTGCTTCCCCCTCTCCCTCTTCACCTGCGCCTGCCACGCAACCCACGTCCCTACCACACAAAGCGTCGCACAGGTCAAACTCGCCGCACAAAAGCTCTGAGCACCAGGCCAACTCTTCGGGAAAATCGCTCCTCCAACGGGACTTCCAATCAAAATCCCCAGAGCACCGGCAAACATGTTAATTCCAAACCTCGTCCCGATACTGCCCATCTCCTGGGGAGGCGTCATCGAAGCCACCGCAGCACCTTGCAACGAAACGAACGCTCCCGAGAAGAAGCCGTACAGGAAACACCACACCACCAAGCCCGCTGTGGAGTGGCGGATGCCGATCCAGCAGAAGGCGAGGATGGTAGCGGAAGCGGTTGTGGTGGCGAGAACCTTCAAGGGGTGAAAGTATTTATCTCCAATGTAGGCAGGGAGGATGCGACCGGGAATGGACCCGATGTTGAGAAAGATGAGCATCCAGAATTCGAGGCCGAGGTGGTATTTGGCAGCATATTGTTCAATGAAGAAGTAAGGGATGTACTGCCCGACGAAGCCGAAGAAGGTGGCCAGGTTCATGATTTGGAAGGGTACGTCTTTGAGGATTTGTGCGTTGAATATTTTGCGCCGTCCGGGTGGACGGACGCGGGGTTTGATGACAATGCAAGGGATGGCGAGGGTGAGCAGGGCTATGAAACCGATGATGCGCACTGCCCAGCCGAAACCTAGATGGGTTGGTTGGACATAGATGAAGATGATGGGGTATACTACGCCGCCTAAGGAGGAACCCGAGGCGGAGATTCCCATAACCAGAGCACGTTTCGAGGAGAAGTAGCTGGGGAGAATGGAAGTGGCTGTGATGAAAAGACAGCCTCCACCGATTCCACAGCAGACACCCTGAGCTAGGATGAGTTGCCAGTACTCCTCGCAGAGGGAGGTCATCATCAAGCCGAAGACGACGGAAAAGGAGCCAAAGAGGACCAGCAGACGCGGATTACCGACGTCGAAGAGAGGTCCCCATGTGATGGGCGAGGCGCAGAGGAAGAATGATGTTAGCGTGCCTATCCATGATATCGCGGAGTTTGACGTTGTCGGCAGAAGCGTTCCTTTATAGTATGTTTGGAATACCTATGGCACAGAAAAGTCAGCGAGTGTGGTCAAGCGGAGAAGCTGAACGTCTCACCCCAAAGGCGTTGATGAGACCCCAGGTATTGAAGAAGAGGAAATATCCTCCCAACACCTGAAGCCATGCCGTTGTGCCTCCGTCAGGTGGTGGTCCACCAGGAGGCCCTGGGGGTCTAGCTCCTTCCTTGCGAGGTGATATGCGATCTTCTCGAGGCATAGTCCTGAAGTACTCGTTGTAAATGGACTTCAGAGAGAGGCTACTATTGCTGTCTGCGTGAGAGCTATTCATCGGTACTTTGAGTGGCGAGCCTGGCCATGTTTTCGGACTCGGATCATAGGGCGAGCTGGGAGTCTCTGGTCGAGGAAATCCTGGATGGAAGCCTGGTGACGCTGGTCGATTACTTTCTTGCGGCAGAAACGCTTGTCGCGTAGGTGAATCAACATGGCCGAAGGATTCCTGTGCAGGACTGGGTTGCAAGCTTGCATAATCGTATCGTGCGGGTATTGCTCCATCGTAAGTTCTGTTAGTACCAGGAAATACCGGGGCTCGACTGGAGTCAACGTATTCCAGCTCGCGATAAGAGCCCTTCGCATCCGACGTCGTGGGCCGATCAAACGTCCCATTCCAGTCCGACGCTGTTGATGGAGCTCGAGAGTGCAGCGGCGACTCCCGCAGCGGGCGATGAAGGGAGTCGTCACGAGCGTGTGCCATGGTGGGTGTCAGTAGAATGCAAGGCGTATACACTTCAAGGACAAGGGCGGAAGAGCCAAGTTGTGATGGACGCTTGCCTGCGATAGTCTCCTGAATGCAAAGCCTCACTTCCGGTCGGATTCGGTGTTGCTCACGATGAGCGCATTTCAGACGTGGAGGCTGGCTGTAGTGTTGCTCACTCGGGAATCGATGACGCCTGAGATCTTCACAAATGCAATATCCAACGGTCGCCCAACACGCCAAGGAGACCGAGGAAGAGCGTCAGGTGGTCCCGACAGACAGCTGCTCAACCGCAGATGCTGGCGCAAGTGAGCTGGCGCTGAGTGCGCGAAGGATGGTAGTGTCGTAGTGGTGGCCCTGTGCTGTGCGAAAATGGAGATTGGAAGATGCAGACGAATGGCGGTTTGCACGATCGAGATAGGCAGTTGCGGATCCGAACAAAGGCGACGGCGACGATGAGCTGTAGAGGCAGACGTAGGGGATAGGGTAAACGGGGGGCGGGAGCACGAAGATAATTCGCTCTTCCTGATTCCTTCACGCGGAAGACGTCCTGCAGCTTGTCGCTCATCGTTTTCTCAGAATGGTACTGTGCCAGTCGAGCGCGTGCAGAAGGGCCATGGCAGGCGCTACAATTAGCAGCATCGCGCCCTCGAAGTCTCCTAGTGCGCAGACGCGATGCATGATAGATGATAGCGTCCGCAGAGTGGCCCGCCGTGCTGCATTTATTGGCGACCCACCGCTCTCAACCCTGTCGTCGACGAAACGGACGCCGCCGTGGTGTCACCGGTTTGCGGACTGAGGCGGTGACGGATCGTGGGGGGAGAGGAGGGCGGAGGGGAGGGGGCGGAGGGGAAGGGGGTAGGAGGTACCATCGATGCCATCTGGACGTCCTGGCTGTGCTGCTGTACCACGGGTGTAACGACGACCTGATGAGGTGCGTTTAAGATTCCAATCAACGTCAAATCAATCCTCCGGCAAAAGAGTGATTCGCACCGCGGGGAGAGCCGGCTTGGCAACGGCGCAGATCCGACGCAGGGCTTGCCTGACCCTTTCTAAATTCTACCCACACTACTGCCACTACACGTGTGCCTTGCATCTTCTAAAACTGCTGGCGCTTGAGACGGTGGCTGACGAGCGTCTAACCACTAACCATCGTGCTAATAAACCACTGTACAGGACATACAATCACATGCCATGGCTTCCAAGCTGCCAACACTCCGCCCCTTCCTGCACCCAGCACCCGACCGCCTCCTGCATCGAGCAGCGACGAGGCTCGCAGCGAAACGCCTAGGCCCAATGGCCCCGGCTCATGGATGAGGTGTGCTTCCAAGCGAGCAACAGGAGTTATCGCACGAAAGTGGCGAGAGAATAGTGCTGTAGAGTGCCAACAACCCGATAGATCCGGTCACGCACGGATGGCAATACATTTGCAGGCCCTGCTGGAGAGGGTCTGCTTGCTCCACTGTCGCTTCCCGACACCCAACGGATGTCGCTGGCCGTGTCGCAGTGGTTTCTGATAGAAAAATGGGTGCAGATCTTGTGCGGTGTCTGGCCCTGAACATTCCAGAACAGGCGTGCCACCGCGCTCTAGCGGCTAGCCCGTGCTGCTGGATTGTCGGGAATGTTGTACATGGGCTTTTTTGGCCTCTGGTCTGACGCATACGGTATGGCTGCCGAGCAGCGCGATGGGACGCTTGCAGGGTGGTATTTCGTGACGCGTGCTCGGCGAGCTTCGAAAGGAAGCGCCTTCGAAGCTTCGTGTGCGTCCTAGCCGTGTCGCGTGTGTATCCACTACGCTTGCGATATGTTTAGATGCGTATCGACTATCAATCCCGTTCAAACCGTTGGTATCGGGGGGGTTAGCTTGCATCATGGATTCAGGGCGGCCGCCCTTCCTCCCAACACCCACCCGAAGCACGTGTAATGTGCGGAGCGCCGGAGACTGAAAAACGGGCATGAGCAGCAGCAAGGTACATAGTAGTCTGTCCTCCTGCTCAACCTGCACTTCTGGACCAAAAGCGACTGGTCAGTTGCTGTGTGGAACTCAGCACGCACTTGAGCAACAATGGCCGAAACACCACGACGATCGCTGGAGTACGGTCCACGCGTCGAGGACCAGAACGTCTCGCACTTGCAGCTCTTTCAGGATACCGTCAGCGCCAGGCCACACGCAACTGCTCTCATCGCAAAGCATCAAAACCCATCCACGTTCCGCTGGGTCGGCAGCCAGAATTCGGACAAGAGCTATGTTCAATGGACTTTCGCAGAGTTGGATCGTGGTGCGCGACGCTTGGCGACAGCATTGAACAGTCTCACCCCTATCGAGAGGCGACCTGTGGCAGTCCTCATCAACAATCAGGCAGAATGGGCACTCTTCTACTGGGCATGTGCTTACCTGCACTCCCCTTTTGTGCCCATCAATCCCAAGACAGCTACTCGGACTGAGGAGATTAATCACATGCTGGAACTGGTCAGCCCGGTGGTCCTTGTCAGTGCAGACCTCATCATTGCCAACCAGCTCGAGCACAGTTTATCAGAGAAATTGATGGCATCTATCAGCTCCCGCATTACTTTATCAAACTCCATCGGCGCTACACAGCGGGAATGGTGTCTGTTGTCAGAGGTTATGTCTGGTGAGCTGACCCCACCACATACTCCAGATGTGGTGGGACCGAACGACACCATTGTCATTCTCTTCACGAGCGGCACGACTTCATTGCCCAAGCCTTGTGCATTGACGAGCTTTCAATGCTTGAATGCAGCCCTGGGCTATATGGATGCTCAAAAGGTCGGCAGTGGTCATAGATTCGTCCAGCATCTTCCCGGATTTCATTCGTACGGTATCGGCTGGTCACTGGGCTTCTGGCTGCGTGGTGGCATGGTTATCTACCCCTCGGATTCCTTCGAAGCACAAGCTACGTTGGAATGTTTCGACCAGTTTCAAGCGACGCACATGGGCTTGGTACCAACCACTGCACAAGCTATTCTGGCGCATCCAGCGTTCTCCCAGACTGATCTCAGCACGCTTGTCAGCATTGACATAAGCGGTGCCGGTGTTCTTCCCAGCTTAATTGAGGCTTGTGCATCGACACTGAAAGTGCCTGCTAGCACGAGCTATGGTATGACAGAGTCACCTGGTACTATGGCATGGTCAGTCGACGAAGGCTCGGTTCTCCGGGATGGCGAGGTCATGTCTGGACGTCCTGTACGAGCGACGTGTGTGAAGATCTGTGAGCCTGGCACTCGAGGCATTGTCCCTCGTGGTGAATATGGCGAACTGCACAACGGAGGTCCCCAAGTCATTCCTCGCTACATGGACCCTCGAGTCTCGTCTGCCGACTTTTACGTGGACGAAGACGGCACCAGCTGGATCATTACCGGTGACCAAGCCATCATGGATCAAGACGGTGCTGTTCGAATCACTGGCAGGTACAAGGACATGATCATTAGAGGAGGCGAGAACATCTCGCCTGCTAGCATCGAAGACTATCTGAGCAAGAAGTCAGGCGTGTTTCAGGTCCAAGTCGTCGGTGCGCCTGATGACATGGCTGGTGAAGTGCCCATCGCTGTCATCGTTGAGCGTGAGGGCGAGCAGGCGAATTTGGTTGAGCTGAAGAACGACACGCAAGTGGACCTAGGCGCAGCGTTTGCTCCAAAGCTCGTTTTGCGTCTAAGCGACATCGGCCTGAGTGCTTGGCCTACCACTGCTTCTGGGAAGATCAGAAAGGTCGAGCTCGCTAAGACAGTGCGAGAATACCTGAGAGTGGAAGCAGAGAAGGGTGTTGACAAGTCCGGATCCACTGTTGATCAGCTCATCAACATCTGGAAGATGATCAGCGGCACAGACGGCTTGCTTCCTGAGACACTAGTTGACGCATTTGCCGACTCACTGATGATGATGCAATTATCCAGCGTAGTCAAGAAGGAGCTGGGTAGGGACATTACCGTCGAGCATTTCAAGAACTGCGAGTCGATCCAGGATCAGGCTGATCTCATCGCTGCCAGGCCACTTAAGAGTGCGGTGCCGATGCAACCGAAGCGTGTTGGCCCTCCGTCTCTACAAGACATGCCACACTGTCGAGAAAGCGAGGATGTGTTCTGGGAGACGGTCTACGCAGCAGAGTGTGTCCTCGCTCCGTACGGCATGAAATGGGCTGACGTGGAAGATGTCATGCCTCTGCCAGATTGGGACGCCATCTTCCTCAATCGTGCTCGGCCATGTTCATGGAACTTGCGCTTCAGCTACAATGCACCGGTCGATGTGGAGAGCCTGGAGCGTGCCATCAAAAAGTCACTTGAGTTCCATCCCACGATGCGATCGATGGCTTTCCCTCTTGGCGAAGATATGTTGTTGGCTACTGTTGAGCCTACACAGGAGTGGCTCCAAGCATCCATGACTACGGGCTGGGAAGTCGAAACCAAGGAAGATCTCAACCATCTCTTGCTCGATCATCCTGTGCATGATAATGCCAGTGCGCCTGGGCCACTTGTCAAATTCCACATTGCCAAAGTGCGCAGCGATGGGACTTCTGGTCTGGTCCTGGTTGTTTCCCATGCTGTCAACGACATGAGCATGACGAAGCTCTGGCTTGAAGATATCGTGACTTTGCTTACCAACCAAGGAACGGTGGTACCCCATGCGCAATTCAAGGACTACGCAACTGCCTTTTTCGACCACCGCGATGGATTGGAAGCTGACAATGGAATCAAGTACTGGTCCGAAAAGCATCAGGGGATATCCCTCACACCCGAGTCTTCTCTCTGGCCGCCACAACGAGCAGCAGAATGGTTCAAAGGCAGCGACCTCAACTGGACCAGATGGAATGGCACCAAAGCCCGGCGAGGAGAGCGCTCCGTCTCCCAATCTGACAAAATTCGCGCTCAGAAAGGCATTCGTAGCATGGTTCGAATCAACGACATCACACGACTCAAAGCAGAACACAATGTGCCCGTCTTCATGCTTGTCAAAGCCGCCATTGCCATGCTCAACATTTCCAAAACGGGCGGCAAAGATGCTATCTTTGGCACCATCAACGCAGCCCGTACCTGGCCATTCAGCTCCGATTACAGCGCCCTCGAAAGAGAGGCCTACACAGGCAACCCTCTCGATGTCTCTGGCTGCACGACTGAATACGTCCTCGATCGCATCCCCGTCGGACGCACCAAATCCCTCCTGTCTTTCATGCAACAAGTGACCAAAGACGAGGAGCAAAATTCGGCGTACGCTCACACTCCATTTTTCCGAATCGTTGACCGCTTACGAGACCCCTTGTCTCCCGATGACACGCGCACGTTCGCGGAAAGGGAAGCTGACGCGGAGAGCTTGCTGCCCTTGATCCGGAGACAGAGTTTCAATTGGTTACCCACGGCTCCCACCGCTCAGAATCCCAAGGGCCTCCAATTTCAGCAAATGCTGACGAGGATGGACAATGGATTGACCATCACGGGCTTCTTGCTCGATGATAAAAAGAGTGTGGCATTGAGTTTCAGTTGGGATGCAGAACATATGAGTTTCGCAGAGGCGGAGAGGGCACTCGAACGACTTGTGGGCTTGGTCGATAAGATGGGCAAGGAGGAGAATTGGACCAGGACCGTGGGTGAGATTATTGGTATGTGATGGGAGCGATCTTGTCTTGTCCGCTTTCGTATCTTCTGGAGGATTCTCTTTTTTTTCCTTTTTTTATTACTTGACTTCTTTTATTCGTTCACGGAAGAGGGTAATTCGATGGGATTGGATGTAATGCAACGTACTACGTATAATGAATGGGGTCTTCTTGAAGGCGAAAGGAAAGGAAAGGAAAGGAAAGGAAAGGAAAGGGGAAACAGAGAGACAGACAGAGACAAGAGAGACAGCCAGCCAGAAAGACAGACAGACAGACAGACATATCTCTCTTGACGCATGTTGAGGATTGAATTACGAGAAATCGCCACATTTATATCTCTACTACCTCGGTAGGTACATGTACTACACACCTTAAGGCATGATGTACATCATTATATTAATTGCCTGGATCTCGAGTATACGGTAACTACCTATCCGCACGGATACCTACATGTATCTTACCTAGGTAAGCATATATCGATAACCTACCCGAGGTAGTAGGTACCTACATATTGTGGAGGTATGTATCCATGTATAAGGTACCTTAGCTGGGAAGCAAGCAGCCTTGTTCTCCAGCTGACTCCTCACAGGTAGTTGAGTAACGCAGATATTTGAAGTGTTCCGTGCTTCCTCCTTTTTTCTGTCATGCCAGGCAGACAGGCCATTGTGCATTTGATGGCAGGTGTGTCCGTCTGACAGATAATAGGGACGACATGCAGAACAAAAGAGGAACGAGCCGGAGTGAGAGTGAGCTGGAGACAGTCAAGATTCAGGTAGGAAGGCACAAGAGTGCTTGGATAAAACATCATGTAGAATATTGAAGCTGTAGGTAATGTCTTTCTCTCTGGATCAGCACACTATGGGCATGCCCAGTGCTGCTAAACGGACCAAACAACGCATCGCGAGGGGGGGTATATTTCTTGCGTCTCCTCTTTCTCTCTCTGCTCTGTCTTTCTCTCTTTCTCTCTCCCTCCCTCTCTTCCCTTTCTCTTGCCTCCTCTTCTCTCCCTCTTCTCGCCATTCGCAAAAGTCACATGTAAATATCTCTAATGCTGTGTGCCCTTGATCAACATCTCGCTGTAAACACGCCCATATCATACATTATGCACAATCTGCCTGTCCATCTCCCAAGTCCCATGATGATAAGACTGTTACAGCTGGACTTCAGAGATCGGAGAATTCTCCTCGCCTGTGTTGCGATTGTAAGTAAACGTTCTCTTTTCCACTATTCCGGCAAGCGGAACTGTTGACGCAATTATCGAGGGTGGACTCGCATGAGTGCCAGACTGTTCCTGGCAGTCGCATGGCACGACATTGCGGCGAGTCGAAGGTCATGGTTTTGGTGCCTGCTCAAAGCTCGTGGTGTGCTAGGAGTACACTGACCTGTAACCACCACCTTGACTCCCACGTCTGCTCTTCCTCCTCGGCGGAGGCACGCCAATTGACGAGTGCTCCTCGATCACCTCCACGATATCATCACCCTCCACTCTACGCTCGGGCATTGGAGCCTCGTCCACGATAATGGTCTCGCGCAGTCGACTGGTCTCTCTGGGAGGCGGAATGTCTCGCACGATTCGCTCCTGCCGCACCACCCTATCCCTCCGGGGTGATCTGCTGACCATTTCCGTCCGCCGGCTGCGTCGAGTGGCCCTGCTACGACTGCGCCGTCTGACCATGACATCCTCCTCTTGCAGGGTAGTCGCCCGAATAAATCCAGAGCCACTGCTGGCAATCCATAGCAACCAGATCAACAGCAAGAAGCCGGCGACGCTGCCCAGTATGATACCGGCGACGGCTCCAGGTGCTGGGCCGGAATTGAGGCCTTCGTACTGCGCGGGAATTGCGATTGTCACGCCATTGGGGCTCTGTCGGGGCAGGAGAGCGCGTTTGGCGTGTTGAGCAGTTCGAATGACACTCCGCGCATAGGTATAGGCGGCATGGCGTAATTGTCGCGAGTCGAGGATGCGCGTGTTGGTAGATAGTGAGGGCGCAGAAGGGAGAGGGAAAGGAATGGCCGGCATTGCGCCCGGGACGAAGAAGCAGCGCGCGAAGGCTCGACACCACGGCGCTTATCTGCTCTGCTCGACTCCGATTTGCTTCGCTCTGCTCTGTCCTGCTCTTGTCCGATTTGGTATTTGTTCCTGTGCCTGTGGGTGGGTGTTGTTGTTGTTGTTGTTGTGATGTTGGGGCCGAATTCGGAATTGGGGTTGTTGATCCGCCCGCAGATGGTCGGTCGGTTGCGAAGAGTGCGCTATGAGTGGAAGATGTAGCGAGTGACAGCCGGCAAGGGTGGGTGTGTGAATGTATACAGTTGAGAGAGTGTGTGAGAGAGTGAGAGAGAGAGTGTGTGTGAGTGTGTGTGAGAAGGAAAGTGAGAGCGAGTGTGTGAGAGAGAGAAGGAGCAATTAGTTCTAGAGGTGACGACGTCGTGTTGCTCTGCTTCTCTCCAGCCTCCACCTTTTCCCAACCACCGACAATAATATCCCACGTCTAACAGTCTCATCACCCACACCCATAACACGCCAACGGCCTTTCCGAACGCAACGGCACAGCATCCGCGCCAGGTCCATCCCTTCATCGATCTCTACGCCATGACTTTTCTTCACGTCTGCGCTGCCGGCCGAGCTTCCACTACACCTCCGTCACTTCGCTGCCAGCTTTCAGCGACCAAGCCTCTTTCGCGTCTGCCAACAATGATTGCGGCACGAGGAGAAATAGGCTGACTTCTTCCCCACCGACGTGGCCGCTATCAACGCCTTTTGGCTGGAAACCGCTTCAAGCGCTGGGTGCCAACGAGTGGGTGGGCACGGCTGCCAGGCTGGCCATTTCATATTTCCGGACAGTGCATCTTCATACATCTGGTCAGCTACAGCTCGTTAGCCAATGCGCAACGATACTGTGAACGGGGTCTGCGTCGATAGCCCGCGCCAGCACCGAGAGACAACTCACTGTGGTAGCGTACGGGAGCAATGCCGTGCGCGTCCAGCAGGCGTTCAGATGGTGGCAATGGTCACTACCTGAAGATCATGACCTGCATGTCGGGACGTCTTTCAGCTCATCACTCCTGCTTCTGGCTGGGACCGGCTGGAGGTAGGTGCCATCGGTGTGCACCAGTGTTGACTGTCGCCAACCATTGTCCTCTCTTCAGCCCAGAACACTCCTGTGGCACGATGTGCTCTTCACGACTTCGCAGCAGCCATGTGGTTTGGATTTGATGACCATTGTCGTATCTTCTTTGCGACACTTGCTTCGACTGCTTCCAGCTACTGCAGATATGGTCTGGTTGTAGTACTGCACCTCACACCAGTCGCGGAGGTGACAGCAATCCGACATGGCTATCGAGTGCTTCGAACTGTCCATAGAGACTGCTGGTAGGATTCCAAGTCCTGAGACTTGGACTGGGTCATCAGCCTTGCCAGTCTTTGGTGTCCAGGTAATCGCCGCGTCGAGCATATCCATTGGCATCTTCCGGTGATGACGAGACGAATGTGAAGACGACTTGATGTTCTCTGATTGTCGACAAGCCATAATGATCAAGCTATTCGGACAAGAAGCGGTCTTAATATATTGGTAGGATGCACAAGAAGAGGAGCTATCGACTCTGGCGAAATTGGCCTTCTCTTCACCTTCCAGACTTGTGGACCCTGCTGCTACTCTGCCGACCTTCGAGCGATGTCCTGGCTCCGGATTTCTACTTTTGCAGATCTCCAACTCAGGCATGGTCTGACGAACGCTGACCACAGGTACCACTTGGCCTGCTTCGGCCAGATGATCAGACTTTACACCAGTCTCTTCTGGAAGGTATCGAGACCATGGTGCTGGCGATATAGCGCGTATGCAAGACGAGCCGCAAGATCTGCCTCGCGACAATGACTGGGAGATGGATGCGACCTGGAATGGTACGACGCTCACGTCAAACTTCTTCCATCGCAGGGCTCCTGGACTTCTCGAAGCCTTGTGACTATGTACACACCGGGGCAAGCTGTTGCGATCAGGGCATCCTGGGACAGCTCCCTGAGCAGCATAGGAGAAGTGCCGCATCGGTGACGGATGCCAACACAGTCAACCAAACCAACCAGAGCCTCTCATAGCAGCGGTGTGCCAGCTCATGCTTTAATGAGAAACGCGCCATCTTTCGTTGATTCTGGGAGCAGGTGTTGCGGCTGTGCCATTGTGTGTGTGAGAGAGAGAGGGGAGGCGATTCGCGACACCTATCTTCTCTCAATCTTCTAACGAAGATTCTCAAAGGGTTCGAGAGGGGAGAAACGCGTCACATGTCGGTACCAGGGTACGACAGGTGGTGCGGTGTCGACAGCGCAGGCTTCTTCGAAGTTTCGAACTCACTAGGAGGGCCTGTACGCTAGAACCCGCAAAGCACCAGAATCAGCATGGTGGGATGGCATACAAGACTGGGCGTCGTCCTACGTTCGGCTCCTTGCGCAGACATGAGTAAACGCAACTGCCAACAGATACTCGATACGGTATCAGGAATGGCACGAATCATCAACACAGCTGGCCTGCAATTTGAGAAGGGTGTCGTGAGTGATAGGCCAATTAATGCAGAAAGTCAAGACGTGAAGTCTAAATATTGGCCCCACCGTCATCGTAGGGCTCCCGCTACGTCCTTAGCAAAAGTACAGGACTAGCCGAACAGTGCGGTTGTTAACGGTCTTGCGCCAACGACCTGAAAGAGGAAGCTTCGCGAACGCCAATCGATTGCTACAGACTACAAGGGTGCACGAAAGGTAGAAGCTCCAACCTCAGAGGCCTGTCCGAACGACGGGCTGGTGCCATCATGTTGACTCGGGTCAGAAGAAAGCTATCACACCGACACAGGCTCGACTTGCCGCATAACAGAAATTGTGCCATCATAAGTGGTTCACATCCTAGGGCGTAGTTTCGACACCAACAACAAGACATCCCACCGCATCCTCACCCACATCACAGGCTTCACAGCCAAGTGGTTTGCCTGAACAGGCATTTACGCAGGCAGTGGACGATAGGTATGGGGCCCTACTCCTGTCAACGCGAACTGCAAGGACAGCAATGCCATGCAAACTCAAAAGTCGGCGAGCCTTGCAAGGATCAGAGATTCCCTTGTCCTGAACAACACACGCAATGGACATGCCTTGCATCAATATACCACCCATATCCATGTTCCCGCCATCCCCTGAGATATCCCTCCACAACCAGGATATCCTTCGCCCTCGACAGCCCACAGGGATGTGCTACATGGGAGTAGCTCAAGGTCTACAGGCTTCCCGCCAACCCTACTCCCTTCCCGTGCTACGCGATGAATCTGTGGATCTCGTAAGACTCCATCTCCGTAACCGGGGCGAGGGGCCACAAAGATGCGAAAATTCCCGAGTTATGACGAATGCTGCGACGTAACCAGAGCGGCGCTACTCGAGGCGACGGCTGGAGAGGTGGAAATAGTAGGGAAATCGGCCTCTTCACAGTAAAGGGCCCGCCCTGACGTATAGCAGCACCGCTGTCGAGAAAGCTTGGCACGTGCAGTGCGTCAGTAATGCAATGGGGGATTACAGCGTTTTTCCGCATGCAAATTTGCAGCACGGATTTCCACATACTTGGTCCCATGGACGAGAGAAGTCAACTACGGCATCCAGCGGTTATCCTGCTGCAATCCCACGTTACCCCTGATTGTGTATAAGGCTGGCTGGCCACATAGAAACGAGGTACGAGTCTCACAGTGGTAGTACGTTTGGCATATATCCGCACTCCGATCCAGTACACATCCGAAGTATTGCTGTCGACGCCCCTGGTTCAGCCCATCTCATGTGCCCCACGAGGGCATTAGGGTTGAAGGAGCGTGAGAGAGGTGTTCTTCCAGAACTAGTGAGTACTATTGCTGAATGTGGGTAACCCCCTGGATTGTGCGTTGTTCCTGGGCAGACATTCAACTTTTCGATTTCTTTTCCCCCAATTCACACACCTCCCTTGCTTACTTTTAGTCATTCCCAAATAGGCTTCCCGACGCAGTGAGATGTGTCCATGTAGTTGCAAGAAAGAAGAAAAAGAAGAAGAAGGAGATAGTGGATGAGGATGATGACGATGTTACCGTTGAGCCAGCTCTGATGATGTTGGAGTTCAAATATTCACTCAGATACAGAAACCAAACCTAAGGTAGGTATACATTGTAGAAGGAGGCTACGACGCGAGTCGTCACCGTCAAGCCTCTTGATCTTTACCTTTTTCTTCTTCTTCTTCTTCTTCTTCTTCTTCTTCTTCTTCTTTCTGTTTATAGCAGCTATTGAAATATCTCCATTTTCTCAAACAGGTACATGAATGATAAGCAAAAGACTGTTGCTATTCAAATTTAAAAAGGGGAATAAGTTAAGGTACCTGGTAAGGTAGGTCGTCAGGTAGATGATATATCTATTGGGTATACAAATATATATGCACCTTACCTACATGTACATACTTCTCGAAATATTTAGATATACTTTTTTCTCAAACACAAGGCTTCGTCAATTCAATAGTATACCTACCGTATCTTGGCTTCCAATCCTATCTTCACATACTCTATATGTACCTTCTCTCTCTTTAGGTGATGTCTATCCTCCTTTGATTATATCTTCCTTTGATTATATCCCCCGTCGATTACATCCTCCTCCAGTCCTCCTTCGGTCGTTTCTCGGGGTCATTCTCGGTCGTTGATACAGGGCAAAAATACTTTTTTCTTCTTTTTACTTTCTAAGCGAGGTTCCACAGAAAAAGAAAAGAAAAAAAGGAGTATGTTGGCTCGTAGGAAGTCTGTCACGAGAGAAGGAGGGCATGCAGGCATTTGTGAGTGTCATTGAGAAACGGAAGTACCCGCCTACCTTCCCTGCCTACCGACGGTCGACTTGCAGTCTTCTCTACAAGCTCGAACATAATAAAACGTAGGAATTGTTTAAAAACACAATACTGCTCTGAAGCTAGGTGGTAATACCAATACGAGTGTCGTTGAGCAAATTCGACTCTTGAAATACTTGTTCTTGCTCCTGCTACCTACACGCCTCGTGCACCCTTCTAGCACACAGACACTGCTAACTCGCTCGCCCGCCGGCGCCCATTGCAAAGTCTTGTCATGAAAACTCCGAGTCATGCCTGTGGTCATTAATGCGTACTGCCTGCCCAAAAAGAAACAACGCCACTCTAGCCAGCATTAGTCGCGTACTGAGAGAAAGAGAGAGAAGAAGCAGAAGAAGTATTGCCACCAGCACCACGCATGCGCTAGCCAGCCCCAATCAATGAACGCCATGATTCCTTCCCATTTCTCCTTGCATCGAGAATGCAGCTGGATCTGAGAATGCCTGCGGGTATTCGAACCCATTCATGGTCATACAATGATAGTCCCGGGATCGATCATGACAAGCCAAGACTTGTCATGTACGACCTTTGAACGTGTCATGATGGTAGCCATCAGCCGAGCCCAGTATCTCGGTGTGATGTGTCTGTTCGTGTCGAGCGTCTTTGTTTCTGTCGAAGCTCGATCGACCTGATGTCAGATCCGGATGCATCTAGATATCGATAGTGAACTTCCAGTTGACTGCCATCATGTCAGTAGCGTTCGAAACAACAGGAGCGAGATGACGTACCATCCTTGAGATTCTTGGCAGTGTCATCTAGTAAGACAATGCGCCGCTGATTGCAGTAGCTCGTCTTGTCCATCATGTCGACCTTTAGCTCTGAAAGTTGCTCAGTGGGCTTCTCAAACATTTCCGACAAATTCTCGACCGCCATTTCGAGATCCTTCTGGTTATCTTCAAAAATTTCAGTCTGATTATTGCGCTCCAGATAATATGCAAATGCATATGTCCACTTCAGTGTTTGGCGGCACAACTGGAGCGCGTGCGAGGCGTTCTCGAGAAATTGTACCTCAATCCAGGAAAGACCGGACTGATTCTGGAGCAACTGCATCTTCTTCTCCGTCTTCTCGTAGATGTTCTTGTCGAGCTTGGCAGATTGTTCGTGGTTGGCGTAGCGATTGTAATAGTGCAGGTAGCGCTCGAGCGATTGTCGGCTCCTAGCCTGCGCATCTCGAGCATCGGATCCGGACTTCTCTTCGAAGCGATTGCAATTGTACCAGGACGTTCCGTGCTCTGACCACACTCCCATGCACATCCAGCAAAACTCGTTACGGCACTTGCGACAAGTCATATGATTGCAGCCGCCGTTCTTTTCAATCGTAGAGTTGCACTTGGGGCATTCTTTCGTGTTCGCATTGATCCAGTTCGCTGTCTCGCTGTCATCTTCGCACTTTTTGAGCCACTGCTTCACCAGCTTACAGGGGCAGGGCTGATGATCTGCTAACGTGCATCCAAAACAGAAGTTGTGCTTTCCCTCACAAGTGACCGTGGGCACAATGCGATTGAGGTCTCGCTTCTTAACCGAGCATTCGATGGCGTAAATGCACTCTGGGGCCGGGCACCATTTCAAATTCTCCTTGTCGTCGACATAGGTTCGCATGAGCAGCTCATGATATCGATCTTTCAGCTCCGATGGCACCAGGAGCTCCAGTGATTTAGTGTCCACGACGTTATTGCAACCATCACCTGGGCACTTGATCCGTGCAGCTTCTCCCTCGTCTCGAATCTTTTGACCCAGATATTGGCGATAGCAATCCACGCAGTATCTATGTCCACACTTCATCGCGAAACTCTGCAGACCTGGCTCGTCCTCGCAGCATATTTCGCAAGCGAATCCATCTATCGTTTCGATCCGAGGTGGTGTCCGCTGGAGATCCTGTCCGAGACCTGCCTTTTCCAAGATGGCTTCCTGGTCGTCCATGTACTGCTCAATGACTCGCTCTTTGTTCCATCGTCCGTACCGTAATAGAATGGCAGTTGCTTCGCGTGGTTGCTCGAGTAAGGTGGAGACCTCTGTAATCTGCTGCTCTTGCTGTGCCTGGATATCGTCGGGACTGTAGGATTTGAAATCGACCTCGAAAGCCTTCTTCTGCGGCTTCATGAGCTTGTCTTGGGATTGGAACATGTCGCCCCCGTCGTCTTCGTCGTTGAAGTCGTCCATATCGCCGTCGGAATCTATCGTAGGGTCAGCATTTCCACTCTGCAGGACCAGCACGAGATGCACTTGCCATTAGCGCCGAAGTCGACGCTACTGTCTTCGTCCTCCATCATTCCCATGTCCGCACTGCTCGCCATGCTCTGGACTTCGTCGTCGCTCTCCATGGCGTCTTTCTCGCTAGCCAGCGTCTGCGGAGTGGCCGGCAGCGCCGCGTCCACAGATTCCTCGATGTGGTGCGCGGTCTTGCTCGCTTTCCGGGAAGTGCTGTGGAGGGAATTGGAAGTATCGATGTCACTTCTCTTTCTCTTGGCGGTAGGCGTGATGGGCCAGCTGAAGGCTGCCTCGTACAACGACGAGACAGGCTATGTGGGCGAAAAGGGGTGTGGGTTTCGCTCGTGGCGGTGGTTTTGGTAGGTTCGATGAGATTCTGGGGCCGAAAGGTCGGTCTGAGCTGCTGCGGGGCGTGGGCTCAGAGTGCGGTGTATCGGCTGTGCATGAGCGAGCGAGCGGAGAGGGGCGACAGCGGAGGCGGAGGCGGAGATGGAGGCGACGACGACGATGACGATGACGACGACAGCGGAATGAGTTTATGGCACAGGTCGGTGGGTGTGAGGTGCAGGCACATCAGGTCAGGTAGATGCGTAATGCTCAGAGATGGTCCCGTCTGGTTCTGGCCGGTTGCCTCGCGAGATGACGAGGGAAGGAACACAAACAGGGAGCCGGAAGCGGAGTCGGCGCAGGCACGGGCACGGACAGGCACGTTCCGAGGGGTGAAGAAGAAGAACAAAGACGTGGAGGCTTGGCGTTGGTCGAAACGACTCCTGGATAGCTCCTCTTCTTGTCTCGAGCGTCTCCAGTGAGTGGTTGTTGGCACTGTAGAAGGATACTTACTGTACCTGTACCTGAGCACGGGGAGATAGGAGGGAGAGGAAGGCAGTGGCAAATGGAACGGCAATACCCCTGTCTAGCCGTACCGCAAGTGATGTGAATGTGTCAGCTGCCTCCGGTCACGCATCTGGACGCACTACTACCTCACCTACTACCTACTACTCCTACAGGCATTGTGACCATCTTGATGTCTTGACCTCTTGACGGTGAGGTATCTCTTGACCTGCTCAGTCATCATCATCATTGACCTCTTGACGGTAAGGTATCTCTTGACATGATCAGTCATCATCATCATCATCGTCATCGTCATCGTCGCTGTCCTCTTCACTCTCCTCTTCATCACTAGCACACAGCGCGTCCACAAGCGGCTCAGTGTCCTTGCGGACAGCCACCATCTCCTCGGACGCAGAACTTCGGGCGTCGTTCCACCACAATTCGAAGCCGTCTGGCTCGAAAGTGTCATCTTGTGCGAGCGCGTTCGACAGGTACAGCAAGATCCGGGAGCCCTGCTTGCGGTGCACCAGATCGCTTTGAAGGTACAGCAACCATGCGGCCTGTTCTTTCTTTGATGACACGTACGCCGTGATGATTTCGGTGTAAGTTGGTATGAGCTCAGACACGGCCTCCTTCGGTGTCTTTCCCGCCTCCACAATCTGCGAGAGGCGTTTGGAGAAGGCAGTCGCCGTGACTCGCTGAATCTGTGTATCATCGGCATTCACTCCCAGAATCAATGCTTTGAATTCGGTCTTCATGTCGTCGATCGAGTTGCCCTTGGCCATGTCGTCGACCATGGAGTGGACAGCCTCCTGGTGGAAGTCCTTGGCCTTCTGTCTGGTTTCACCACTTTCATCGGATGCAGCCGAAGCAAAACTGTCGCTTCGTGCGCTATCGCCTCTCATGTGCGGAGCTGCGAGATCGTCGTCTGAGTCTTCGTCGATGCTGCTGATGGAGTCATCGTCGATCAGACTCAGATCCTGCACGCCAGCAACCAGGGTGTTGAGCACCTCTTCTTCCTCCTCGTCTATCTCCATGTGAAAGCCAGTGCCGTCGGGTCCAACGATTTGGGGATCGGCTGGCATCTCGACGGTTTCATCGTGATTCCTGCCACGTTTCCGCTTCAACCTAGTGATTCGGTGCTTGCCAGAAACTTTGATGCCGTCCGAGATGTGTACCCGGTCCCCAATCAGCGCACCATTTTCCACGTGGCACCCGTTGCCAATGACAGCATCATTGCCGATGATTGCTTTCTCTATCACCGCATCATCACCAATCCTCGCGCCGTCCCAAATGTGTGCTCCGTCGATCTTGGCTCGTGCACCTATGATACATCGTCTTCCAATCACACTGTTTGTGACTGCAGCGTGCTCTCCCAGAGTGGTGTCTGCGCCCAGTATGACTTGATGACCCATCTGAGTGGTTCGCGCCATAGTGCTACCATCTTCGAGGTATACGTTGCGGGAATATTGTTTGAATGACTGGCCAGGGAGAATGTTGAAGTCCGGTGTCAGCGGATATGTCCACCGACCCATCATATCCATGCTGATGGCATCAAATGCCCGCAAACTGATGATCCTGGCGGCATAGCCTTTGGTGACAACGTGCGTGTGGACCGTGTATTGGTACGTCTCAAAGTCCTTCAGGGTGCCGTAAAGAAAGCCACGCCTCGGGAGTTGCCAGTCAAAGTTGTCAGTGTACTGAGCAAGCACTTCCTGTGTACAGATATCGATGCCGCAATCGATCAAGTCTTCACGAACTTCCAATTCGACGTGATCCTCGAGCACATCGCCCGGGATATCTAGCACTGCGGTCTCACCCGGTCGCAGTTGCTCGTAGTGTACGCAGCGGTGCGAGTCAGGATCAAGGACGAAGACGCGACGTTGTTGAGGCGACTTCGTCCTGTGCACCTGACCCGCCTCGCGAAGTACCATCGTCATGAGCGCCTTTTTGTCTTTCTCTCTGCGGGCTCGATGCGCGGCGAGAGCGTCTTGCAGTGGAATGTTGGCCACCACGTCGCCATAAACGGCGATGAAGTCACCCGTGATACGGCCCTTGGCGTCCATGTCACGCATACAGTCGCCGACGGACCTCGAAGCAGACTTGATGATTTCCAAAGAGAATGGCGCCGTGGAGGCCTTCCATTGAGAGCGACTATTGTGTTCAATTAGTGAGCTGATCAAAAGAATCGTGATCTGGTGGGGTGGTGGCCATACTTGAGGTAGTCCTCCACCGCATCTGTGTGATTGCCGCAGTACACATAGACCTGCTGCACCCCCGTCGCAGCCAGGAACCGGAGTGTGTACTCGATCAAAGGTGTACCGGCCAGGGGCAGAAGACATCTCGGACGTTCGATGGTGAATGGACTGAACCGAGTCTCGAAGGAGTCTGCAAACACGACGGCCTGCAGTTTCTCGTCTGTCTGTTCCTCATCCCCCCTGTTCTCCCTGCCGGAGCCGCTCTTCTTTCCTTTTGGCGGCATTTTGGATGGTCCGCGGTAGGAAATGTGTCGGGTTTGTGTTGTGATTGTTTGGAGATTGGATTGAGTTGTTAACGCTGGAAATATCACTGCTGACTCACATTCTTGCGCTAAGAAAAGCACAGATCGACGCGAGCGAACTAGGTTTGGGACGCTTTCTCTCGCTTACTGTATTAACAGCCTCACATAGCCGGATTACAGGAATGGTCTGGTGGTTCTAGCATTCACATATTGGATCTGCTCATTCACTTGATAACGCGACTATTGAGCAACTATAACATCGACACATGCAACTGTGCCCGTCGTTCCTTCCTTGCGGCTCCTTGAGCTTCATCACCTGGACGTATTCCCTGTCCAGTGCAGTGCCCGTCCTTTCTACTGCGCAATCGAGGTCGCAGGATACTAAGGTCTTCAGAACAACCGATATCGCCCCCTGCCAGCATGGAGCAGATCCAACGGCGCGAAAGCCCTGCGCCGCGTTCCCCATGGCGCGGCGCAGAGAGGATATCTACCTACATCCCTTATGTACAGAACCATCGCCTAATCGAGCCAATCGCCCACTAATGTCACCTTGGCGGCCGTTGCAACATTTGTGGGGGAGGTACCGCTAACGTTCCCATGGGCCCAGATGTGTACATATGCTGCCTTTTGGCATCGCCTGCCATCTCAGGCCCACCAGTAATGCTGTCAATCGCTCGTCTTTGCGCAACGTGCGGCGGTATCATGCCGCTCGCGGGTGGTGCATACATTTGCGTTGACGGAGCGTGCAGCACGGGTTGCGCATACGGCGCCGACACCACGTATGGTCCCTCGTCTCCAAGGTTGCTGTTCGAAGGCGAGCCTCCAGTAAGCTGATTCGGCGAATTCCAGTTACTCGCTGTGGCAGGTGATGTCGCTGGCGAGTCTTCGCTCTTCAAGCTTCGATTGTTGGCTTTCAAAGGGGGCGGCATGGGTTCTATGCCCTGCTGCCCCTTTTTCAGATGCGACAAGTGCTTCTCGAGCATCGCGAGCAGGCCCTCCTTCGTGAACGGTTTGGGTAGCACGTCGTTCATGCCTATCATGGTTGTCAGTCAGGTGTTGTTTTTGTGCTCATACAGTAAAATTGGCAACATACCGTGCTGGAAGTACATCGAGATATCATCACTCCTTATGTTGGAAGTCATAGCAATAATTGGTGTTGCAGTGTCAAACTGTCGTACGAGGTGTGTTGCCGATACGCCGTCCAGATTCGGCATAATAATATCCATGAGTACAAGGTCGTACTTGGCGCCTGAGTTCAGCTTATTCACCGCCTCTAGGCCATCCAGCGCGCTATCAATATGGCACTGAAATGCGAACAGGAACTTTCCGCCAATTCTCCTGCACGTTTGGTCGTCCTCTACCAATAGAATTTGAGGCTGTCTCACCCAACCAGGATCGACTTGTGTACTTTTCTTCCTTACGTCTGTAGGCTGCGGCGGCTGGTGGAAATTCCCATCGGCCCCTTTCGCCGGTAATGAGTATGGAATATTGTTGACGTGTTCGCTGTACATGGGATCAATTCCTTGCGGGTTCTGTCCGATCGGATATACCATGTTATCGAGGTCGTAACCATGCGAGCTTGAAGAACCTGCCGAATTGGGCTGAGCCCCCCGGCTCGAAGATCGTGTGACACCATTGCGCGCCAAATGGTCAGGCGGTGGTGTCGTGAGTGCGGCATTCATCCGAATCTGTGCTTCATTCATCTGCTCTAGATTGCGGGTGTTGAGCATGTGATCTGCATTCACTTGTTCGAGCAACTTCGAAGCATGTTGTAGCGGTGATGCTGGCACATCCTCCTCTGGGGGTGGTGGTACCGCCGCTGCACTCCCTGGCGCATTCGCTCCATTCACTCCGGTACCATTCGCAAATGGATTCGGATTCACAATCCTGCTCTCCCTCCTTCTTTGCGCATCCACCGAGTTCAAAAAGTTCATCACGTACTGCATCACGTGCTCGTGATTGATCACCGTCTTCTGCACGCCTATTAATTCCTGCATCATAATCGTATGATGAATGTTGAGCTCGTTGTATCGTTCCTGAAGCGACTGCAACTGTTGCTGAGTGGCGACGAGCTGTGTATTGATCATGTCGACCTGCTGCGTGGGCATCATGTCGGCCTCGGTTCCTGTATTGGCCTTTCGCGGTGCCGGCGCTTTCCGCCTGATGTTGTCTAAGGCGTCCTTGTTATTCATTTTGAAGTCGGGGTGTTTGAACTCCCAGGCCTGCGCAGGTGTATGTGTGAGTTCAACTTCGCTTCATGCAGCGTTCTCAAGAGCCTTACTTACCCCGGGCCCGTACGGTGAGGTTCCGCCTTCTTCGTTGTTATGCCGCACTTTATGGAAATCATATTTGTTGAGCTGCCGCACGAAGCTGGCGAAGTTGCTGTGCTTGAAGTGTTTCGGCAGAATGTGTTTCGTGAATTTTTCGTTCTGCGCGCAGGTCAGCGCACATGTTTCCCTCCTCCATCCGCGGCCACACCTCCTTCTAGAAGTCCACTCATACCTCTAGTACCACGAAGCTGTCGCCCTCGTTCCCCCAGCGCACCACGCTCTCGTCCTGGGGGCATTCTAGCATTCTGAAAGATGTATGTTAGCATCCAGGTATGCGGTGCCTGGGAGGACAAGCTCACTTGTACAGCTTGCGAACCTGCCATCACTGGTCAGCACACATGTCTCACACTGTCCGGGCAGATTCCTGCCATGTCTTCTGTCCCACATACAAAGTCGCTGCTATTGTTGGCCCCTTGGCCCGACTGACTGTCCATCTCGGCGGCGGTGTGGGGTGACGGCGGTCGCGGCGTGCGTGCGGTGGAGTGACCTTCTCATGCGCTCGTGTTCCGTCGCGTCCCTCTCGCTCTCTCGTGGCAGCAAGGTCGAGTCTGTACACGGCGTCGTCCGAATGCGGGCAGCTGCAGTGTATGCGCGACGCCTCGGCGCTGGCGCTGAGGTTCTGCCAGCCAGCACGCCCGTCGTCACAGGCACCCGCGCCGGCTTTGTGTGGAGGGCAGAGAGAGTGTGTCCCCGTCCGGCGAGGAATGTTGCAGATCCTATTCAGGAGCGCGACTCGAGAACTCGAGACCCAGATCTGTTCGGTAGCCAGGGTTCGTTTGAAAGGAAACAATAGAACTGACACGAGGGCAGGGAAACAGTGGTCGTAAATGCGGTGCGATTATTAGAGACCACGACGACGATACAGCCCGGTTGAGTAGACTCTCTGGGTTGGCGTCCCGAGACTGCGTCGATCTGCGCGCCGAGAGGAACGCCGTCGTGCACACACAATACGTCACGGCGTATGTACAGTGTTCGAGAAGTGAGCTTTCGTGTACGGTGTACCAAGATTTCAGGAGGGCGGGAGAGATGAGGATACAGGGGACAACACGAGGAGGAGACACTGTTGGTATTATCATCTGCTCCAGGCGACAAGGGAACAACAGGATAGTTCTCTCCGCCGTGCAGCAGCATCGGCCACGATCTTGCCAGCCCCTCGTGAATGATTACGCTTCTGTAGCGTAACGGTAGTGCTCTTGTTCTGATCGTGGCAGATCTTCCAGTGGATAACAAGGTACAAGTAGTAGGGGACTACCCACTGCCGCCTTTCTCTGTAGGTAGGTATGGCTGTGTATTCCGTTCAGCCAAGCCAGCGTCGTGGATCTACAATGCGACAGCGACTGGATGCTTTCACTTTGGACAGATTCACATGGTGCTCCACATCCTCGCCTGATCATGCCTCACTGCCTCAGCCCTCCCAAGCCATATCCTTGGTACGTCCGAAAAAGGCATTGCAGCACAATAAATTTCAGTCCAGCCACAAAAGCAAAAAAACGTGACGCCGCGTCGCCGCCTTGTTGTGTAACAGTGATAGGCTGGCCGCCAACGGCCGCTATGGCGTGGTGGTCGCTTATCGTGGCAGCAACGAGAGGATACGAAGGCGTCCGCGGAAGTATATTGCTGGTTTAGATGGTCACGAGATGACCAGCGGAATGGACGGCTTCACCTTGAGCTGGACTGAGAGATGTGAATGGACTCACTACATCTATACAGGACCTATACCATCTGTTCCTGTAAAAGTTGTAGGCTGATGCAGAAAGTGACGCAGGTTACCCCATCCGTTATATCCCCGTGTCTGTGTTGGCTGTCTAATCAAACCGCCCACGACGGGAGCAGCCCTAAAAAGAGCTCTCCCAACATTTACCGCGCCAAACGATTTTTTTGGAGTGAATTGACGCCATCACCATCGAACCTCGGATCACACCTGCAAAACGCTTCTTCCAGCGACCAGCAGCTCTACTAGTAGACGCCAAAACACAACCCGCTAGCTCACATAGCTATGTTCACGGCTCGACGTCTCGTTCTCCCTTCTTCCCACAACCTCCTCAACAAGAAGAACCCCATCTCCATCCGTCAATTCCACTCATCTATCGCAAACATGGTCAAAGCCGGAGACTCCATCCCCAACGTCGAGCTCGTCGAGGGAGCTCCCGACAAGAAGGTCAACCTCGCGAAGGAGCTTGCCACCGGCAAAGGTGTCATAGTGGGCGTTCCTGCAGCTTTCAGTGAGTATATAGTGGTGCTCCTGCGACAGGTGGCGCCGAGACAGGCTAGCGCGCACAACAACATGAAGCAGGAGAAGAAGAAGAGAAAGAAGAAGAAGAAGTGGAAAAGAAGAAGAAGAAGAACAAGAAGCACGGATGCTAATCTGTACAAACCAGGCCCAACATGCAGCGCGAGTCACGTTCCAGGCTACATCGCCAACAAGAATCTTGCCAGTAAGGAAGGATCCTACCATCTGATGTATCAGCAGCAGCTAGGTACTGCTGGTGTTCTGTGAGGCTGACCGCATTTTCCAAAACAGATGCCGGCAAGGTCTTTGTCGTCTCCGTAAGTTCCTTCCATCCTTCCCCCAAGAAAAAAAAAAGCTTCTCAAGCTATGCCGCGTATGAGAGAAGACCACATTTGCCGACTACCTGACTAACGACACACTAAATATGTAGGTCAACGACCCATTCGTGTACGTCTGAACCTGGTTTCCTTCTTTTTGGGGTTTTTGGTTTTCGGTTCTCGTGCCGGCACATCCATCGGCAATCATCCAGGCTAATCTTCATGATATGTACAGCATGAAAGCCTGGGGCGAATCATTGGATCCAGGCGCAAAGTCCGGCGTAAGTAGTAGACTAGCCCCCATCCCATCCCCATTCCCACATCCATACTCACATATCATCTTCATCTACCTACCAAACAACAATTAACAAAAAACCTTGACAGATCCGCTTCCTGGGCGACCCCCACTCGGAGCTAACCAAAGCCTGGGACTTGGAATTCGACTCGGCCGCCATTTTCGGTCAAAACAGAGGCAAACGCTGCGCCATCGTCACCGAAGACGGCAAGGTCACGGCTGTGCACTTGGAACCGGACAATGTGGGCGTCAGCGTGTCTGCTGCTGAGAAGGTGCTGGCGTAAGGGTCGGGTCCCACATCATCCACATCCACATTGGCATGGCATGGGGCATGGCACGCCTCTCCACGCGTGTGGGTCCAGTCGTCGTCCTCGTCGGCTTTCTCTGAGAACATAACAAAACAAGAGAAAGAGCCGAAGACGAGAGTGAGAGAGCGAGACGAAACACGAAGGAAAAAGTAAAACGCAAACGAAGCTGGTCGTGATGAAAATGTATTCAGGCTTTCCTGAATCGAGGTTCAAATGCAGACTAGACTTCCCGACGAATGCAAATGATGATTTCGAAAAGCAGCAGACCCACAACTCCTACCAAATGACAATAAGCAATTCGCGCAAAGGCCGTCGCCACGGCCTTGGCTCATTGCCCTTCCACAGCGCAGGCATGTTCATCATCATGGCCTTTGGGGGTATCGAGCAATCAAAGGACAGAGCAGCACATCATACACATCTCCATGTTAAAGCAAGGAAGGCTTCATGACAGCCCCAGAAAACCACCTTGTTGCGTAAATTTGAGCTGGTATTCGCGCAGGTCGGCCCAGGACCGCAACTCGGCCTCTTCATCCTCGAGGTCGCTGCTGTCGTCTGCATGGCTATTGGCCGGGCTGACACGTTCCAGCTTCATCAGTATCTTCAGGAATGCCGTCAAGTACTCCTGTGTGCGTCGATTAGCAATGTGCGCATGAATGGATGCGAACCTAGGAACAGATGGGTCCCTCCTACCTGTGCTTGCGTGGCCAGGGGACCTTTCCGCTGATCCGGTGTATCCATCAGCGTGCTCGCAATGGAACGCACTTTCATGGTCTACGAGAATGTCAGAAACCACTTCATCACCTTCCTTGGTTCGCGCAGCAGGAGATGAAACTTACAAAGGAATCGGCATTGGGCTCCATGTTGACTTGGTCAATGCTGCCCAGGACAGTAAGTAGATCCTTGACGATACTTTCACGCTCGTCACGCATCTCATGCTCAATCATATCATAGTGACTGCTGGGAATCTGTGGCACCATCTTGTCGATGCCAGCAGCAGTGATGCCAGCCCCGGGCGAGCTGGGTAGGGAGTTCGGAGACTGCCGGGAACGATGGTGCGCCTCGCAGAGATTCCAGTACTTCTCCACGAGATACGACCTGGTAGCCAAGCTGGAGGCGTAGATATTGGCTTTCTGAATCTCCTGCTGAGTGCGGCGTCGCTCCTCGGCGTTCTGCTCAGTCATGGTCCGCGACGATGGGCTCATCAGAGACTGCGCTGGGTCACGCCCGATGTGGGGCTGCAATGCGAATGCCGGGTAGAATCCGCCATTCTGCTGACTAGGTGTCCCGATATCCGTCCGAAGCGAAAGTTCGGCGGGCAGGTTGCTCATTGCTTCCTTGCAGCGGCGGAGAGATTCGTGCATCACCCGTTTTTGTCGATCCCAGTCCACGATAGCGTCAATGCCCCAGGCCATCTCCATCGTGGCCAGAGTGTTGTAGGAGCAGTATACGCGGACATTGGCATTGAATCCCGAGATGACAGGGACGAGCCCGGACGGCTGCTGTTCTGTATGCGTGGGATATATGCAGAAGTCGTCCACTTCAGCCGGTAGCGGAGGGTATGGCTCGCTGTGAGTGGGAGGGGGGATCACGAGCTCGCCGAAGTTGGCGCCCAACTGCTCCATGGACTTGAGGCTGACAAACATGGTCCAGAAGATGCGGCGGCCCATTTCGAGCGTGATGTTATCGACGCTGTGTTCGTGGGCGTGATCAGTGCCATTGCTGTGGCTTCCCATGGCCGTTGGAAGCGAGCCCAGTTGGGCATAACTTTGCACTTTGGCCTTATGCAAGCCAAGAGTTCGAAGGATGGTTAAGCACTCGCCGAAGTAGAGCCGACCCAGACGCCATCTAAATGTGTAGACTCCGGTCAGCGCAAGAAAGTAGCTCGTGGCTGCATCATACACATTCAGGTTGTCGCTTTCGAGATAGCCCGGGCCTCGCGCTGCTGCGCACACCTTCTGACATCGCTGCACCAGGCTCATGTGGTTCGGGAACATGTTCTCGCGCTTTTGCGCTTTGAGGTGCAGTCTTGGCTTTCTCGGAAAGGATGCGACCAACGCTCCGATCATCGAAGAGAGCAAAGCCAAGAAGGAGTTGTTCGTCAAATCTTCTCTGTGCTTCCACGCCTCGCGGAAACTGGGCTCATGGGGAAAGGGGGCGAGCGGGTGGACATAGGTGAAGAAGTCGTCGATGAGGAGATCCAAAGTATCAATGGGACAGATTGACTCTGCGGAGAGGGGTGTCGAGGAGTGTCCTGAGAGGGCTGCTAACGCATGTGCGGCATTGGTGGGTGACGTGGGCGTAGAAATGCCCGAGCCGGGCGTGTTTGCGTTTTGTTGTTCTTCGAGGCGCCTTCGTTTGATCGCTTCCGCGTGTCGGTTCGGCGGTCCGCGACGTCTGCTCGGTCGATCGAATGTGCACGGAATATCGAGGGCTGCGCATGCTCTACATGGAGGTCCCGTTTCATCGCACTACGGAGGTTTTCAGTTAGGCCATGGCGTGCAATGCAGCCGTCGTGTGTTGTGCATGCTCTGTACGTACCTTGACTTTCCGGATAGAGCACGAATCGCATGCCTTCCGGAGACGATTAGTCTTCTGCGGTTGCTCGGGAGTCGATGTTTGCGTCGGCGGCTGCGAGAGTCCCGCCGCGCTCGTCGGGTGGCTCGTCACGGGAGTCGGCTGCTGGAGCTGATGGGAGACATGCGAGATGTAGTGTCGCGGCTGGTCGTCGGGATGGTGCTGCAGGTCGTGCGAGAGGCTCTGGATGTGCTGGCTGGCGGGACTGTTGTGGCCAGTGCCGGGCAGAGTCTCGACCTTGGGATATATGGGCTGGTTCAGGCTGCTGAACTGCAACTGGTCCTGCTGGGAGGGATCAAGCATCTGCTGTGCGCCGGCCTGCGGTAGGTAGAGGCCATTGTAGTGCTGGTCCTGCTGTTGCTGCTGCTGCTGCGGCGGCGGCGGCGGAGGAGGGTAGCCATTGCTGTTCTGGTTGTTCTGGTTGTTCATTTGCGCCAGCATCCAGTTGTGCACCTGGAGCTGCGATGAGTAATAATTCGACATCACTGCGGCAGACATTCGGGACAATGGTGGGTGAGGTGACTTTTGGGAGAAACAGTAGGACCCAGAGTGTAGCGCGAATCCGCGCGAGAGTGGGTGGGCGCGGTGTCGCCGGTAAATAGGACGCTGATACACGAAAGCGGTACTTACGATGACCAGCTGGATCTGATGGCAGCCAGATGCGACTGATATCTCAGCAGCGGCAAGTGGCGGTCGTGGACTGGGATCCCTCACTGGCGTCGCACGAGGGGCTGCGCTGCTGCTCAGACCAATTCCACGATCAGGTCACGCACTTGATGGACTCTCATGGGCGGTGGCTCCAGCAGCAGCAGGCGCGAGCGTAGTCCGAAGATTAGAGACGCAGGTGTTGCCAACGTGCAGCAAAACCGCCAGGGCAGGCGCAAGCTCAAACTTAATCTCGAATCCCGTCGCGCGCTCACGACTGACAAGGCCAGGGCCGGGGGCCGGGGGGGCTAAGGTACAGTAGGAACAGTACCTCCCAGGGAGGAGCCGGGGGGGTGGTGGTTATTGGGGTGGGCCTGGCCTGGCGGACGCGACAGGCGGACAAGCGGACAGGCTCAGGGAGGGAGGAGGGTAAGGCGCTGTGTGTGCATGGAGGGTCTGTATGGACCAGGTCAGGTCAGGTCAGGTCTGGTCAGTCAGTCAGTCAGTCAGTCAGTCAGTACGTACTGTAGTAAGTCGTGGTCAGTCAGGTCAGGTCCCGTCCCGTCAGGTCTGTAGCAGTGAGTTATCAGTAGTAGGTACAGTAGGTAGGTACATGTAGGAGTGAGTGGACAGAGGTATTCTTGCAGCAGCAGTACCATTACTACCATCATACCATCACTACCAGGTACCATCATACCATCACTACCATCACCACCACCACCACCACCATCAGCACTACCATCACCACCACAATCACCACTCCAAGTACCAGACCACGACCACCAAATCCACCACCACCACCTAGTACATACCAGCGAGCCCGCGTCGACAGACAGGCCGGCGGCGGGCAATGCTTGTGCTGGCAAGGCCCACCGCTCCCGTGTGTCGCAATCAAAACCTCCCTACGGTAGGGAACGAGCGACAGGGCTGGCCTGGCCGTCTCCCGCAACGCAACGACGTGAGGTAACAGTGCAGCCACGGCGGCGCTACTGGAACACACGCGATTTGCAGCACCTACCTACACGCTACAGTAGTTCTCTGCGACGACAGGCCGTTGCCGTGTAGGAAACCCGCGTGCGGCGTGAACAGGGGCCGGGGCGCACATCCACCGCTGACAGACAGACAGACACACACCCACCCCCAAGCCCCAAGAGACTGACTGACTCGGCAACCCTCCCCCCTCCATCCCCTCTCGAGCCTCTCGTGCCTATACCGCCCGCCGCCCTACGCAGCCCTGTAGCGGAGGAACCTCACTAAGGCATGTACATGTACACTGATTACCTCCATGTCCCACTCCCTCCCACGGTGCAGGGCTTGTACTCCCGTCCCTGCTGTGCTGTAGTGTAGGTACAGTTGTAGGAGGTAGGCTACCCAAGGCGGTACTAGCTGAGCTGCTTTTCCGCCTCCCGAGCAGGCTCTTCCCGTGCTCTCGACGATGCACGCTAGAACTGCACGCTGCTTCCTACTGCTTGCTGCTCGCTGTTGTTGCTGCTGGCTGCTGCTGGCTGCTGCTGCTGGTGCTGCTGCATGGGCTCCCGAGCGACCACTGCCGCGCCCTCCAGCAACACATTACCACTCTGCCTACCTAGTGTACACGGTACATGTAGGTACAGGTAGCTGCTTTGTCGTTACTGGTATCTTCCTTTGGACCTAGTCGACTTCTGTATGACAGGCAAGCCGTGGCTGCACCCGCCGCTCAAGCAGGAAAGCCGCTTCTGATTCTCAGATAGGTACATGTGTATATGTACCGTACATACATGTAATTGCAATGGGTCCATCATCGTCATCGTCATCATCATCACCACCATCATCATCATCATCGTCGTCATGAACTCTTCCCGTCATGTCTTTTTTTGTTTTTTTCTTCCCGTAATTTTTTCTTCACCCCTTCTTCTTCTTCTTCTTCTTCATCATCTCACCACTCCCTCCTACAGCTCATTGGACTCGTCTGTCGACGTCTGCATTGCGATCTGGCACTCCTCGATCAGCTACTAGCTGTACGAGCGACCCGCAATGATCCGACTTCGCTGCGCTACCGCAAGGCCTGCTCGCTCTGAGACGAGGCCCACAGGCAAATTTCTCCCCATGTATTTATGTCTTCTGCTCGAAGCACTAGCGCTTTTCGGCTACTGCTAGGCGAGAGTGATGCACTGTGCGGCGTGCCCACTCGTAAGGTTTGAACGACATGTCTGTACACGCGTCTGTGGGAGGTACACTAGCACAACTGCTCCTGATCCCTAGCTTGGCTCGGCCCCAACCTCACCTGGAAAGAGAAAGACTGCGAGGGCACATGCGTCGATCGCGAGGTGTGCGCGAGCATCGCAACTCACAACAAATGCCTTATGACTGTCCACACTGGGAATGTGACATGTCCCTGATGTGGTGGGTACTACAGACTCCAGAGGATGCTTGGGCCCAGCCCAGCCTGGCATGCAGCTGTCTGGCTCTGGCCTAGGTCGGTTGTAGGTCGCTCGGAAAAGGAAACCTTCCCATCACAAACATGTATTATTATGCACCTGCCAGGAACATGGTACCAGTATGATTGTCTGTCGTTCGCCGACCTCTTGGCTCTTACATGATTCCCTCCTTGGCCGACGTCGTGTTCACGATGTCAACGGCACGTCTGATGTGTCTGTCTACGGTCTACATGTACCTCACTAGGCCCATCGCAACTTACACGACGCACCAAGACCCGGAACTGCGAAGGCGAGGCACCCAAACTCTCGTATCTCCCTCTTGCAGGACAGGCAGGACCTGTGCCCGGTGCCCAGTGTGTGTATACACGCTCACACTCACGCTTCATACGGTGCTAGGCCCGATCCGCAAACCTCCGTCGCGAACGTCGATTGATACCTGATGCTGCCGCAATGACGATTCACCCTTGCTTTCGCGATCAGGTCACGAGCCATGTCAGGCCAGCGACAAAAATGGTGGGGAATCATTCATGCATTGCAACAAGCTATGCAGCGTCTTGCAATGTCCGTCTTCAGTGCCTCTCCTCTGAGCGCAACATGAGGGTTCGCCGAATGACGGTCATCGCGTTCTCGTCGCCCGGCGGGAATGCGTCCATCAACGACAGCGCAGACATGCCCGATGCTGCGCAGAGCGACACCCCGACACGCCGTATGTGCTGCCATACTGGACCCTCTCTGCGCTCGTAACGTCCTATGCAAGAATCGGACATTGTGGTCCCGACACCTGGATAAAGGACTCCAAGAAGGGTCGAAAGTTCGACAAGATCTCGAGACAGACCCCGGGCGGAAAGCACACGGAACACGCTGGCCCTGAACCTAAAAACACACTCTCACTCCACGGGGCCACCGCGACATCACACTTTCGTGCTGCAGCGTCGCTAAACCACACCGGCAAGGAGTCCGGTCTGGTCAAGCTGACTGCGTGTAGGATCCTCCCCGGGTCGCATCCCACTGCGTGAGCATGTGCACTCCTCTGCAGTAGAGCGGACATGGGCGTTAATAGCCCGATATCCACTCCCTCGCGCCCGCAACATGATCACGACGCTCGAAGTGCAGTCAGTCCCTATGAGATAGATCTGTCATGTATATGTTTGGGGGAAGAGAGAACAAGCTTTGCTATCCCGCGCTGCTGTAGGTTGGATGCGCTCAGCTTCCAGGTAAGGCGCCACAAAGTGGTTGTTGCTCGGGAACGGAACAGGTATCATGCATGCCGCACGGCGTCCACCGTTTCGCACCAAGCCCAACTCTTGTGCTCTCGGCCGATTGAGATGGCCATATTTGCCCAATAACAAGTTTTAAGTGTTGCTTTCATTCATTTTTCTTTTTCTTTTTGCTTTTTTGGCAGTCAGACACTCATGAGGTCCGGCCTGGGGCGGTGTGGTGTCTGAGCGGGCTCTACAGTACATGCCCCCGGGACGTCATTGACACTCGAAATACCTTATTATACTTTGAGAGGGAACCCAGGACACATCTCCGAGGTCACAAGGCCCGAATAAGCTCGCAAGCAGGAGAGAATACATGCACGGTGAGCAGCACTGACAAGTAACTAGCTTGTCACTTGACGTGGTGGGACGCGGGCTTCGAGTACCAGCTCCACTACTACTGCCTGTGGTTGTTGGATCACCATGTATACGGTACCAATGGGCGGTCGTGGAATGGTCAGCTCATTCGTCCACGACAGCGAAACTCTGGAATGCTGGGTCGCAAAGTCTCGGTGCAGTTGTCAGAGCGGTGAGCGGCATGATCACCTGCGGGGGATGACGCGGGATTTTGTCGAAAGAGAGAGAGATGTGTGTCTGTGTTGTCGTGGAAGAGTTGATCACGTTCAAGAGGCCAAGATAACGAGGCAGCCTATGGGCGTCCTGGCGAAGCTCGAGTAGCGAGCGACGGCGTGGGCGTGGGCGACAGTCGAGAGAACATGTGCGAGCCACCATCCACTCGAAGGAAGCAGCAGCATAAGTCGGACTGCTATCATTCAGTATATGAAATGAAAGTATAGTAAAGTCGAAATCGCCAAAGATGTAGCAGGTGAGGTGAAGAAAGGCGCAACTTCGCTATGAAGGTTGTTTTCGGTCCCAAACTTCTGGCGCGTCTACGGCTGAAAGCCCCCTCCCCCCCCCTCCTTCGCCCCCTCATCTGCAACCTCATCTTCACATCTTTCTTACGTTCTTCCGCAGACAATAGCGCGCCAAACACACTCTCTGCCTTGATGGCCAACACTCAATTCCACGAACATCGAGCTCGGCGGACAGAAGACATGCGATGGACTCCGACGACGAGCTTGACCTGATTTCTAGACGCAGTCATCACTTCTGGTCTGTCAAGCGTCGCCACCTAGAGAACATCGCTGGCGGCTATGGGTGTATAGTCTGCCGAAGCTTGAGGCACCATGTATGCCCACGCCCGGTTAGACGAAGACCTTCATCTTATCCAAGTTGTCATTCTCTTATCTTCCACATAGCACAGAACCATGGCCACACCGCGATTGCCACCAATGCATAAGCTCTCACGTGGCTACGCCGGGATCAACGACAGTCACTATACTCGTGCAATCTCTTGCACAAAAGTGCTATTCGTTTCAACTACCGCTCTGAAATACGAGAGCCACATCTTTGACCACCAAGCTGTGACAGAGTTGATATCACCTCGGAGTCCCCGACGATGTCAGATTACGCCCAGAGTGGAACAACCTCTGTGATCAAGCCGGGATTATGCAAAAGACGAATTAGTGATAGCCTAGATCGTCTCAGTCGGCCATGGCCTGCGCCTATCATTACCTAGTTGTTCAGCAAGTGCGCGTTGAAGCGCTGCAGCTGCACTATGAGGAAAATGTTTGAGAATGCTGGAAGGCCTCTTTTCCGGTACAACGACTGGAGCCAAAGCATGCTGGTTTCCTGGGTCCTGACCGGACAACGTGGCTGCGGCATAACGCCCTACCATACAAGCATGACAGCGGGCTTGGACGTGACGTCTCGGCGGCACTCGCAGATGAGGGGTTCGTGCTAAAGAATGGCACTATGGAACACAAGCAAGCGCTAACTAGGTCCGAGTGCTTTCCGCAGCTAGGGCAAATCCAGGCACTTTGGTCGTAGTGCACACAGACGAATGGATCGATGGCCGCCGTCGGCGGACAACTCCTTGGCTGCAATCTAGCAAGAACCCTATCTGTCTAGACGTCTCCTCTTGTGAACGCCAGTGCTCTTGAAAGTATGAGTACATTGACATCCCCTTCTCGTCTGATCCTCGACCGTTGCTGGAGGGACGACAAAGCGCAGAACGTACGCCGAACAGTAGCAGTCCGTGTTATCGGAGCTGAGTGCATAATAATGCTTCGCGAAAGTCGCGCAGCGCAGGAGGAGCAACGTCATGCTCATCTCGATTGCAGCATGGCATGGGTGGTAGGAAGCTTCGTGTGATCGCCCACGCTTCCGGCAGACATGGCCTTAGTACACTGCCTCGTTCGCTTGTACAAATCGAATGGAGCTTAGAGAGGCCGACTCGGAGGATCTTCAGTTGGGTCTGTGGAATATACTGTCGCAGGACTCGCAGCCGCTGTCGCCGACGCGCTTTCAGCCGGCACAACCCGCATTAAGGACACTGTCGAGGTGCATGCCAAGCCGTGTCGTGTTGGAACATGGCCAACGACACTACGGCTGCCAGAAGGAGGAATCCGATTGTGCCCACACACCACTCTGCGGCGAATTGCGTAACGCTCTCTATCGTATTCATGCCGAAGAGGTTCAGTGCCAAATTTGGATGTTCTCAAGCGTGCCTTGGCAGGAATCCAGCTGACGATCCCCAGCGGCAGCAATTTAGAAGTCTGGTGACTTGTGGCGCGGACCATAATACCAAGGAGGATGAGAGCCAGGATGCACGAGCATGTTTTTTGCATGTTTCCCATACCCAGGTCGCGAAAGCTTTGTACAGCATTCACTCCGATAGATCGCTACGGGGGAGTCTGATTTCGCTCGGTAGAACAACGTCAGTGAGGTTCCTAACCTGTCCGCCGTGACACGTAGGTAGGTACCTAGCTGTGCACCATCTGTCTGGAGTTTACTGCATCAGGAACCCTTTACACAAGACGTCGCACCCAAAAACCCGCCAAGGCAGAAATGAGAGAGGAAAGCACTTCTTCCATTGGCCTCACCGCCTATTTCCGCGCGCGTGTTTCCGGCCCAAAAGCCTAAACATCGGCAAGCTACATCTGGTGAGAATTGGTGCTACTGTAATGTATCTGCAACGCCAAAAATGTGGAGGAGTAGGAAGGTAGGTTCGTCGTATGGTCTCGGATCTCCAACAACAGCAACAACACTTCTACTAGGTTCTTGGGTGCTCTTACAACTCCTTGCTAGGAGTAAGTAGTGTACCTAGACTTACCTAGCAGTGTAAGGTATGTAGGAACAGGGGGCTTTTTGGGAAAAATCAATGGGATGTCATTGCACGTTGCCACTAACCTTTTTGCTGTGGCCCACAATATTACCTACCTGCAATCAACCCAATCAATTTAAAAAAATTCAATAAATAAATTGTTCCCGCACATCCCCATGTTTCGAAAAAGGTTGATGATTGGCGCACATCATCCACACCTTTCAATTTCTGATCTTTGATGTTTTTTTTTCTTTCTCCTTCTTTCTTCCAGATCGAGCATTCCGCTCGCAAACCCCTCCCGAATGGGCCTGGCTTAGGAATCAAAAAAATCAAGAAACTTGCCTGCCTGCCTGTCTAGATTTCATTCTTGGGTAGCGGATTAGGTACCTACCAAGGTATGTACCACCAACAGTAGTACAGTACAGTACAAGTACATGTAAGTAGGTATCTATCTACTATCTCGGGACGACGGAGCTATGTAAGAGAAATATCATCATCAAGGTAAGACTATTGGTAAGTCAGGTATAATGATGATTTTAGGCTGAAAAGGAGGCAAGTCTATACCTCTCGAGTCTGATGAATACAACCAACCAGGCTGCTAGCTGGGTAAGGTAGGTATAGTTAACTAGCTAGCTAGCTACTTTAGTTGACTAACTAGTTGATTAGTCTTGTAGAGTTGGGCAGGGCAGAGTTGGGCAGGATATATAGTAGTTGGTTGGTTGGTTGGTTGGTTTAGTCTAAGAACTAGCCTAGGTAATCTAAGTCTCTCTTCTATCTTCTGTCTTGTTGTTGTTAGGCAAGTTTGTTATAGAAGTTACAAAGTTGTAGATGTTGAAAAATTGCGATTCTGAGGTAGGATACAAAACCAACCACAGTAGTGCGTGGCTCACTCGTTCTCCTTCGCTCGCTTTGTGTATAAGTGAATATGTGTATACATTTGTTTAATTGTTGTGATTGCAATCGACTGTACTTTCTTATCGGATACAGCAAAAAAAAACAAGGAAACTCTCCTCTTCGCGAGAATATCTAACATCTATCTGGTACAAATCGAAAAGTATAGTAGAGATTACTTTACCTACAGTCCGTATCGTCGTCCGTCTGTATCTTGTCTATCGGTCGGTCCATTCGTCCGTCCATCTATAAACACCCAAGTTTCGTCCATATTTCTTTTCCGTCCCTTAACGCGCCTTGGAAAGTCTTGGAAGTGTTTTTTTGTTACAGCCCCACAAAGACTCTAGGGCTGACTTTTTTTTTCCTACCTCCTACTGACAAACTGATTTCAGCGGTTTGTTTTAGTTCTTAATTACGTGCCAGCCCGGGGGCGGACGGATGGACGGGTGGACGGAAGAACGGGCGGGTCGGTGTGGCACTTTTGCGCTCGGGCGTGTAAGGTCTGTATGAGGTTAGGTACATGTACCTGTCAGCGGGGACGGTGTTGTTTGTATACATTTCTTTCTTGGCATTTGATTTATGCAAATGCGTAATTCATGCGGACTGAGGGGAGAGAAGGAAAAGAGGGCGAGAGAGAGAGAGAGAGAGAGACAGAAAGAGAGAAAGCCTGGTAGATGGATCCCGATCGTCATGTTAAATCAAGATCGTCAGGAACTTCTCAATGGGGTTTTTGACAGATGAGCACGGCGCTAGTATTGTGACAAGCGTATGTCCCACTTGGGTGGTGGTGGTGGTGGTGTGCTACGAAGATTGTAGTATTGTACTACTTCCTCCTGTCATAAATGGCTTGTCAGGAGTACATGTATTACTCACTCCACTACTGGCGACTCCCTACTCATCACTCTTGACTACCTTGCCCGCATTCCTACCAATAGGCTATTATATGCTGGGCACGTCTTGATCGTCGTGCCACTTTCTCCTTCTTTCTAGGTTCATGCTGTCAACATTGTACCACTATCATCACACTATCGACATGTACTTCTCTCATCATCACACCATCTCTACTTGTCATACGATACTCCATATCGAAAATACCTATGTACTTACTTGATCGGACCGTACTTTTCAAAACTCAAGCATGATTGGCCCAGATCCCGCCATCGACGACCATCAAATTACCATTGCAGTATCCACCCGCTCTACTCGCCAGGTAAAGCACCGTACCAGCCATCTCTTCCTCGCTGCCCATCCTCTGGCGCGGCACCAACGAGCGAGGCATGACACCGCCCGTCTGCTCAAAGTTCTGCACCACGCCCGCCGTCATTTCCGATGCGAAATAACCCGGTGCAATGATATTGGTGCGAATATCGTGCGGCACTAAAAAGTTTCCCAGATTCTTCATGAGGTGATGGACTCCCGCTTTGGAGGCATTGTAGATGAATGAGTCGGTGAATTTGACCAGACCACCGACGCTTCCAATGGCAATGACTTGACTAGTTGGTGCCGAGGGATCGCGACGCTTGTTGCCCAGGTCGAGCAATTCCAGGAAAGCCATGGTGGTGGTGAAGACAGAGACGACGTTGGTCTCGAGGCAACTTTGCCACACTTCCTGCGGTCGGTAATTGAAATAGTAGTCGCGGATCTCTTGGATCGACGACTCTCCCGTCGGCTTTGGTCTGGCATCTGGGCTGCCATCTCTGGTCGTCTGGCCTGCATTGCAGATTAATAGGTCGATGTACCCAACTTCTTTGGTCACTGCATCGACTGCTCGCTGCGCATCGTCGTGAGAAGTAGCATCGCCTTGAATCGGTATGATATTTCCGTGAACCTGGTGCGGAACAGAGACAAGAAGTCAGCGAGGCACAATTCTCCTCTCTTTCTTTCTCTCTCTCTCTCACACACACGATAGATCTACATCTGATGTGCACGTACAGCTTGCTTCGCAGCCGCATCGAGTCTATCTTGTCTTCTTCCGGTGATGAAGACTTTTTTGGCTCCATTGGCTTCCAGAGCCTTGGCGATGATCAAACCAATTCCCGTACCACCTGCGGGATGTATCAGCTCGCCGTTGTCTTATACGGTACCTACTCTGCTCGTCGAAGAAGATGTATATACCTCCAGTGACGACAGCGACAAGGCCAGAAACATCGCCAAGGTTCTTCGTATCAGATGGTGACGCCATACTGTCAGCTGTCGGTATGAATAGTATACTGAGATTGGCTATAAACACGAGGTCAAGGCTCGTTCTCCTCTGGTATACCAACTGTGATAGGGAGTGTAGTGGTATCCTGTATGACGCCGACGCCCCACCCACGGAGTTCCGCGGAACGAAAGCGTTGTTGTTTCATCCATCTACTTCACTTCTATCTCGACAAGACTACTTCACCACAAGTGAAGCTGCGCCGGAGCACAGTATGACCAAGGGACCCCGAAGAGAGTCAAGATTCTCAAGACCTTCTCCCACTGCCACAGCACGTTTGACCACGACTACAAGGCATTACTCGCGAACGACTGCTCCCTGCGATGTGCATGACTCGAGCCATGCACATCACGTGACAGATCCTCACCCTTGGTGCCCTCGAAATGGGTATACCTGAGGGACCAACACTCACTGACACCGACTCTTCCGCGCAGAGTCGCTGATCGATCAGCAGGCAACAGCGAAGCTCATGAAGCTAGAAGCCATCTAGAAGCCGAGTACCATGCGAGGGACACTGGACAGGCACCAGGATTCCTTGGGAAAAATCCCAAAAAATTCAGAAAAGAAAAAAAAAAAATTCAAGAACACGCGGTATGGGATGATGATGACTGGGGAGGGGGGTTCCTTCCTTTACGAATAGATGCAGCACACACAGCAAATGCCAACGATTGGATCCCCGATCACCCACCCTCCCTTACCTTTACACTTTTACTACTACCTCCTACTACTACTTACTACCTACCACCCACCACCCTTTACGGCTCTACCTACCGCCTTTCAAGGGAAGGGAGGGGGAGCGCGCGAACCAGTCGGCACACATACGGGTAAACCAGCACAGCACAGAGTTCTTTCTAGAAGACTGGTAGAAGATGACATTCGTATCGAAGGTTAAACTTCCTATTGGTGCGGTGGTAGGGTAAGGTAGTGTGTGAGTGGTGCAACGAGGACAACGACGTGAACCCTAGCTGAAGAATGGTAGAGACGGGATCCGTGGGTATGGTTACGGTCCGTGGATGACTGTCTTGTCTACTGTCACGCTGCGGCCTGCTAACATGTAGATGTACCTTCTGTATGTACTGGTTGTTGTTGTTGTTGTTGTTGTCACATACACATCGACTGACCAGGCTTTTTCCTCTCTCGTCGTCGCGGAAAAGCAGGCAAGGCAAAGCAGGCAAGATAAGGCAAGATGAGCAGGTAAATGAAATGGAGAAGCCTAGAAGGTATGGATAAAACAGAGATCCTGTATACCAACACCCAAAATGTTTATTCCAGAGATGGAATTTCGGAGAACACACCGACGAAGGGTACATACTTTTTCTTTTCGCTTTTCCCTGCCCTGCCTGTTTGCCTACCCGCCTGCCTACTCAAGGGTAGTCACTCGCCACGTAAAAGAAACCTATAAGGATTATACTTGTTACGGTCGAATCAACCCGCAGGCCGAAAGCACACCAAGGGAATGGCTCTTGGAGTCTTGGGTGATAGGTCCCCCCCCCCCTCCCCTCCCCAAAAATGCTTAGTCATACGAACTTGCTCTATTCACTCATCAGCAGCATCATCTTCAGAACATTTGTGACAAGCCTCTCTCCGATAATAACGTATATGCATCTGCTTCTTCTAGGATATGATTACTGATTGAGGGAGTTTTCGGATGCTGATGTATGACTACCTGACTCAGCATCTTTCGGACTCCGTACTCTTCACTCCAAGGACGGGAAGGGTACAAATGTAATGCATATAGACATTAGAGAATCCGGTCAGGTCAGTCTCTCGGGTAGTACAACATGTGATGATTGACGTGCATGCGTATAGTACTAGTCCGGCCTGCCTGTCTGCCTGTCTGCCTGTCTGCCTGCCTGCTTGCCTGCTCAGCCTGCCTGCCTGCCTGCCTGCTCAGCCAGCCCTGCCCTGCCTTGCCCTGCCCTGCCCTGTCCTGCCTTGTCCTGCCTTGCCTTGCCCTGCCCTGCCTTGCCTTGCCCTGCCCTGTCAAAATAAACGAGCCGAGCAGCCCTGCGAAAAGTATAAAATAGCATCAAACTTTCTTTTTTCCCTTTCCCTTCCGCTTCGCCAGGGGCAAGGGTTCATGCGGCAGGCAGGTTCGCTCTCTCGAAGCTACCTACCTAGGAAGTGCATACCTTACTTGTATGTATGTATGTGTGTAGACAGGTATGTATGTATGTTGGGAGCAGGGTAGGGATATATGGTGGGGGGGGAGGGGGGAGGGAAGGG